AATTTGGGCGTGTCCCCACGTGTGCAACTTTTCGATTTTCAACTTTAAAACTAGCCTATAACACAATTTAGACCTTTAGAAAGCAAAATTGAGCTCCACAACCCAAGGGATGGCCCAACACCAGAGAATACTAATTCACAACTTTTGTGTTTTTATAAAATTATTCTTCAAAAAAGCACAAACTTCAATAGCGAATATCTTTATGAAGGAGCAAGGTAGGAAAACTTTCCGGTAGATTTTCAGAATGCTTGAACAATTATCTAAGGTGAAAATGTCCTCAGATTTTGAATAAAATTACTCCTTAATGCTTTAAAATCGATTTGAAAAGTTGTTATTTTGTCAAAAATCAAGTTTTAAAAACACTTAAATTGATGACGTCATCAAGTGATGATGATGACGATAAATTATTTTTCGATATAATGTAAACTAAAGTATAAACAATTATCTTTAAAACCTGTGGTTCGAAATGACTGTATCTTTTATACTTTTGAATCTACGGACACTTAAATGTAGGCTACAATTTACTGCAAAAGCGTCTATACATATATATATATATATAGCTTCACGACAATCTGTTGTAAAACAGGGGTTCCAGAAAACCCACTTCCCGATACTCCTGCAACATGAAATTTTTTTTACAGTCGATTTGGACAAGGTCTAGACGCTCTGCAAAGTTTCAGATCTCTAACTCGATTTTAACATGGTTTTTAAGGCACCTGAATATGGCGATTTTGGGTTTTTTACCTAATTTCGTATAACATGCTGGCGCGTATTTTGCGCAAATTTCTTAAAAACCTCCACATAACTATTTCTTATTCCTGTCATCTTTAACATTGAATTAGAATGTTTTGAACTTAAATATACCTGCTGAACTACTTTCGATGAGTCTTAATGCCTGGAAAACAATAAAGGGGATATAATAGTATAGGGGGTACATAGTGTTGTGAATATAAGGGCAACGGTTATGCTTGCCAGCATTGTGATTGGAATTCGGACAAATTGGCAAAAAATATGTTAAAATTTGAAAAAAAATTTGAAATTGGTAAAATATATTAAAATTGGTAAAATAAATAGCAATAAAAAACTGGTTTTTATGGTATTTATTTATTCTTCATTGGTACAGAATCAGTAATAGTAAACTATCCCAGGTGCAGAATGTAACGTTGCAAACGAGGAAGGCTTCCTGAAAGAAAAGTGTGTCTCAGAAACTGAACGTGTTTATTTTAAGTGTCCATTTGAGGAGGACTATTACGAGATACAGCAAAAGTTTCCTTGTAATACCAACCCGCACTTCACGAACGACACCACAGGTAAAACTAAAATAGCTACAATATTATTGCAAAAGCGAAGTTATCGTCGATTCCATCATTAACAAATGGTCAAGCTTGCAGTCTTAAAAATGTATCTAAATTCCAAAATCCGCAGAATATTGTTACAACCTGACAAAAACCTGTAGATTCAACCAAACTCAGATGTGCGGAGTAGATGGAAACAAGGCAGACAAGGGCAGGTGCATGGTAATTTGCCCCACAAGTAGCGGCCCCTCAACAGCTCTCCCGACCAGGTACATATGTAATGAGAGGAAGGATTGTGATGATGGAGCCGATGAGTGGGATTGTGAAGAGGAGCTGAACGGAAGCGAGCCGTGCACGCTGGACTCTTCTATCAGCGTATCTGCTGATGTTCTGAAAAAAGTGAGATGCGACGAATCGTATTTTTACTGTGGAGGGGGGTTCTTCTACCTCGATGAAGATGATGGATATTGCAACCATTCAACAGGACAAATAGTAAACTTTTCTAAGCCAAGCTGGATTAAAAGTTGGTGGCTTCATCCTTATTTTACATGCATTGAAAGCGAAGTAAACTTATGGGATCAAAAAGGATGCAAGGATCCGGGCGGAACCCTCGGTCCAGACCAAGGTATTCGTTGTAAGAGTGCTTTAAATAGCTCGCAGGAAATATACGTTCCACCTTTTAACATGTGCACCAACCCCCGATTTGCTGAGGGCGCAGAATACCATCCTTGTGAGAAGTGGGAGGAACAAATGAACTGTCAACTGGGCAAAATAAACGAAGCTCTGACGTGTAAAGTGAACGGGAAAACACGAACATCACCAAATACCTGATCTGTGGTAGAGGTGAAACCTGTGATGATGGTATGGATGAGAAGTGCACAAACTTTACTACAGTCTCTAATGAGCACTGTGGTATACATAACCATTCCATATGTGATGGAGTGAATGATTGTCCTTTAGGAGTGGACGAAACTGACTGCAATGCTACAGCATATAAAAATATTACATGTCAGCGCAAAGTCCATTACCATCCTGATACCAAGTTTCTTCCACTCCTTAAATCTTTTGTTATGGACGGAGTTGATGATTGCATCGACGGTAAAGATGAGAGTAAGGACTTCTTCCAAAAATGCGGCCAAGAAAACAGAATAAGATGGGATGCTAAAACATCAACCTGCAGTGAAATGCTCAAAATCAGCAACATACCGGAGGATCAAAGATATTTGAACATGAACAACTTGTGTGACCACGTGTCTGACTTTGAGGGAGAGAAGGCCATGTGTTACATCAGTAGAGATTATGCAAACTGGTGGACGGACACTATTACCCATGCTGGTAGAATATTCGTGCCCCCGTGTGTGCCCGACCTCCTTAAGTACAGTCAGGTTTTTAGCTGCACTGAAAAAGTTCCTCATATTGATATAATCGGCGTAAAAATGAAAAATATAATTCATTCAGAAGTAAAAAGGCATTGTTCATTTTTATATGGCAACCTATATTTGTTTGCATCATGCAACAACTTGTGTATTGAAAAAGGTGTACAATGTATGTATAAGTATGGCGGTATAAATGACTGTTTGGAAGCAAGCTTTGAGACCAGCAATACATTAAAAAGAAACAAAACAACCAACATGTCCGAAATCATCAAGGTGTCACCAGAACCAGGTTCACACTCACAGTACCTCGACAACGTGTTCCCGTGTAAAAGTGGGAAGTGTATTACAAGGGACAAGGTTTGTGACCTAGCTGATGACTGTGGAGATGGGTCTGATGGGTCTGTTGGGTCTGATGAAGACGGGTGTATTAATCAGTTTACTTGTGATTCCAGTGGAGAGAGACTCATTCTAAGTAAGCAGTGTAACGGGATCATGAACTGTGTAGATTTCAGTGATGAGTGTGGACCTCAGTGTGAGAACACCCAACGTCGCATTATTTCCAGCGCTCATCTGAGAACTGCTGCGTGGCTTATCGGGGTAGGATCTACAGTCATCAACATCCTAGTTCTTATTAAGTCCGGGGCACAGCTCACTCGATTGAGGGAATTCTCTGTGGTATTTAGGGACAACTTCTTGATCATGTTGATTGCTTTTGGGGACTTGTTAGTCGGATTGTATCTCCTCCTTATTGCAATAGCCGACTACATAATAGGAGAGAGATATTGTAAAGAACAATTTAAGTGGAGGGGTGCTTCTGAGTGTTTATTTCTCGGAATTTTAAGTTCAGTAGGGTCCCAGATATCCCTCTTCACCATGACAACCCTAAGTATTTACAGAGTCTACCGTATAGGTCATGTCTTCCAATCTAACATTTTATCCAAGAAGTGGGTTGCACTGACTGCAGTTGTTTGTCTTCTGACACTCCTCATTTCAGTTCTTCTCAGTGTCATACCGATAATGAGTCAGCTGGAAGATTTCTTCATAAACGGTCTAAGCTACGAAGAAATAACACTGTTCGTTGGAATGATCAATAAAAATATCCATGCTGATGTGATAAAGCAATATCAAGGAAAAATTAGACTACGATATAAAGACGGGCAACCTAACATGTCATGGGAAACGATACGAAGGTTCATAGGAGAGATGTTCTCCAAGGATCATGGAGGAGTTCAAGGGAGAGGCATAGGATTTTACGGGAACTCAGGAGTGTGCCTTTTCAAATACTTTGTCACTGAAGATGATCCCCAAAAAGTGTATTCTCTCTCCGTTCTATTCATAAACTTTTTCTGCTTCATGATCATCACCATATGCTACATCATAGTGCTCATCATATCCAGATCCAACTCAAATAATAGATATGCAGCCCAGATGAACACAGCTCTACAGAGAAAGATAAGCATCATAATCCTGTCTGACGCTTGTTGTTGGATTCCTTTTATTACCATAGGGCTCCTACATTTCATGATGGTGGTTGATGCTTCCCGTTACTATGATTTCTGCTCAATAGTCATTCTACCGGTTAACTCTTTGATAAATCCCATTATTTATCATTCTGAATTTAAAGAATGGCTGAGATTATTCGTAGGACTTTGGAACAGAGTCTGCAGCAGAGTAAGAAAATTGCTACCTTTTATCTCTAGCGCGAGGGCTAATGATGAGATTGTGCAAATACCCGAAACAAGAACTACCCATATCAAGCTTACTGTGCCTGGAGAGGTATCAAGTTCCAGAGGGGAAAGGGTTTCTCTGAATGTTATTTTGCAGAAACCAATGGATACAACATCATTTATTTCTGAGGCTCAAGATGACGCTGAAAAACGTCCAGATGATGTTGAAGAACTTTCAGATGATGTTAAAAAACGTCCAGATGATGTTGAAGTACGTCCATATGATGTTGAAATACGTCCAGATGATGTTGGAATACGTCCAGATGATGTTGAAATACGTCCAGATGATGTTGAAATACGTCCAGATGATGTTGGAATGCGTCCAGATGATGTTGAAGTACGTCCATATGATGTTGAAACACGTTCAGATGATGTTGAAATACGTCCAGATGATGTTGAAATACGTCCAGATGAAGAATGGAGATGATTTTTGATTGAAATGTGTTATGCGGTCATAATGCACAGCTATGTAGACTGATTGTTACAAAACACAGTACATATTATGTTAATTTTTGGTGAACTAAACTTTGAAATATTTTAATTTGAACGTCATTTGTACCCTCGTGAGTTCATGACTCAAGAACAAAGAAAACAGTTATGTGTAATTATTAAGAAAGCGTATGAAGTTAAAACCGCACAATTTTAAAATTCAACAAACGTTCATCCCATCCCATCCCAAAACAAAATCCGTTGTGATAAAACTAAAGTTCTAATCTACACATCCCGGCACAAAACTTATCACAATTCGACTAAGTTTGTTCCCAGTTTCTAATACCACAAGCTAATGTCATTCCAACCATTATCAATATCAATAACATATCAGCAAATTCAGGATGTAAATGTTGAAAAACTGAGTTGCTCAATAACTCAATAAACAGAAAAAGTTTATCATAAATTTTTATAAAACATTCTCGGTTTGACAAATAATCTTACAAGTCTTAAATACATTCGTTGTAAAAATATAAACACAGATAAATAAGAAAGGGTTAAAGTATTATTTACAATTTTATAATTAAACTTATAAAATTACTAAAATAATAAATCCCATCTAGTTCAAAATATGTCCAACTTGTTTGAGAGTTTCAAGAAATCTCTGACCACGGCAGAATAACGTAGGTGCACGAGTACGAAATCTCAAAACAAGTTGAACCAAAGCCCGATCTCAACTGAATAGTTGATTTAAAGTCAACTTCCAGCTGCAACAAGCACTGAAAAGAAATATTTATATGAATTCTTGAATCTCGATTTTAAATTTTTCAATCGGTTAAAATTTAATAGTCGTTTTCCAAGAACTTATCAGTGGATCCTAATATTCTTGCGGAGTACTTATCGTTGATGAGCTCGTAACACGATTTCGTTTTTGATCTTGTCAACAAATAATTGACATTTTTAAATCGCAAGATTTTCTTTTTTCCGGATTTATCAACAATTTGTGAGGAATCGTTGATTGCTTTCAGCACACCTGAAAAATTATGTTAACTTGCACAATATGTATACACAAAATATATACACAAATGTATACACAATATGTATACACAAAATTTTATGAGAACAACCAATATCAAACCACGTAATAAAAAACAAAAAAACTTATTTTGAAAGACTTATAGAATCTTCCTAAACTAACCCAGAAATCCAGTTACTTCGTCGTCTATACGAACTATCTCCACTCTGAAGCCCTCGCCATCACTCTGAACAACATTGAGTTTGAACATGTCTCCTATCAGAACAACTCGGCTGTTCTTCTGTTTTATCGTAACACTTCCCACGGACGACGGTAGAGGATGGTTCAGTTTGTTCTTAAGAGTTACTGAATTCAATCCAGAGTAGATGGTTAGGGAAGAGTAAGTTCCGTCCTGAAAGTGGAAGTGGGGTTGAAGGGGTTTATTGGAGGATATGAAACATTTTATATCAAGAGGATCACAACATCACTCAATCGAAATTGAAAAAAGATGTATTTTACTTTTCTTAGAGTTCCGTAAATCTGTGCAGAGTCCGTGTCAACCAAAGTGTATAATTTCTTCAGTACCATTTTAGCAGACAGACACAAATTTACTCCGTGTATGTCCAGATCAATAGGTACATCCGATATGATTGGCTCGGAAATCTGAAATGGGAAATGTTACATATGAAATAACAAAGCAGATAAAGTATCATCGAAATTTGACTTGAAGACTGGGAGCCGTGAAGCAATAAGGCGCATGATTACTTTTATTTCCCCCATTTATGATACTCACAATAACCTATCTCAAACTAACCGTTAAAGATGCAGATCTAAGTCGTTTCTTCTTCTTCCTGGCACAGTCCATAGTATTACAGTCCCTAATCTGTACCTCGTCCTCGGAGCACTGCTGCCCCACACAAGATCCTCTGGTCCTCCTCTTAGTGCCTCCTCCGCACTCCGCAGAACACTCGCTCCAAGAGTTCCAGTTCTCCAGTACTGTTTTCCTTTTGCAGACCGCCTTCAGGACACAAGATATCTCCTCGTGTCCGGGACCTTCACACGTGCCTCCACCGTTAGAGGGGACAGGGTTGGTGCAGGTTCGGGACTTACGTTTGGTTCCAGTACCACACGGCACTGAACAGTCGCTCCAGCCACTCCATACACTCCAGTTGCCATCAACTGAGGGGGGAGGGTAGTGTTACAAGTTGAGTAGATTTCAACAATCAAATCATAAATTTAAACTCTTACAGTGTTTACTGTCCAGTAGTATTTGTGGGTAAAGTCTTACTTCTTTGAGGACATTTCTTGAGGTAGCAGATCTTATTCTCGACACTGAGACCCTCACATTGAGGACCTCCAGTCTCCGGAGGAGGACTATCACAGTTCCTGTTCCTAGTCCTGGTTCCATAGCCACACTCTTTGCTGCACTCGTCCCACTCGGACCACTCAGAGAAGCCAGGACATTGCTCAGCTCCGCACTCCTCAGATTCAGACTCCATGTTCCTTGCACAGGATGGATAACCTGGAGCTGGGGGTGGGTTGTTACAGAACCTGCTTCTTGTCCGAGTTCCTTCGCAGTCAGCAGAACATGGTGTCCAGTCCGTCCAGTCACTGAATCCTGGAGATGTTTGGAGTTAGTTAATCAGTTACACAATTCATATCTTTGTTCGCTATTATATAACATATAACTTTACACTCTTGAGCTACTTCAGATGAGTCAAAAGAACAATTTTATGATCATTTTAGGTTGAAATCTGTAAAATTTACAAAATAATTAAGCTCATCACAGTAAGTGTTTAGCAACAAACCTGCTGTTTGGGTGACCTCGATCTCAGCTTCTTCAGTAGCTGATCCAGCTGAGTTGGAGACCTGTACCAAGTAGGTACCCTCATCTTCCTTTCCCACATCCTTGATAGTCAAACTACCGTTAATGTGGATCTCATACTTGTCACCGTCTCCCTCAATAATTGGTTGAGGGGTTCCAGAACCGGGTTCTGTGACGAACCAGTCGATCTTAACAGGTCTAGAACCTCTAACTCTGGTCTCCAGCATGATGTTGTTGTTAGGATACGACTTGATATCTGAAGGAGCTGGGTCGAAGAAAGGTGGATCACTTCCCATCTCCTCAATATTCAGAACAGTCTCGGTATCATCAGCACCGTGTTCATTTGCAATAGTAAGACGCAGGTTTCCAGCATTGAGAGAGTAGGGATAGGGTAGGGTAGCCTCCAACTCATACTGATCAGGCATGTTGGGGACGGGTGATAGCTCCCATTTGAGGTGCTTGCTAAGATCAGTGTCTAATCCTCGGAGAGAGTTATACAGGGTGACACTTAGCTCGTCCTCTGATTCTATAGTTCCTTCTATCTTTACTGACAGATCTACGTCATCACCTTTAGTTATGTAGATCTCAGCAGGTAGGGGTGTGATTATATTTAGAGCTGAAAGGGGAGGAGGATAAGAGAATCTTCAAACAAATAAAAGTACAAATACTCACATTAGAGTGAGACACCAACTAAACTTGGAGATACAGTTTATCTAGACAGGTATTAGATTTAGACACACCTCCAATTAAGAGGCTTCGCTATTATCTAAAGGTGTTTTTAAATTAAACATACCTTTTCCAAGTTGAGCAGGTTGAACGGAAGGAGGTTCTTCTGAAGGTTCCTCAACACCGATATCAAATTTGTGAGATGCAGGATTACCCACACCGTTATCAGCTGTTATAGTGTACAGACCAGCTTCTTCCACCTGAATATCGGGGATCTCGAGCGAGTAGCGGATTGTTTCGCCATCTACTTTCACAATCTGACTAACTCCCTCAACTATATCTCCATTTCCATCGGTCACAACCAGATTTGGTCTTGGTACTCCTTTTATTTCCGCCTCAATCACGTGATTATCACCTTCTTCTAGAGTGAGGTCACGTGGCACGTTCGTGAACTGTGGGGCAAGTTCTAATGGTTCTACTTCGAGGTAAATCTCATGAGTAGCGGGCCTTCCTACTCCGTTATTTGCTGTTATCGTGTAGCGACCTGAGTCTTCTGGCTGAAGATCGGGGATGTCGAGAGAGAATCGGACCGTTTCCTCATCTACCTCTTCAATCTGGCCTTCTCCAACAAATACACCATCCTTATCAGTGACATAAACGTTCGGCTTGGGTACCCCCTTTATTTCAGCCTCGATCAGGTGGTCATCTCCTTGTGTTAAAGTGGCGTCACGTGGTATTTGGGTGATCTCTGGAGCACTTTCTGGTAGTTCTACTTCGAGATCAAACTCGTGTTTAGCAGGTCTTCCCACTCCGTTGTTTGCAACAATCGTGTAGCGACCAGAGTCTTCGGGCTGAAATAGTTGCGTTGAAAGATATTCAGAACTTGTTGTGTGATGTATTTAGAAGAGGCTAACTGCAGGGCAGCTTTTTTAAACTTCTCAACAAGCGAACTTTTACAATTTACAGTAAGGGATGGTATTTAAAGAGCTCTATTGCGTTAGTTGGGATACTGACGATAGGTTGAAAAACAGATATTAAAGTTACAGGCAAGGCCGTTGAGCACTGCTAAAAAATCATGAGAGTCTAACCTGAAGATCGTCGACGTCGAGAGAGAAGCGAACAGTTTCCTCGTCTACTTCCACGATCTTACCCTTTCCGCGTCCGACCACATTTCCATCTTCATCAACAACATACACGTTCGGTTTCGGTATTCCCGTTACCTCAGCAACAATGGTATGATCGTCACCAGCTGTCAAGGTTACGTCACGCGGCACTTCCGTAAACTGCGGCGCGCGCTTTCTCAACTTCACGTCCAGTTCTGCGGTAGAGTAAGCGGTTCCGACCTCGTTAGTCGCTACAGCGCGGTATGTTCCAGCGTCATCAGGTTGCACGCTGGGTATCTGGTGGATGTACTTCAGACCATCTTCCGTAGGCTCAGTGTAGAAGGATATTGGTTCACCGTCCTTGGTGAGGGTCACTTTGGGATCAGGGACTCCTGCAAAAGCAGAATATCAGAAATTCAAATTTTTACTAAAAAGAGACAGAATAACATCGATAAAGAGGAACTTAATTGAGATCATTAAGGGGCAGGCAATATTAAACTTTAAGAAATCTCACCTGATATAACAAAGGAGACCTCATGGGGTTCGCCCTGCTTAACTCTAGCATCTCCGAGACCCACCACGAACTCAGGTTCTTCTGATACTGTGGATATTAGTTATATTAGCAGTATTAGTAGGTTCTTCTGGTGCTGTGGAGGATTTTGTAAATGTATTTTTTTTTAATCTAGACACTTATTTTACTTCGGTGTATTCCAACAGCCACAATGTTACACAAGTGCAACCAGCCAATTACAGGAAGCCGAAGGATCTTTTTGGCCAGTGACGGTTAAGGTAGTGTGTACCATACTTTCTTCGTCCGAGACTTTGCTGCAATGTGCAGCTCCTCATTTAACCCTCACACCCGATTTCTCGAGTATTCGGCTGAGTAGACCGGGGGGCTGCATAGACCACTCATGATCCTTAGCTGAACGTCGACGACGCTCACCCCACGACCAGGCAGTCAGTGGGTTTCGAACTCGCAACCTAACGATTGTAAGACAGGCGTTCTAACCAACTGCGCTACCTGGCCGCAAAAAAAATATATAAAAATAACCATTTACGACCAACAATTTGACCCATTTTCAAAGAGCTGTCTTGTTCTGGGAAATGTTTAGAGTCTGTTGTCTCTGTAATCTGTCATTACTGTCAATGAGTTAGATTAGTAATTGTACTTTTAAGTTAAGTAAGTTAGTTATGTTAAAATTTTAATAACGAACCAATCCTAACAACTGTTTTACAGAAAGCGTCCCCAACTTCATTACTAGCCCTCAACGAGTACACCCCACTGTCGTCCGGTACCGCACTTTCTGTCACGGTCAGCACGGAGCTGTTACTGGTCACCAGCAAGTAACGATGGGACCACATGTTGGTCGGGGTAGGGTGACCGTACACTGTCGGCGTCAACCTCAGTTTGTCGCCGTGGTTTACTGTCACAAACGCCGGGCAGTCGTGTATTGACGGCGCTATGTTTACTGTAAGTCGGGGTAAGTTCGTCACAATCAGTCAAATGTCGTGGTGGTCACCAAAATACAACTTTTGTGTCTAGTCTTATGAAATTACGTTCGAAAGTCGAGTCAAACAATTCATGTTTTTTGCAGTTGTTTAACAGAATAATAAAGTCTTAAAACCTGAATTTTCCCAAGAAATCATGCAGAGTTTATTAACCAGCGGTAAGGTTACTAAGAAAGTTTACCTAGATTTTAAAATGTTACTTGCCAAGGGTAATTTTACTTACGAGGGTAAGTTTACTTACAAGGGTAAGTTTACTTACATTTAAATTGTTAACTTACCAGTGGTGAACTCCAGATAGGCGGAGGTGGTGTTGACTCCGTACTCGTTAGAAGCTGTCACCTTGTACCACCCACTATCTGATACCTGTCAGACACACAGTTACAAATCATGTTAAACCATCCCCACAATGTGTTGTACTTAATATTACCATGGTTAGTTCAGGAATTTTAAGCTAAAGTTGGGCAGTTTTTGAGTAAAAATATATGTTTGTTTCATTAATTTAAGTGAATAAAGAACAGCATTAATCTCACCTCAGGGTTGTCAATAGTAAAGCTGGCTGTGGATGTCGTGCCAGTAGTCACTACTTTGGGTTTGAAAACAATCTCACTATCTTCTGTTACTTTTGATATAGTCATCTCCGGAGCCGGCAGTCCAAACGCAGATGCTAAATTGAAGGTGGGTATCAGCGCATTGGAGAAATCAAGTAATATTACATATTAGAGATAAAGTGGGTTGATGCTAGGATAGGCTTGTATGGATACCAAGTTATGCTTGGATGAATGCCAAGTTAGGTTTGATGCCAAGTTAAAGGTTTGATGCCTAGTTAGTAGTTATGCTAAGATGGACATCTCTACAAGCAAACCTCTGATGAGATGAGGAGTAAGGTGAGGTAGAGTCAGGTTGTTGAAGGAGCCAACAAACTGAGGTGACTGTCCTACGATATCCAATACAATAACAGCCACATCTTCTCCTTCCTCGTTATTGGCTGTAACCGTGTACACTCCACCTAGAGTTTGAAGTGGGTTAGGGACTTTGAAAGGGATACACTGCGGCTTAAAGGCTGTAAAACTTAATCGAATGATTCAAATCACGAGAATCTCCGTGATTATAATATATGTACCTGATTCGGGAGTAACCCTTCTGAAGGACACCACGTCTCCATCAATCTCCACATTATCCTTATCAGGTTGGAGAGTTATTATCGGGCTCGGTTTTCCGTTCACACCGAGCTGTATACTGCCACTCTGTCCGTGGAAGAGCTGGAGGGAGTACACGCTGGAGTTGAACTTTGGAGCAGAGGTATCTGAGAGGATTGTCAGCTCGATCTCCTCTTCAGCACTACCGTGCTTGTTTTCAGCTGTGATCTTGTAGACCCCGCTGTTGCTGAGAAGTGAGGTATCTATCTCGGCTTGGCCTGGAGGGTGAGTTGGGGTAAAGATATGATAGCTTTATGCAATAATATGCTACAACAGCCGATAGAGAGTCTATAATAGTGAGGTCTGGAGTTTAATCTATAGAAATATTAAAATACTATCGAAGTGTCTACTGAACTCACCTATAACAGCATCATTTTCCTCATCAAGTTCAAGACTTAAGGGTATGTTCTCTCCGTTCGGACCCGTTAGAGCCAGAGAGGGTAGCGGTAAACCAACCACCTTTATACTCAGAGTCAGATCCTCATTTCTGAGTATTTCCTGATCCTCAGGTACATCCACAAACTCTGGTCTACGTCCAACTGAGGGGATTGAGGTTAAACAACTGTCAAGAGGTACAGTGAAGATAGCTTGTGAAGATAGCTTGCGGAGTGAGATTGCTTGCGGAGTGAGATAGCTTGCGGAGTGAGTCACCCAGGAGTAAAACTCAAAAAAGATTATACTCATAGGACAGGGTTTGTAAACTAAGGATCTGAAATAGTTACCAATGACAAGTCGGAGGGTCTCAGTTTCAGGTTCCCCATCAGAAGTGTTGTTAGCGGTGATGGTGTACACTCCTTCATGTTCTGGAGTTACAACAGGTATCACTAGACTTCCGTCATCTTCTTCCTCAATCTTGGGGATCGGATACAATTAATATTCAGTTTTTAGATTTAGTAATTAAATTATAACTTTTAAATAAGATATTTGTACTGGACGTGACTCCATCTTAGACATATTGATATAGTTCTTCACCGACAAGAAATTCTCCAACTAGGTTGACGAATGAAAATGTGTATTTACCTCTCCACCGGGAGTGTCCCAGCTGATTGTAGGGGTGGGAATACCGGACACTTCTATTGGGATCTTAACCTCGTCACCGTATATTACTTTCAGAGGTGTGGGTACCAGAATACTCACTTGAGCTGGTACTACATCTGAGGCGGGAAGCTATTAAGAACATAAATATAAATAAGTATATCCAGAAAGGGGTTTTATCAGTGTGCGTTTCTTTACGGACCTTAATAAGGAACGCGAAATTATATCACAAGGATTTTAAAACAATACGCAGGTTTATGAAGGAGTTCACAACAAACCTTGCACAACTTTAACATATCCCTTGGTAACGGCAGTACCGTACTCGTTAACAGCAGTAGCATAATACTCTCCCTCGTCAGCGAGAGAGAGCACACTGATACTGTACCGAGATCCTATCAGATCACTGCGACGTGTCATCGTCATCGTCTGAGCTGACAACTTCACTGGAGCCCCTGGGGTGCGAGGGTTAGTGAACTGAGCTGACAACTTCACTGGAGCCCCTGGGGTGCGAGGGTTAGTGAACTGAGCTGACAACTTCACTGGAGCCCCTGGGGTGCGAGGGTTAGTGAACTGAGCTGACAACTTCACTGGAGCCCCTGGGGTGCGAGGGTTAGTGAACTGAGCTGACAACTTCACTGGAGCCCCTGGGGTGCGAGGGTTAGTGAACTGAGCTGACAACTTCACTGGAGCCCCTGGGGTGCGAGGGTTAGTGAACTGAGCTGACAACTTCACTGGAGCCCCTGGGGTGCGAGGGTTAGTGAACTGAGCTGACAACTTCACTGGAGCCCCTGGGGTGCGAGGGTTACTGAACTGAGGAGAGTCTTATCTGTAATACTATGAACTATCAGTGTAACTTGTTGGGTTGTGATTTTTGGGGGTTTGTGCGAATAATTTACTTTCGCTGTGAGCACTAAGTTTAAATTTCAGATTCATTAAAATTTCGGGGTAATCAACAAGCTGTATAATGTATACAATGAAACCAATTTGATAATACAGTAAAACCCGCGGAGTATGGGGGAAAGGAAACATCCACGGTAAATCGGGGCGCGGTAAATCGGGGTTTCACTGTATGGGTGAATGTTGATATTAATAAATTAATATTATTGTTAATATCATTGATATTAATTAATTATAATTTATTTACCGTCAATAGTTCTGAAGAACTCTATTCTAGGTAGCGGGTTGCCAGTAGCAGTAACTGTCATTTGTAGTGCTGTACCGGTCGTTACAGTAACGTTCTGGAGAGTTGACACGAAGATTGGTTTTTTACCCTCTGAAATGGAAATATTGTAAAATTCATTAAATAATAAGGTTATCAATACATATTACATACATTATTATTATTATTTTTTCCCTATTTTAAACTATTCCAGTACATTGTGCAGAAAGTTGGAGATTTACAATTTTGGAAGCATGCAAGCATACAGATCTGATATCGATAGTAAATAATAAAAATACTCTAGCACAATTGTAACTGCAGTTTTACAGAACTCTAAATGCTTAATAAACACACTTGCAGATACCACTCGTATTCACACTCAGAATTGAATTTCGTCATTTTCCGATACGAGATCGGGACGGGTTCTATAAACAAACAACTAACACATATTACATAAATGATAAGATGCTGCCAAAAGTGTTTCAACTTTTAACACGTAAGTCTAAGAGGTCTTACCAATATTGATGAATTATTTTGTTTCAAAACTTATTTTATTAACTTGTCATAGCACGTTTATTTCCACTATTAAATATTAAACTGTAGAATTTTGAGTAAATTTACTTTTTTATTTCTCAGATTCAATGATGAAGAAAACCTTCTACCCTTTTGTCGCTCGGCGGTATAAAGAAAAGAAGCCCATAAGTATAGTAAAGAGCTTTTAATTTAACTAAGAGTAAGGACACCATGTGCAGTGTGCACATGCTATTACTCCATCGCTAAATATTTTTTATATTAGATAATTAATTAAGGAGAAAAAAATTGTGGAAACAATTTAATGTTATGAGTATTCAACTAGTGACTATAATTCTTTCCAAAAATGATAAAGAAAAATTACCATTATTTGCACGTGCAGTTTTATTTAAAGTCCATTGTATTGGTGGCTAACTGAAATATACTAAGGACTCTCAGCAGAGAAGAAATTTATGCACTTACAAGACAATTCTTTTTAATCTAAAGTTCAAATTTCTTTCTTCCATTGACTGATCATTGATATTTTAGTTGACTAACACATCAAAATTTAATCCTCAAAATAATAAGCGATAATTTTAAGTTTTCACTTTAGCAAGAAGCTGAGGTTTACCAGAAAGACAAATCAGAATTCAGGCTCTTTCAGTGTTATAATATACCTTATCAGACCTTACTTGACCGGACATTAAATAAACGGACATTAAAATGAACGCTCGAAAGCATTCAAAACCATCACAAATTTGTTCACCTTTTTTGGCGTTTTTAAATTTTAGCAGATAATTTGTAAACCAATTTTCATACAATAAGCAAGAAAAGCGGTCGTTAACTTTAAGCAAAAAAATGTCAAAATATCTGTCATATAACAGTGTCTATGATTATGAAAATTGTGTTAAAAAAAAGATACGAAGAAATATAATAGCCTCGTGTAGGCTATAACGTACGGACACTGCTTTTTTACCCATCTGTGAAGGCTATGACGTACGGTCACTGCTCTTTTACCCATCTTGCGAAGGCTATAACGTACGGACACTGTTCTTTTACCCATTTCGTGAAGGCTATAACGTACGGTCACTGCTCTTTTACCCATCTCGTGAAGGCTATAACGTACGGTCACTGCTCTTTTACCCATCTCGTGAAGGCTATAACGTACGGACACTGCTCTTTTACCAATCTCGTGTAGGCTATAACGTACGGTCACTGCTCTTTTACCCATCTCGTGAAGGCTATGACGTACGGTCACAGTCCGGTTCATAAAACAAAAATATTTTCCAATAATTGTGTTAATAGGCTTATCTGTTGTTCATTAGGCCAAATAACTACCAACAAAATTTCGAAGCTTCAACTCCAACCGGAACCACCCCCACAAGCCACGCCCAATTTTTTCATCAATTTTTAACAGGTAACAATCTTCATATCATCAATTTAGGCATGAAGGAGTGCTTTTAGTGCTCCAACAGTTTGGAGTCTAATAGTAATGGTAGAAAAAGGTTAACTTTAGTCAAAGTCTCAAGTCTCCACGGCGCTTGGTTTAGGCGCACCGGATCTCGCGTCTCCGCCGCAAAATTTGTTGCGCCAAAACTAAAGGTCGTAGAGACATGAGACTTCGACTAAGGTTAACCTTTTTCTACCACTACTATTAGGAAAGCACATCAACAATGTCTCAAACACATTCCTTCATGCTTTAATCAACAATTTTATAGATTTTACCTGTTAAGATATATTTAATAATTCTTTGCTGGATAATTCATTAGTGGGATTCCCTTCAAGTTAGGATCAGTGTTTGCATAGACGATATAGACCATCCTCGATCACATGATTAACAGGTGGGTGTCAGGACCATAACAGTTGCCACCCACAACATGGTTGCCACCCTCAACAGACCACCACGCTCGCTGGATGAGCAAAGCCAGCTTGGGCTTCACTGGAGGACGAAGAAGAAGATCCAGCAAATGGCGCTGTTTGCCGTGTTCGTGTATCTGGAAGCATGGTTTACCTCTGGGTCACTCTTCTCAGCTGCATTCAACGACCTAAAGCTGCACAGCCGAATCCAGAAGTTCTCGAAGGTTAACAAGAAGGTATCCTGTTCCACAGCTCAAGTTATCAACAGGCACACATGGTACCTGACTGAAGATCTCGTCCCTCTCGCTGTGTTTGACGAGTCCTTATCTTTGGAGACGAGGAACAACATCGCAAAGAAGATCAGTCAACTGCCATCAGTCCTCCCTGACATCGGAAAACCTACTCTTCCCGCCCTCGCCAAGGAATCCTCCCTGATAGATTTCGTTGGCCCTCGATCCACCTTGCTCTTCAGTCTACTTGAAGTGCCACACTCATTCTTGGATGCTGAAGATTGGAACTCTACGTCTTCCTACAGTAAATCACGTAGTTTACTACAGAAACTTACTCCTCTGAACGACTCCTCAGAACGGGCACTTGCCTTAGCTACAAGACTTAACTCACATATAACGAGAGATGAGGAGTCCTTCCAGGAACTAGTCCAAGCGGTCGAATCTCACCGGAAGAGATACGGACTAGAAACAAAGGACGATATTAAGAAGCTTTATTAGATTTTATGTGTAAATGTTGTTTGATATTGATTTTATTTTATTCTTAAACATAAACTGTCGTATTCAATCTATTAGCAAACCAAATATATACTTTGTCTTGACGCATCAGTAAGAGATTACTGGACCTCGTTAGTCACGAAGAAATCATCAGACCTTATTAATAGTGATCGGTGACCCTGTCAGTGACGAGCTATGAAGGAATTATTGGACCTCATCGATGCTGATCCTATCAGTGACGAGTTATGAAGAAATAAGAACCTCACTTAAATACAAGTTTGACGAAAATATTCCTCTGGCAACGAAGATTAGACAGCTTGCTTGTGAAGGCATGGCGATCCGAAAAACCAGGGTACCTAGAATCTAGATCATAACCTGCTGACTTCTTTAAAGCTTTAAAGGATTTTAAAGGATCAGTTCCACTTTTACATGCAAAATCCATATGATTGTCGTTTTAAGGATGACGGAATGTGTTTAAACTGTGCTCTGAAACTGTGCAGGAACCCGTCTAACCCTAAAGTGGTGTCAAGACTCAAGAGACTAAAATAATTATTACCTATTTAATTCGCGTTTTTGACACCACTTGGGGGTCCAAATTGTGGGCTCTAAAACTCCTATTTCTTGGCCAATTTTTTATTTTTTCATGCTGATTTGAAGGCCATTAAAGCATTTGACCCAGTCAAAAAAGTTTCAGTTGTATATCTTTTACGGTTTTTGCGGAAAGTCGTGTTAAAGTTGATGCCATGGTGTCAGTAAAATGGCACGGAACCATATACCTATATATATATATCGTCTCGCTTTATATATAGTAAGATGGTAGAAAAAGGTTAACTTTAGTCGAAGTCTCATGTCTCTACGACCTTTAGTTTTGGCGCAACAAATCTCGCGGCGGAGGCGCGAGACGCGAGATCCGGTGCGCCTAAACCAAGCGCCGTGGAGACTTGAGAGCACTGTTGGAGCACTAAAATCACTCCTTCATGCCTAAGGAACAACAGATAAGCCTATTCACACAATTATTGGATAATATGTTTGTTTTATGAACCGACTGTCGGACACTGCTCTTTTACCCATCTCGTGAAGGCTATGACGTACGGACAATGCTCGAAGGAAGTTTGTCCCCAGGTTCTCTTTAGTCGCCAGATTGAATATATTTTAGTCAAACTTAGTCAAAAGTTCAGCAAATACTATCAATTATGATTTATATGTAGCATCATTGGTGCGGCAAGTGCAGTAAACCCCGATTTACTGCGCCCCAATTACTGGATTTACTGCGGTCCGATTTACCGCGGATTTTTCCTTTTTTCTCCGCAGTATATCGGGATTAACTGTATTGGGTGTCTTGCTAAGAGTTTATGTGTGCTGTATTCTGTGTAAAACGGTTTCTTTATTTAGAAGATTTGTCTATTCTTGTGTAAACTATTGGTGTAATGTTGGTTGTATGTTCGTCATACACGTTCATGGTAATTTAGAAGAACTCAGGAAGAAAAAAGTATACCTTTTGAATGCAGAATTAGGTTTATTCAATTGAATGACACCGCGAAAAGTTCAGAACCTAATCTAAGATCTACGTCCCAAATAAGTTGTTCACAAAAACTACCCTAACATATTTTAAACATCTTGACATAAAATCCCCAAACATAGTGAGCGATGCGGTGGAAGTAGTATTCGATGGTCTCGTCAGGAATGAAGGTAGGGTACTCAGGGCTTGTTGTCCAATCAGTGGTGGGTTCCTCACCGCAGTTCTCCTCATCATCTCCAAGATCACGATCATCCACTCCATCACATATCCAGTGCGAGGGAATAGTGCAATCAGTACCATTGCACCGGTATCCACCATCACTTGTAGGGACAGGGGCAGGCTCAGTTATCCATTATTCACTGCAGTTCTCTTCGTCATCTCCAAGATCACAATCATCTATTCCATCACATATCCAGTGCAAGGGAATCATGTCATTACCCCCATTGCACTGGTATCTACCACTACTACTAGGGGTAGGCGTAGTTGTCCGACCATAACCGATGGGTGTTGTCGTCATCCATTCTGTAACACATCCCCAAGTTGTTGGCCAGCCGGTGGTTATTGATTCGGTTGTGGGCCAGTTAGTAGTTATCCATTCGGTTGCCGTTACCCAGCTTGAGCCACATCCGGAAAGCCAACCTGAGACATTATCCGTCCAAGAATAAGAGGAGGTCCCAGAAGTAAGAGGCCTGGTGTGTCCAAGCCCGACCAAGAGGAGAGTTAGGTAGAGAGTTGTGATCGTCATTATGCCGAGAGAATTAAGTGAGAGGGTTACAAGTTAGAGCTGTATAAATACTAAAATTAAACAAATAGTTCACGTGCAGGGAGCTCGTGTAGGGATCACGTGTAGGGAGCTCGTGCAAGGAGCTCGTGCAGGGAGCAATGATCAGTTATTGGAAAACACGGAGCTTGAGTAACACAACAAAGGAAAAAAAAAAGATCGTTCTGGGCGAGTACAAAGCGAGCTGAGGGAACATAAGACCCACTTCTCGGAGCAGAAAAATATTCTAAAAAAGTGCAAAAAAGAGAAAAGAGGAGCTAATGATTAATTTGGAATATACAAAAGTGTACTTTAATTGAAAAAACCTGGCTGAAATATGCACTCATTTACTCCTTAAGTAAGTAAGTATGGTCTATTTAAAAACAATATAATTAACTCCGGTTGTCATTGTCGTAAGGTGCGGCTTCGAAACCAGCTTAGAGTTGTAAGAACGAGCGAGTCACTTTATTACTTGATCAAATCTAAATATTTTACTCGGCGTAAAAAATATAGTTTCTGGACAAAGATGAGATTTTTAAAATGGTGCAAAAACGATTTCTCGGCCAGGTAGCGCAGTTGGTTAGAACGCCTGTCTTACAATCGTTAGGTTGCGAGTTCGAAACCCACTGACTGCCTGGTCGTGGGGTGAGCGTCGTCGACGTTCAGCTAAGGATCATGAGTGGTCTATGCAGCCCCCCGGTCTACTCAGCCGAATACTCGAGAAATCGGGTGTGAGGGTTAAATGAGGAGCTGCACATTGCAGCAAAGTCTCGGACGAAGAAAGTATGGTACACACTACCTTAACCGTCACTGGCCAAAAAAGATCCTTCGGCTTCCTGTAATTGGCTGGTTGCACTTGTGTAACATTGTGGCTGTTGGAATACACCGAAGTAAAATAAGTGTCTAGATAAAAAAAATACGAAACAAACCTTTTGGGGGCTAATTACTATACTAATAGTAGTTAAAGTATTCATACTTAAAACATACACTTCTTGCCAGTATTTTCAATATTCAGCTTACTTTATACTCAATGACTACTGACTAGTGACTAGTGAGTATGAAAAATTTCACGTTTATCTTTTCAGAATGTCAACAAAGAAATGACGGATGAAGACAGAAGAAGACTTTATGAAACATCAGGATCCCTGACTCATTGACACTCACATTTATATTTCAGAAAGAGTAAATTTTTTAAACTAAAGGCGACCACTTACCGACGATGATGGTGAAGGCGTACTCAGCGACTCCCTCGTCGTTACTAGCCAGGACCTTGTACACACCGCTGTCTCTCAGATCCACCTCTTCTATCACCAGGGTCGTGTTTTCTGGTATCACCTGAGTTTAGGGCTTGTTATAATAAGCTGTTTCCTAAATATAAGTTTAAAGTCAGACACGGTCTAAGGTTTAAGTGTATTCCTAATTTTTATAAAAGTACCACACTCTCTCCATCATCAGTTATTGATGATTACCTGGAAGCCCTCCAGCATAGCAGCGGGACCACCAGGGGTTAGCCAGGTTATCTCAGCGGCTGGTTGAGCGTCCACAACAACAGGTATCTCAATCCTCTCTCCAGCTGTTACCCTCAAGTTCACTGGTTTCACTACGAACACTGGTCCTGAGGGAGATAATCGTATAGTCTCAACGTTTGGTGGAATTGGTGACTTACCCACTCATTTAATGTAAGGTTGAGTGTGCTAACTATGTTAATATGAGAGTACTCTGAAACTAACCATAGTCACAAGGATAAAGAGAACACTGAACAGTCTCCATATCATCTCCAGGACAGCTGTCTCCGCCGTTCCTAGGAGCAGGGTTAGAGCAGGTCCTTGTCCTGGACTTGGTGCCAGTTCCACAATCCACGTTACAGTCCGAGTAGTCGCTCCACGCGCTCCAAGTACCGTCAACAACTGAGGAAGAAGGGGTCAATATCACTGATGTGAGGAGACCAATAGACCATGGTGCTCCGTTATTTTTAAAAACTTTTATTTTAAACTTTTATTTTTATTTATGGTGCTCCGTTATTGAAGGCTGGCTGGTTTTTAAAAGCTGTCGTTTGATGACAAGGACTGTGACCTTTCAGTTCTAATTATAGATTAAAAATCCATAAACATATTTGAAACAAACATTTTTCGTGAGGTCGAAGAGTAGCAAAACTGTACTTTTTAAATCAATCTTAAAAACTTTACTTTTGGCAGAATTTTAAGTCAAATTTTCCGAAACTATCGAAGTCCAAACTCCAAACTAAATCAATCACACCCAATTACCGATAATGATAGCAGAGCTCTTTTCCTCCACGCCCCTCTCATTAACTGCCGTACACACGTACTCTCCTTCATCACCAGGAGTCACGTACACGATCTTCAGCGTTTCCTTGACCTGGGTTTTACAAAGTTGTAATGTGCACAAAATAACTTTTACGGTAAAAATAAAATATCCTATGGATTTACGAACGAAGATCAGTAAAGGGCAACCCACGGTTCCACATGATAAACCAAGTACACTAACTGCAACTAACCTCGTAGGTTCTATCGTCCGCAGATGTCCTGGGAGCGGAGGTGACCTGGAGTTCCTCGTACCGGGTGATACTGACACCGGGGGCTGGTATTCCCCGTGCCACACACTCGATAGTCACGCTGTCACCTTCTCTCACCCTCTGTTCTTCTGACATGAACGTGATCTCCGGCAGCTCCAAAACTAAGGATTTTGGGAAATGTTTAAGTTGAAAGTAAACAAATTTCTATTTTATACTGGAAGCTTAAAAAACCTCGGTTGATGCAAAGTATTTGCCACTCTGTAAGCTGAACCACAAATATTTGCCACTCTGTAAAATATACCACAAATATTTGCCACTCTGTGAGCTGAACCACAAATATTTGCCACTATGTAAGCTGAACCACAAATATTTGCCACTCTGTAACCTGAAGTAGACTTAAACTCACCGGTAATGGAGGCAGTTGCTCGGTCAGTGTTATTACCGACAGTAACAGAGCAGGTGTATGTAGCATCATCGGAGCTTATAACATCTGAGATCTGCAGTCTGGAGGTCTTCTTTCTATTGTAGATCCTGGGAGAGGTTATTTAGTGTTAACAATTTTAGTTGTTCAAACTTTTCAGGATAATGTGTTACGTTAAGAGATCAAGGCTGTAGTGTGATGCGTTTACCCGACTTAACGCGTCTAAAACAATCAAAACTCCACCAATTTCTAAATAACCACTAACCTGACATTTTCTTCCTCAAACAACTCCTCTCCACCCTTATACCAAATAACCTCACCATCAGACACCTCGCACTCCAGGATAGCAGTCTCTCCCTTGTTGAGGAAGATGCTCTCGGGAGCAGATGTTATCTCCACACATTCGTTATCACATACCTGAGCAAGAGTTTAATGTTAACGAAGAGTATTGGAACTTCATCACAAGTGAAAACTCGATAAATAATAAGTTAATGCCATTTTGAGATTCTGAGATCCATGACAATGCATCGACCAAAAATCTTTTTCCACTGAATTTGAACTTATTTTGCCTTTTAATCATCAACACCTTTTTAAAAACAAGAATGTATGGCACTATTGTGGCAAACTGTTTCAATTCTCGACTGAAATTTCCAACAACTAACCCTGAATTGAGAAAGTTGGCCAGCACAAGTAACAGCCGAGTCCTGTGTACGTTTCTTCTTCGCAACACACTCCCTTGCACGGGACTGAGTTCCTGCCCCGCACTCGGAGTGACATTCCGTCCAATCAGACCATTCTGTGAACTTCCCTTCCTCTGTGGGATTATAGTGTAATTATAGTGTAATACTAATTAATCCTTTAGAGATGCACTAAAACAACTTTTAAATTATCACCATAAAAAGTTGGTTATCCCAAGAATATTACCGAGCCAATTAAGAAAAAAAGAGGGACCCTCACCATCGCAATCAGGTTTAATACACTCATCAAACTCCATGGCGGATCCAGCACAAGGATCTCCACCATCACTAGCCTCAGGGTTATCACAAACACGTTCCCTTGACTTGACTCCCTTGCCACAGTCTACAGAGCAACTAGACCAGCCCGACCATTCTCCCCAGTTACCGTGGGTAGGACACACCGGACCTGGGGATAGGAAGGTGTGTGAGGGATAGGAATGTAGGTATAAAACTGAGGTTGGAGGCAGGTCGGGATTGAGAGAAATAGATATCAGTGACTTGTGAAGACAGGAGAAGAGAATCAAATATGTGAAATTCTGAAATATCTCAAAATAGATATATAATATTCAGTAAAACCCCGATTTACCGAGTTTGGGGAAGGAAACAGCTGCAGTAAATTTGGGTGTGTGGTAATTTACCACTGGTAAATCAATGCGCGGTAAATCGAGGTTTTATTACAATATACGCTACTCCAAAGATAAAGAATGTCACACTCACCAGAGCAAGTCTTGGTCTCCGAACCCTGACCCTCACAGTAGTTACCACCAGCTGCAGGGGCCGGGTTATCACAAGTCTTAGTCCGGGTCCTGACTCCGTCACCACACGTCACTGAACAGTCCGACCAGGCGGAGTAGTCCGACCACTGTCCGTTAACGGAACATGGCTTAGTGTTACAGTTCCTCACTTCAGTACCACTTCCTGGTTTGGGATAGTTTCAACAGTTCTGCACTTGACAGGGATATTTTTAACCCAAGATTCAGAGCACAATTTAAAAGTTTAAACAGCAAGTTAAGGAGCAACTAACCAGGAGCGGTACAAGTACCGTTGTTACCCTGTGTGATACACACCCTGTTCCTGGACTGGTAACCTCCTCCGCAGTCAGCTGAACACCCGTTCCATTGTGTCCAGTCAGACCACTCACCTGGGTTACAGTATTGTTAAGGAATATCAGCATCGCTTTATACAAGAGTTATTGTTTACATGGTTATTATTCCAGATGGTTTGCACATATCAACTAATTATGACCCATTTAAAAGTAATGGCTTACTTCTACAAGGGATATCACACTCGTCCTTGTCCGTCAGATCTCCGACACAATCAACTCCATTGCTGGAGGGTGTGGGACTGTTGCACTGTCTAGTTCGGGTCTTCTGTCCGACTCCACAACCTACTCCAACACAGGGTGACCAGGTGTCCCAGTCGCTCAGTCCTCCGTTTACAGCTGAGGATAAGGAGTTAGATTAGAGAGAAAGGTGGTTTGACTGGCATGAAATAAACTAAACATTGCTAGTAGAAATACAAAATAAATGTGTTTTTGTTGTAAATATTTCTAGTAGTTTTTTATCATTGTTATAGTGGGAATGTTACTGGTTATTGTTATAGTGGGAAAGTTACCGGTTATTATAGTGGGAAAGTTACCGGTTATTATAGTGGGAAAGTTACTGGTTATTGTTATAGTGGGAAAGTTACCGGCTATTATAGTGGGAAAGTTACCGGTTATTATAGTGGGAATGTTACTGGTTATTGTTATAGTGGGAAAGTTACCGGTTATTATAGTGGGAAAGTTACCGGTTATTATAGTGGGAATGTTACTGGTTATTGTTATAGTGGGAAAGTTACCGGTTATTATAGTGGGAAAGTTACCGGTTATTATAGTGGGAATGTTACTGGTTATTGTTATAGTGGGAAAGTTACCGGCTATTATAGTGGGAAAGTTACCGGTTATTATAGTGGGAATGTTACTGGTTATTGTTATAGTGGGAAAGTTACCGGTTATTTTGACGTCGTATCGCTTTCTGTTGATAGTATCCTCTTTACAAGTATATGTTCCGCTGATATAGATCGTGCTGTCAGATATCACCAGGTTGTTTTCAACAAACACAAATCTGGTGGGGAGTAGTTTAGTTTAATGGAGAACATTTAAATTTTTGCTTGGAGGTAGAACATTACTGTAGCAAAGACTCGAGCAGAATAAAGAAAAAAGCGTGTTGGAAGTATACATATCTCAATAACTAACGAACAAACTCTCAACCGTTTAATTAATTCTCAATTAAATAACTAACCTAGATCCAGGACTAAGAGGAACTTGGTCCAGGTTCCAGGTGACAGGACCAGCTGCTACACAGGCCAGTGTAACACTGTCCCCCTCTAGGATAGACACAGAGGTGACCGGGATGTCCTTGTTGGGATCTGAAGATGGGGTTCTGTGAAAACTGTAGAATTTATAATAATCTCATGCATAATATTGTAAATCTTGTTTAATAGAATAGTCTTTGTAACGAAACTACTGATACCTAATAAATAATTAGGTGGTGATACTGACACACACATCCTAAATTTACTAAGATATTCAGAGATCATGTTCAAAATTGTACATCATTGTTCAACATAGTTCAACATAGTTGATACTCTAAATTTCAACTGACCATTGACAGTGAGAGCAGCGTTCTCGATGTTGCTACCAGCCACGTTAGTAGCCAGACACACGTACATACCCTCGTCCTCTGACTCCACACTCTCTATAACTAGCTTACTGACAGTGGTAGTCTCGTCCATTGTTTTGGTGGTGATAACTGCAGGAGGTTTTAGTGAAATTAGTGAAATATTTAATAGTGAAGTACAACAACTTGAGGAGGGGAGGCAGAGGTTTTAGTGAAATTAGTGGAATATTTAATAGTGAAATACAACAACTTGAGTTTGCCATTGCCAGGCAACATAATAAACTTGAGCAATTTGTGTAGTAACAGACTTGACGTTCCCCACAGATTAAATATAAACAGAGAGACACAACTACAAACCTGATTTGTTACCGCTGACAACCTCCTCGCTGTTTCTCATCCAGATTACACTAGGTTTGGGTTGAGCGTGGATCCTACACACAAACTGGACCCTGTCTCCAACCTCCGCTTCTTGATCTGCCATGGTGAACACTATCGGGTGTTCTGGACATTCTTCTTCGTTACACGCTCTTGATTCGGTCTGAAAAGAGAAGGAGTTAAAACTACAGCGGAAACTGAAATATCATAACACAAAGCGGAGAAGATAAATAAACAATAAAGAACATTTCAAGTTCATAAAATCCTATTCTACACGTACTTCAGGGTCTTCGGGCCCACAATCCTCTCCATCAAACATGGGAAGAGGCCTAGTGCAGCTCCGGGACCGGGTCTGAGATCCACCTCCGCAGGTCACTGAGCATGTTGTCCACAAGGTCCACTGAGTCCAACCTCCATCAACTGGGAGGGGGGTTAGGTTAACTTCGTGATCTTAAAACTATACAGTTAAGGTTCAAATTAATGATGTTTTTAAAAATTCATGATGTTTTTAATCTTAAAACTAAATAGTAAGAGTACTAAATACAACTATAAATGATGAAACTGATTAGATAGAATACTAAATCCTGTGTTACTCTCATTACCTGGACAGTTAGCCTCAAAGCATATCTCCTCGTGATTGACTGTCTCACCACTGGTACAATCCTTTCCTCCGTGCGCGGGGGCAGGGTTAGTGCAGGTCTTATTCCTGGTACGTTTACCGAGTCCACAGGTTTCAGAGCAAGGGGTCCATTCGTCCCATGCTGAGTATCCACCATCAACTGAGTTGGGTTGAAGGTTAGGGATATAGAGTGAGTTACTTGCTTGGTCCACTGAATCTCAATCAGTGTCCGAAAAGCGCGTGATTATTTATCAAGAAAAAATACACTACTATTTAAGATTTTGTTAGAGGCAGGAAAGTCTTGCTGGGATCAGAAATATTTTATACAAAAATTTCTAGCGTGATACACAATCTAAATTCTTACAATTCTGCAAATTTATTTTAAATCTTCTGATTAAAAAGAGATAATTTGGCCAACTTGCCGAGCTATAAACATACCAGCACAAGGTTTATTCGCGCATGATCTGGTATCTTCCAAATCTCCAGAACATGTCCGTCCGGAGTGTGATGGTTCCGGACTGGTACAAGTTCGTGTCCGGGTTTTAGTTCCACTTCCACATGACACTGTGCAGTCTGACCAAGCTGACCAATCTGTTAACCCTCCATTTATAGCTCTCACAGAAACCACAATAATCTTACTGTCACTTCCAACACTGTTCATAGCAGTGCACGTGTACATGCCAGCATCAGTTATCTTGGAGTCCTGGATCAGGAGGGTGTGGTTGGAGAGGAGTTTAGAGGAGCCTGTCAGAGGGGTCCACGACACCATGGATACAGGTCGTGATTCAACCTGAGTAGTGAGGTTTATTAGTTCACGTGCCGGTGCCTGTTAAGTGTGAATAAGAACCCTCGAGCAAGTTATCTACCAGATTTATGTTATTTTGACCCCAAATTATAACTATCAGATACATCTGTTTAACAATAAGTTAACTTATAACCAACTATAAAGCCCTCACCTCACAGTTCAGTACGATATCCTCTCCCTCCTCCACAGCCACGCTGGTCACATCGCTCACTATCTCCGGAGCTTGCGTGGTGGTCAGGGTGGCGGTGGCTAGGATGGGTTTCTTGTTGGAGGAAGTCAGGATGATGCTGTAGATCTTCTCGTCTGAGGGGTCTACTGATCGTACTGTCAGTGTGCTCGTGTACAGGCCGTCTGGAGTAAGATTACTCAGTTAGTTATTATTCAATTAACTATTGAACTCGGTCAGCGATAATTGTAAGAGGAAGAAAAAAAAGAGTCCCATATTCTGCTACTTTTTAAAAAAGTCCCATATTCTACTACTTTTTATTTGTATTTATTTATTGTTGATATTTATCGTGTTCTAAATGTCACAAATAAGTTTTTCTATTGAAAAGGCGGTTTTGACAAGCATCAAGCAGAGCCAGTGAAAACTTTAATTTAACAAGAACAGTGGTCAGTGACCAGCCTTAACAGACAAAACACCAGCACAACAATTAGCAATTCACACTTACCATTTTCAACAGTTTCAACAAATATTCTATCACTGTTGACAATAGGCTGACCATCTACAAGCCAGGCCACAACCGGGGTAGGTATACCGAGGTAGGTGGCCACGAAGGTAACATCAGACCCTACTGGGACTGTGAGGGATTGGGGTGGTCCTATCAACTGGGTGTTTCCTGAGACGAGTTCATGTGTTAGTCATGTGTTAATCATGTGTTAATGATGTGTTAATGATGTGTTAATCATGTGTTAATCAAGTGTTAATGATGTGTTAATGATGTGTTAATGATGTGTTAATGATGTGTTAATGATTGGTGATGAGTACTTTATTCGATACTTTGAAGATGTGAAGGATAACAACAGTTTCAGACCAGAAATTACGTTTTCTCTTTAAAAGAGTTCATATAAATGGAAGTTTATATGAAGTTTATCTTGTTTAACTCACGTGGACAAGAGTCTAGGTTACATGAGGTAACCTCACTGTCTTTATTAGGACCTGGACAGGGTAAACCACCGTGAGAAGGTCGAGGGTTCTTACACACTCGGGACCTGAGAGGTAGAGGGTTAGTTGGTATTATAGAGGGACACTAGAGGGACACTATAGAGGGACACTAGAGGGACACTAGAGGGACACTAGAGGGACACTAGAGGGACACTAGTGGGACACTAGAGGGACACTCTAGAGGGACACTCTAGAGGGACACTAGTGGGACACTAGAGGGACACTAGAGGGACACTAGAGGGACACTAGAGGGACACTCTAGAGGGACACTAGAGGGACACTAGAGGGACGCTAGAGGGACACTAGAGAGGGACACTAGAGGGACACTAGAGGGACACTAGTGGGACACTAGAGGGACACTAGAGGGACACTCTAGAGGGACACTAGAGGGACACTCTAGAGGGACACTAGAGGGACACTAGAGGGACACTAGAGGGACACTAGTGGGACACTAGAGGGACACTAGAGGGACACTAGTGGGACACTAAAGGGACACTAGAGGGACACTAGTGGGACACTAGAGGGACACTAGAGGGAGACTAGTGAGACACTAGAGGGACACTCTAGAGGGACACTAGAGGGACGCTAGTGGGACAGTAGAGGGACATTAGAGGGACACTAGAGGGACACTAGAGGGACACTAGAGGGACACTAGAGGGACACTAGAGGGAGACTAGTGAGACAATAGAGGGACACTAGAGGGACCCTAAAGGGACACTAGAGGGACACTAGTGGGACACTAGAGGGACACTAGAGGGAGACTAGTGAGACACTAGAGGGACACTCTAGAGGGACACTAGAGGGACGCTAGTGGGACAGTAGAGGGACATTAGAGGGACACTAGAGGGACACTAGAGGGACGCTAGAGGGACACTAGAGGGACGCTAGAGGGACACTAGAGGGACACTATAGAGGGGCACTAGAGGGACACTAGAGGGACACTAGAGGGACGCTAGAGGGACACTAGAGGGACACTAGAGGGACACTAGAGGGACACTATAGGGACATTAGAGGGACACTAGAGGGATACTAGAGGGACACTAGAGGGACACTAGAGGGACACTAGAGGGACACTAGAGGGACACTAGAGGGACACTAGAGGGACACTAGAGGGACGCTAGAGGGAAACTAGGGGGACACTAGAGGGACACTAGAGGGACAACAGAGGGACAACAGAGGAACACTAGAGGGACAACAGAGGGACACTAGAGGAACGCTAGTGGGACAGTAGAGGGACACTAGAGGGGCACTAGAGGGACACTAGTGGGACACTAGAGGGACACTAGAGGGACACTAGAGGGATACTAGAGGGACACTAGAGGGACACTAGAGGGACAAATGAGTGACAACAGAGGGACACTATAGAGGGACACTAGAGGGACACTAGAGGGACACTAGAGGGACACTAGAGGGACAACAGAGGGACAACAGAGGGACACTAGAGATATTTGGGAACCATTCAAATGAGCGTTTTAAAATATTTAAGAACCATTGTGTCTGGTGAAAATATTAGCCGAATTACTAAGCAAGACTTTCTTGCTTTTACTTGGTTCATTTCAAGTCTCTAAACTCTACCCCCTCACACCCTCAACCCCTCAACCCCTCACCTGGTAGTTACGCCTCCTCCACAGTCTACAGAGCACTTGCTCCACGCAGTCCAGTCCGTGTAGTTGCCGTTAACCGGACATGGGTTAGTGTTACACTCTTCACTGCCAACTCGGGGACAATCCGCTGCAGCACAGTCTACTATCCTGGAGCGGATACCTCCACCGCAGGTTTCAGAGCATTCGGACCATTCTCCGTATTGAACCACATCTGAATGGAGTAGTTATTTTAGAAGTCTTATTATTGACAAAGCAGCTGAGACTTGACTGATTGCAGACGGTTTTTAATTCGTCAATTTCCATGTTAGATATGTAAGTAAAGTGCCAAAAACCCTAATTGTTGACTAGATTGTTCTAAAGGCTTAAATCTTTAAATGGAGTCCGAGCGCTTACCTTCACAATCCTCCACAGCACAAGCTCTCTTCTCCTTATCCGGCCCGTTACACTGGAGACCGTTAGTAGAAGGAACAGGGTTATTACAGGTTCGGGTCCTGGTCTGTTCTCCGTCTCCACAGCTAACTGAACAGTTAGACCAATCTTCCCACGCTGAGTACTCTCCGTGTATCGCTGAGGGTAGACATTAGGTTAGACACTAGGTTAGACACTAGGTTAGGCAGCTGGTGAGGACTGAATACAGTGTTTAACTGTTATCAGTCAACACAATACATTCCGGTGGGAATATCTTGTCACCACATTCTTTATACTTTTATACTTTTATAGCTTGCTCACGTACGGCTGTTATAGGCTGATAGCTGTGGAGATGTTCGCATGGTTTGGTTTGTACGTGTGAAATATGTGAAATAGTGTGAAATATAAACACTACTTACGGTTGACAGTTATATAAGCTGATTTGTCTGATGTTCCGACATCGTTAGTAGCGATACAATCGTACCGTCCGGTATGGAACCTGGGATAACACAGGGTTAGAACCGCTGGGGAAGGTTCTCAGCCAATTGTTAGAACCGGTGTGAATACTCTAATATCTAATTTTATCAGACGAAAATGGAGGGAATAAGGATTTCACACTGATAAGATTTGTAAAGGTAAAATAGCTGCTGTGTTAACCTGGTGGCATCTTGTATTAGCAGAGTTCCGTTGGAAAGTGCCAGAGCCTCGCTGAAGTATTCTGTCAACGGTTTGTTGTTGAACATCCACACGATCTGCATTAATGGGAAAGTTAGTTGTGTGTATCTACAAGGATGTTCATGCATTTCACACTAATTTATTAATAGTATGTGATTTTCTTTGTGATAATAGAAATTTCACATGCTTAAAGTGTTATCAGTGAGATGTATATAATATATATCAGGGAGGAACCCTGAGCGTACACTTACCTCGGACTCCTCATCAGCCTCACAGTTCAGATAAAGATCCTGATCCTCCTCCAGGTCCATGTCCTCTGGGAACTGGGAGAAGACAGGCAGCTGCTTGGTGACAGCTAGATCTACTGACACCAGGGCCGCGCCGGCTTCGTTCTGGGCTAAACAGTTGAACGTTCTGTCCGTTTCTGCTTCTTGGATTACTAGGTAACTGTGTTGGAGAGTTTCAGCGTGTTATAATTGTTTAATTGATCAATCTTATAATTGTTTAATTGATCAGTCTAATAATTTATCAATCTTATAATTTATTTGCCAATGACCGAGAATTCTATATCATTTTCAGTGCCTTTGACAATGAAAATGTAAAATAACATACACCCTAGAAGTACTAACCTAGTGATTCGTTGTCCGCTGGTGGTAGTAATAGCACTGATGTGGATATCATCTTCAAACCATGTAATCATAGGAGTGGGTACTCCCTCAGCAGAGCAGAGGAAGGTTACTTCCTCTCCTCTGTTAGCTGTCGTGTCTTCAGGTACTCGTACTATCCGCGGTTTAACTGAGAACATTCAGTATAACGATGTAGAAAAATTGAACGTTTTTCTGGATAGGTTAATAGCTGAAATGATCCGACCACAAAAAATGGTTCAGTCGGTTCAAGTCAAGAACTAAGAAGCAAATGTTGAAATGTTGAAATGTTGAAATGTTTAATTATCTCACCAGGGCAGCTGTGAGAGTTGCACTGTTTGATCTCGTATCCACGCTCCTGTACACAAGCTTTACCACCGTGAGCAGGGCGGGGGTCAGTACAGGTCCTGGTCCGGGTCTGGTTACCTCCTCCGCATTCTTCAGAGCAGGTAGACCATGGTGACCAGATCGAGTAACCTCCGTTCACTGAGGGGATGAGGGGTTAAAATAGGTTAGATACTTCTCGAATAGATTTCGTGTGTGACCAGTATAATTGATCTAATTAAAGGTAACTTTGTTTAGATTGTTTAGATTTGGACCTGAGCCAAAAACAATAACTGTGACGTAATCACAGGGAATGTAATTATTGGTAGTTAGTGTTTAGTCTTCAGTCTTCAATATGTTATTCCCTATTTGTGTTGAATTTTTAGTTTATACCGGAATTATCAGCCGCAGCCTGCACTCGGTATCATTATTGCGATTATTCCATAACATCTAAATTTTTGTGCGTGATATGAAAGCAGTTAAACACCCAAACTCCTGGTAAATGTTTAATTGCTCAACCTGCCGCATCATTATCGTCATTACTTTTACTACTAACATAACTATCATCGTTATTCTCTTGTCGTCATGCTTTGTTTCTTTTAGGAGATTGATACGACCAATGACGACCACGATATCCTCACTTCTGATCCTACTCCTCGCCCCTACCACCCACACTATCACCTGCTACACCAACTGTGTTTCTAGTACATCCCCACTTCTAGCAGGTCTGTATCAGTGTACCGAGGACACTGTCAGTGAGTGTCAGTTCGGGTGTGCGTCTACTACACTGTCAGTAGATTACGCTATTGAGGGACTGGACATGTCGGGTACTATTGACGGTACAGCCCCGTGGTGCGACGCAGGGACGGTGAAAGTGAAAGTGAAAGTGAAAGTGAAAGTAGTGGTAAAACTTGTGAGGAGATATGGACTGCTTTGCAGGGTTTGGTGCAGGGTATTGTTAATATATCAAACTTTAAATGTGATATCTCTGACATTTGTGGTACGGATAAATGTAATGATGTTAATAGACGAGTTGATGAGAGCACTGAAGTTGATGTAGGAGACATTGGAAGTAAAACTGATGATGATGATGGTAATGGTGATGTTGATAATTCTAATGGTGATGGCATTGAAGGTGGTGATGGTGACGATGGTAATGGTGATATTAGTGATGTCAAAATATACCCTTCTATTGAAAATGATATCGGAAATGAGAATGACTCTGAACATGAGTATGACACTGAAAGTGAGGTAGCCATTATACCCGTTTTGGACCCTGAGCAAGATGAAGACACTGCAAATGATGTAAATTCTACAAAACCACGCCTCATTTTTATTGTCTTATTATCCTCGTTACTGTTTTAGTTTTTGGCGGCGGTGTTCTGATCAAAATGACCCGACGGGGTATGGCGGCAGAACTTGAAATGGCTAAAGATGTATCACTATCGTATTCTAAATTTTGACTGAATTGCTCGGGGCGGCGCCGATGAAGACAATTGGTGGCGTCGTTTTCAAAGACGGTTTATTTAAGAAAAATGAGGAATAGACAGTGAAATTTCTTTTTAACGTGTTTCAATTTACTGGATTTCTTGATTTACCGACACTATTTCTTTTCTGTTATGTTACTCTTAGCTTTATGATAAATTTTCGTCCAGATTTTTTTTCAGTGCAAAACTATGACCACTGCATGATAGAAACAAAACCTAAACATTGATATAACTTTAGGAGCTATCACTGAACTGATTTCATGATCAGGAAATTTAAATTTCTAATTTTTAAAGTTCCATTAGTATTTTAATATGTCGATATCTAAATAAAAACTCTCAAAGAAGATAACAAACTGAAATTGTTACGGAAACAAAAGTGAAAGGGAAACTCTATCTCACCAGGGCAGGCGGCTGTGTAGCAAGTAGCAGTGATAAACTCTTCTCCTTCACACGTGTCTCCATTCAGGCAGGTCCTTACTCTGGTGTGGTTACCCAGACCACAAGATGGGTCACAATCTGACCATTCCGACCAGTCTGACCATGCCACCTCGGCTGAAAGAAAATAGGGGGTCAGGGACGGAGTTATGTTTGTTAGATCAATAGTTACCTTGGGACCCCAGGCTATATTGTTCATAAACATTAAACATATGAATAGAGATTCGGCGGAATGACAGGCTGAGCGCCGCTCAGTTAGATCAATAGTTATCAAGACCAATACAAACCTTTATTAATATCCATCAACACTACAAATCCTAATAATAACTTATAAAATTTCCAGTACAGGAGCACTACCAAACTGTTCCCAATAAAACACATTATATATCCCTAAACTCACTAAAATGTAGGAAATATATCCGTAAACTCACTAAAACAAATGATATATCCCTAAACTCACCAGGACACTCCTCTACGATACAGTCCCTGCTCTCCTCACCCTCTCCAGGGCACTTCTCCCCAGACTGGGAAGGTCGGGGGTTATTACACAGTCTCTTCCGAGTCTGGTCTCCGTACCCACAGTCCTCGCTGCAGGTAGAGTAGCCCGACCAGTCTCCCCAGTTACCATCAACAGCTGGGAGGGAGAAGGAGGGTGAGTCATAATTTTGACACCTGGTCAAATAATAACACAAAATTCTCTCTAATCAGAGTCAGACTAAAAAGTTCAATCAGTTTTAAAACTGTCCAGTAATTATTATTTACTAAAAACGTTTAAATTTACGGGGCTTCTAATTTCTATTAAATTTTTAAAAAACAATTTTACTATATTTGTACTTTCTCGAGGAGGGGTGGTGGAATATTTAGTTAGTTAGACCGACTAAGTTAAACGTGATTCGCTCTCCCTGTATCAATTATGGATAAAATATTTTTCAAGTTATTTGGAGACAATCTCTTTTGAGGTGACAGTAACTCTCCCTTACCAGTGACTTCAACGGAAGCCCGAGAGAAGGTAGTACCGGCACTGTTCTGTGCTTCACAAGTGTAGGTTCCCTGTTGTGATACGGAAATGTTTGTGAATCTCAACAGGTCGTCTGCTTGTAATACGTACCGACTGGAGAATGTCTTACCGTTCAGCAACCACCGTACCTGGTGGACAAGTTCGTTAGTTTGTTAAATAACTGGGTATTTAACTACCAAAGTCTGCTTAGTCACGTACAAGTGAAACCTCTCTATACCAGACTTCTTACTTTCTTGGGGAAACTCACGGTATAGGAAAAACCTTGTACAGACACTTATAGAATACCAAAGTGTAACAAGTTGGTTTGTTAGCTAAATAGCTAAATTCACGAAAGATTTTGTAAGTTTTCTTAGTCGCGTACCGAATAGGATAAAATATATTTTGAACCAAAATGTAGCATCGGTAGTCATTTCTATACGATTACTACTGATTCATGAGGTATTTTGTGGCTACCAAAGATTTCTTCACCACGTACTGGTTATAAAATATAACATATAGCTTCAACTGGAATGCAGCATCAGTCCTCCCTACACTGCAAGTCTGACACTTTACCATCCTTAATGTAAAGAAGATGTACTAACCTCGGGTTGAGGAAGGCCGGTGGTTTCGCAGACTAGCTCTACAAACATGCCCTCTGTAACGCTCTGATCCTGGGGTGGTGTGGTGATCTGGGGTGGGGCTACCACCTTCAGCATTCCTGTTGTCATGTTAACACCTGGTGGGGGTGTTAGTTTTAGTGCTATATAATGTTAACAGAGCAATTACATACTCGGGGTGGCAGACAACTGAACCCAATTGAACCTAGTTCCCACGCAGTTAACAGGCACCCAATCAGCTTAATTGGGTGACCAATCAGCTTAAATCCCAAAACGACAACTGAACCCAGGTCATATCACAACTGCACCCAAATTGGAAATACGACAACTGAACCCAAGGAAATACGACAACTGAACCCAACGATCGGATTTTCAGGTTCTCCTTCTTCGCAGGGGACTGTGGTCATTATCACTATAGGATAGATCATGACCACTGTAATTTAGAGCATTGGAGCCCTGTGCTTACCCCGGTTAAATATTAATACATACATGCTACATGAAGATTGAAGAGGTCTCCTCCTAGTCGTTGGAGTGGCCTGCATCACACACATCTCTTCTACGGTGTTCCACTCGTTTTAGAGCTAACTGTTTTACTACGTCTCTGCTGATGTTATTGACACCTGTCAGCCGCATCCTCGAGAACACAGGCCATCCAGCCTTTACGGAGTCGTCCTCTCAGTCTCTTCCCATAGTTTGGTTTCTAATCCCGTAAAAAATTGGGAAACTGTGTTCTGGCATTCTGACAACGTGTCCGTCTAGCTTTGAAAGTTAGCCTTGTAGATACGGATCTTGATGGGCGTTCTTATAGTTCCACTGTTTCATGTCTTCCAAAGTTGATGGAACGCACCATTAGCACGCTGGATACTTGGCTCAGGTTACTTGACTCAGATCTCGTGACTCCTGATGCTTTGGGAGGGCCTGCCATGGTTCAGATCTCGAGCCCTGGGTCGGATCTCGATGCTTGAGGAGCAGTGGATCGTATCCTTTTCGGCACGCTTCGTGAACACGTAAGCTTGTTAGATCAGATCTCGCGATCGAAAGGCACCTGAGACCTTGTCATCTATTAGTACGCTTGTTATACAGATCGGATTAATACATAAGGAAGAGAGATGGTGGTCACAGTATCGAATCATGGTTGTCTTCAGCAAGTACATTAGCGGACAAAGAGGAGCCCGGAGAAAGGATCGAGATACCCCTACTACCTCTACCTGGAGATGCCAGAAGTACAGAGTCAAGAAATGTCCTGCTCATGTATTCCTTGACCATGGAGATCAGTCCTTGGCCAGCGGTGCCAAACCTCATTCCCACGACCATGACAACTTAGTAGCTGAGAAAGCAGAGTTCAGAGCAGAATTGAAGCGGAAAGCTGCCAACCAACACCTCTCAGCAACACAAAACCTCCTCACCGAAGCCTTATCTACATGCCCACCCAAAATCAACGTGGTACTACCTAAACTAGAATCCCTCGCGAGAATTGTCCAACGATCACGAGCAGATAAGTCCGGATCTGCCAACAACTCCGAAGCACCAACCTCAACAGACCGAAATTATAGCACTAGAAACCAGGCAGCAGCTAAACTAGAACGGTATTTGGAAACCTGTTAAACTGTTAGTGATTTCTAGTGACGATTGGGTTCAGTTGTCGTTTCAAAGTTAATTAGGTAGACTGATTGGGTTTATAATTAATTTCCCAAGCTACCCTGTCTAGGAAAAGTCCAAATTGGGTTCAGTTGTCCGGTAGCCCATACTCGTTAATAGTCACTTTTATATGGCAAATTACATTTCTTTAGAATCCAAATGAAAGCGCTAGCAAGAAATTAAATTCCAAGAAGTTCTCTCCCTTACCCTCAGAGTTGACTCCAAGACAGTTGTAACACTCAGCGTCATCTATAGAGAGGTCACACAACTCTAGTGTAGAGTAACCATCTTCTAACGTTATATTCGTGCTGATAAGAAGACACAGGTTAGAGCACTAGCACGACAAAGTGAGTCGTCAGGGATGAGAGTTCTTCTTTTATACAGATACATTAATATTAGTTATCTTACTAATATTATTAATCTTAGTAGCAGTGTGATTTGAGTTAAACAATCTCAAACTTAAGTTTCCAGTCAGATATCGTATCACCAAAACAACCACCACCGTGACGAGGCAGTAGATTGTCACAAGTTAAAAGTTACATTTTCCTAAACTTACTTGGTGTTCCTGATAGGGCTGAGTTGTCCGTCTCCTCGCCACCAGGTCACATCAGGGTTTGGCACGCTGCCAATGTGACATGTGAAGGTAACACACCCTCCCACTTCTCCCACTACGTCATCCACAGGGACAATAATGACTGGGGTACCTGAAGACAAATAGTATAGGAGATGGAACAAAATTGATAAAACTGGAGGTTATTTGTGGAGTTGTTTTTTATGTTCATGTAATTTACATTTTTCGTTTTCAGATGTTAATTTCGTTTAATTTTTTGTGGCAGACCAATAAAACAACGACGTCACTAAGAAATTCACCACATACTAAAAAATACTCAAAAATAAAATCAGAAACTCAATGACTTCTCTCTAGAACCCACTGATGGACCCTGAACCCTGCCATAGTATCTGCAATACACGCCACCCAGCGTCTGTCCTCACTGACCCCCATTATGTAGCTGGGCCAGTACCGGTTGTAGAGCAGCACTCTGTCTCCGTACTGCAGCCTCTTCTTGTTGACATGAGTAGAGTGAGCTATCCTCCACTGACACGAGCTCCTACCAGCTACCGCAGGGTCAGCCCAGAAGATGAACCAGTTGTTCTTTCCCATGCAGAGGACCCGGGAGGGGTCTCGTACCGAGCGGACGTAAGCGTAGTTGTTACCTCCAATTGTGACCTCTTTGTTTCCAGAAGTGTCTTCGAGTCTGAGGGCAACAGGAGCTCTGATGTCGAGTCGAGGGTAGAGTTTAACATGTGTGGAGAGGTATTTTCCTGTGCCATCACTTCTCAGAACTACAGTGTCTCCTAGCTCCTTCTCCCGGTCAATTATCTCGTCTATATGTGCTGATATCAACTTGGGTTGTCCGTAGTAGGATTCTATGAGAGCTGCAAACTCAGATACTTGACTTGTCTTGAACTGGTTCTGGAGCTCTGTTCTCAGCGACATCACCTGGTTCTTCAGCTCCCTCACCTCATCCCAGGCTTGTGGAGTCAAGAATTTAAGGTCAGAGTCCTGCTGAGCCAGCATGTCAGTAAGTCGAGAGTGTACGTTGAGGAGCTCAACAGATATGCCCACAATATCGTCTGTTTTAGCTTGTAGGGGGAAGAGGTACCGTTTAAAGGAGTCGGGAGCACCGGGGATGGTCCAGACAGCTGCGTACTCAACCTCTCTTACGGTGGAGAACTCCAACACACTCTTAGCGAAGTCAATAGCGTACTGGATACAAGCCTCGATATCAGGTTTAGGAGGTTCGGTGTCACTTCCACTCGCGTAAAGGGACACTTCAAGAGAGCTTGACTCTCGGATCTCCGCCATCTTTGCAGCAAACTCAGCCTCAGCTCCAAACGTACCGGTGGATACCCCAAGTTTAGTGTCCAGCTCTTTTTTCTGCTCCTGAGATGTACTGGAGAACTTCATTACTAGCACCATCTTCCCTCCCAGATTATCTTCCTGAGGTAGTGAGTACCGTATGTCTCCACGAACCTATCATACTCCTCGCTATCCAGCAACTTCTGTGCCACTTCAGTGAACTGAGCCCCGGTTGCTATCTCGGTGTCAGTGATCGCTTCCACACTCGCCACCAACACTGAGTCCAGTGAAGTGATCTTTGTCTCGGTCAGGAACTTAACAGAAGCAGATCCCTCCACCCCCATGTAGCTAGCTGAAGCTGATATCCCTCCCGAGAAAGACGTCAGAAACTCCTCCCTAGACTTGCACAACTTGATCTTGTAGGTACACTCAATATACCCCCCTGACTGGAGTCCCCTGCTGACTTCCACGGCTGTGTTGTAGGTCCTCTGGAGGTTCACTGTGTTGTATCCTGTTCCAAACTCTACGTTAGCCTGGCTAGTGGGGAAGTTGTCCTTTATCACGGTGACACCTTGTATATCATCACTGTGGAACGCACTTGCTGTGGCTAACAGGATGAAAACCAACATCTTCACAAACGTCCGATAAGTAATTCTATCGATAGGATCTATAACTCATGTATTTATACTATCGGTGATGGGCGAGCTTCAACAACACGTCATGTCAGATCAGCGCTTTTAATAAGTTGAAGAAAACAGCTGCCCCCAATTAAATAACGGAGGGAGGGCAAACATATTGTCAACAAAACACCATCAGTCGTCATGTTGAGTTATATTGTAACAAAGGGTCTCTTTGTTCGAAGGGGAACAATGAGGGACAAGAAGGGACAGGTGGTACTAGGCGGGGGTAACGTCACAAACCATCCGACAATCCCCCTGGCTTAAAAACGCTCCTGACAGTTACTCAACACACTACAGCTGAGTCAGATAAATAAGACCGTAAACTTGACGGAATACAGATCCTATTGTTTAAATTCACGTACTTGACGTGTGAAAGAAACCTGGTGGATTATTACTTTTAAATGCAGTGGGGTGTGACTCCAGATTACAGAATTATATGTCACCGCGTTCTCGATGATTCTCTAGCAAATTAATAAATGTTGAATAGTAAACTTTATAACTTCATTAATGTATAAAAGTACAAAATATTAAAAGATTAAAGTATTCTCACTTCTCTCGCAGTCGAAATTGTTACAGTTCTGGATTTCTTGATCATTTCCAGGACACAAGGAGGTGTCGCTGTTCTCACAGACCCTGGAGCGGGTCCTGGTACCTCCATCACACTCTTCCGAGCACTGTCCCCAGGGGGTCCACTTAGACCAGGCTGGTGGGGAGGTGAGGTGTTAATAGTTGGTGGGGAGGGGGGCGGGGGGAGGTGAGGTGTTAATAGTTAGTGGGGTCGGAGGGGGGAGAGTTGTTAATAGTTAGGGGGGCGGGGGGGGGGGGGGCTGAGGTGTTAATAGTTAGTGGGCAGATGACTTGTTAATAATAGGATATCCTGAATTCTGAAATGGGCAATCTGGATAAACTTGTTTTAGTACGATTTAGACCTTTTGTCGCTGCTCGCGTGCTTTCGCTAAAATTGAAGCCTAAACGTTAAAATATCAAGAGAATATCAACATAGGTATTTTAAATAGAATGAAACTTACTGAGAATCACAATGATATCCATGGACTCCTCGTCCTCACCCTCGTAGTTAACCGCAGTGACTGTGTACTCTCCACTGTCTGATACTGTAGCGTTGGTAATCTGTGTGGATATAAACGTTACAGGGGATACAGGACTTGAAAAAGAGCTAGCAGATAAAAGAGTATGATCTTATCAAGATGGGGGACGGTGGTCATAATATTACAGTTAGAAATGGTTAACGATATCACTTTTGAATATCTAAAACATATAATCAGCCTTTCTATTTGGAAATAAAACTGACGAGTTTCTATCCCTTACTTTCAACATGTAGACATTGTCGTTGTTGAAGATAGTGACCCTCTGGTCGATCTTCACTTCTACGCCTCCTTTCTTCCACACAACCGAAATTGGAGCTGATCCTGATACCTAAACGAGCAATCCTTAAGGTTTGGTACATTTGACGGTTTCAAATTAAAATGTTGGAGATTTTGATTGTAAGGTTGTAACTAAGCTAACACAAGATCAGGTAATAGAAAATGTAAGCAGAATAAAAGACAGTAAAGGAACTAACCTCGCATGAGAGGATTACTGAATCTCCTCTAGGGATAATCTCCTCGCTCACACCAAACGATTCTATAACTGGCGGTGTTGGGCAGGCGGGCATTTTACAAACTCGCTCCTGACTGTTTGAAGTATCTTGGCAGAGAGCCGTTTCCCCGTTAAGTGTTTCAGTGCATGTCTCTTGTCTGTATTGGACACCAAGTCCACAGGTCACGTCACAGCTAGACCACTCGGTGAAACCGACTGGAGCTGAAGTAGTGAGATAGTGAAATAGTGAAATAATGAAATAGTGAAATAGTGAAATAGTGAAATAATGAAATAGTGAAATAGTGAAATAGTGAAATAATGAAATAGTGAAAAAGTGAAAAAGTGAAAAAGTGAAAAAGTGAACTTACTCTCGACGTTAACTACAACAGTTTGAGAATCAGTGCTGATAGAGTTGGTAGCACTGGCGGAGTACTCTCCAACATCGTCCTCGTTAAAGTTGGTGATGGTGAGTGTGTAGTGGGTCTTGTTAAGAGGAGCTATCAAGTATTTGTCACTGGGTTCTAGCACCTGGGAGAGGGGTTGGTTAGGATAATATCTTGTGGGAAATAGCTCTGTTTGGTTTTAATTCCAGCGTTTCTTTGTTGGATTTGGGTCAGTTGAGATTATAATTTTCAATTCTGTCATTGATATATAGCTCAAAGTATACCTTGTTGTAGAGAGTCCAGGTGATATCTGGTCGTGGTGCTCCCTCAACCTTGGCAACTATTGTTATTCTGGTATCTTCATTCATAGAGGGTCCGTAGATCATGACATCATCGGGTATTTTCTTGGTGACGTCATCAGCATCAATCGTGATGTCATCAGGAGTTGAGATGTCATTGTCACTTTGGGAGAAGTCCACTAGGGACATTGTTACCTCCTCTGAGGACAATTCGTATGAGAGAAGGTAAGCAGGTTTGTCACATACGGGACATACGAGAAAGAGCCCAATTGATTAGTCTAGAAAAATTAAGAATAAACTGGCCGGTAGCGCTTGCCAGCACTGCAATGAAATATTTAATCAGACGCGGTATTTGCTGAGTATTATAACAGCATTAACTTATAAACATACCAAAGACCGTGATGATACCGACTTCAGAGTCTGATCCTTTGCCATTTACAGCGTTACACGTGTAGGCACCACTTTGGCTGGCGTCCCTTATCTTCATTGTCAGAACTGCCTTCACTGTTCCTGTGAGAAAGAGAGCTCTCAACTTTGATATTATTAATAAAACAAATGGAACTTTCACCAAATTTTGAGTTTCGCTTTTCGATCCTACGAAGTGCTCGGTGATCATTTTTGTTCATAAATGTCACACATCAAATAAAAATATGAGATAAATTTAGGAGACATATGTATTTGACTAACCATCATCTTCAAATGTGACATCTATCTGCTGAGGGATCCCCTTCTTGAGGATGTATATTTGAGGGAGAGGGTCTCCAGATGCAATACAAGTTATCTTTGTCTTAGTTCCAATGAAGACTGTACGGTCTTCTGGGCCCGTTAGAATTATCGGTACCTCTGGTTCTGCAAATAGGTGCGGTTAATTAGTGGTTAATCAATTAGTGGTTAATTAATTAGTGGTTAATTAATTAGTGGTTAATTAATTAGTGGTTAATTAATTAGTGGTTAATTAATTAGTGGTTAATTAATTAGTGGTTAATTAATTAGTGGTTAATTAATTAGTGGTTAATTAATTAGTGGTTAATTAATTAGTGGTTAATTAATTAGTGGTTAATTAATTAGTGGTTAATTAATCAGTGATTAATTAATTAGTGGTTAATTAATTAGTGGTTAATTAATTAGTGGTTAATTAATTAGTGGTTAATTAATTAGTGGTTAATTAATTAGTGGTTAACTAGTGCTGTTGAGCTGACGAGTCTAATTGACTGGCAGGCTCACAAAAGAAACTAAAACTTGCATAAAATCATTAACAATAACAAATCACCAATTGAAAGGTGAAATAATCAAAGTAACAAACCATTAATTTGAACTGCAACTGTTACATTAACAGACTCGTAGTTGTTGGTAGCAGTACAGATGTAATCATCACTATCAGAACCGTCAGTTGATGTCAGTACTAGGGTACCGTCAGGGAGGATCTCAGCTGAGGCTGGTATCTGGGCAGATGTGTTAAATGTTAGATGGCAGGAGTCTAGTGATAACAGAATGAAGGAGAAGAATGTCTACTATTTTCATCGTATTATATTTGCTAGAATTTATTCAAGGTTAACCAAACAACCATAAAGAGAATCACTGGCTAATAATATCATCAAATCATACTTCTAGTTTCGGGATAGCCTGTAGCAGGCAACGCCCGATACTAATGTATCTACAGACTTACACAAGTTCAAGTAAGTAGGAAAATATTTCATGCTAGGCATGTGGCTAATAATATAACCTTACCTCCTCCCCACTCTTCCTGCTCCAGGTTATAACAGGTTCAGGGTGACCAATAACGTTAACTGAGAGCCGGACCTCTTGTCCTGACTTTACGGTCACATCTTCTGGTTCAAGTGTGAACTCTATCGGACCTGAGACATAGACAATGATTGTTAAACCCGGGTTAGCGGTACCTTACTTATTAGCCATTACCTTACTTATTACCTTAGTTATTATCTTACTAATTACCTTACTTATTACCTTACTTATTAGCCATTACCTTACTTATTACCTTACTTATTACCTTACGTATTACCTTACTTATTACCTTACTTATTACCTTACTTATTACCTTACTTATTACCTTACTTATTACCTTATTACCTTACTTATTACCTTACTTATTACCTTAGTTATTACCTTAGTTATTATCTTAGTTATTACCTTACTTATTACCTTAGTTATTATCTTACTAATTACATTACTTATTACCTTACTTATTAGCCATTAGCTTACTTATTACTCGTATTCATTACCCATCCTGACTTGAATCCGTCATTTGTAGGTTTTAGACCATGTCTTGAGTATGATCTCATTTTCAATATATTTATATTTAGATAAAAGATTAGTTTCCTTTATCATGTTTACATGAATACAATAAATTCCGAACAGTCACCATACAAGTATGCGACAAATATATATAATGTTCTGATCCGGATATTATTGTTATCATTTTCCTAGCGAGTATGATCTCATTTATCAATATATTTCTACCATCAATATGGCCCTTTTTCAATAAGAGGTTCAGTGGCTCGAGTAACTTACGTTTAACAAAGACAGTAGCCTCGATAGAGATGGATTCCCTGGAGTTCTGAGCGACACACTGGTAGGTTCCAGAATCGTGTATGTTAGCAGGTGCTAGAAGTAATCCACCAGTCTTAAGGGGGATCACTGACTCTGAGGCTTCTACTGGGTATTTGTCCTGGAGGGAGGTGGTTAGGAGTGTTTAATTTATGTAAATATTTAAACTTTTACAAATTATTAAATTTATAAAAGAGTTTAAATAACGTTTATATAATGTTTAATAAAATTAAACATATTTAAAATTCGTAATGAGGAGTGGTAGATAAATAAGTAGGTGATATAAAATAATGAACTTCAGAATTTTGCGAGGATATCAGAAATTTAAATGATAAAAATCTCCTAAATTTAGCAATTAAATCGCCATTCTGTATTAACTAATAAAACTAATAATAAATGTTGCTGTAAGATACAGTTGAGAGAGAACTAGTTGGAACAGTACCTTGAACCATGTGATAGCTGGAACAGGAAGAGCATCAGCCGCGCACAGCAGCACGTGGTGAGTTCCCTCATCTATTACTGTGTTCTCTGGAGTCTCAATGTAGATCAGCTTCCCTGAGGGGAGGAGTTGTGTTAGAGGGAGGAGGAGAACTTTATATAAAGAAGAATCGAGATTTACTTTATCAGTATATAATTCATAACCAATTCCGAAGCAATCATCCTTATTGAAATGTTTGTTGATTTAATCGAAGTAAAATTTCTATCGAGGATTATTTCGATCGAAGGTAGTCCAAAGTTAAGTTAAGGGGGGGGGGGGGGGGGCCAATGGATATTTTTTTGTGAAACTTGATTTCGAGATAGTAGTTGACCAACAAACAAAGACCAGTGACCGAACTTTTGAGGGGGTCCCAGACCCCAACCGCCAAACGGTGCGCGCAGGGCAGCCACGCCCATATTTGGTCCAAATTAGGCCCAATTTAGCCAAATACCCTGAACATGCCCAAAACCAAGGTTTATGGTGCTCTACTTGTAGCTAGTGGTCTTCTGAACTCGTATATGAAATTTCATCAAGATTGGACGAAAAATGACTGAGTTATGAGCCAAAAACCATATGCCCATATTTGGGCATACGCACCAAATTTGGTAGAGTTCGGCCCATAAATTGGCCAAATATCAATATTTTTGAATGAAACTTACTTTATATGAAAGGTAAGCCTAAACTACATATTATCTTTAAGTTATAGCTTTATATCTGTTTAAATGTGGATACTAAGGCGAAAAAACCACAAAAAATGAACTAAATTGCCCATATCTCGGTTCGCAATATTTGCGGAATTGATCTCATTAAAATTGTAACAACTCAATCAGTTTTCAAAATTTTTGCATGAAATTTTCGGAATCGACTCGAAATTGCATTTCCACCTTATTTTAAATACGGATTTTTGATTTAGGCCTCCAAAAAAATTTGGCGGCCAAATTCCAAAATTATCTCACAAAAATTCAGAATTTGGCCGCCAAATTTTTTTGGAGGCCTTAATCAAAAATCCGTATTTAAAATAAGGTGGAAATGCGATTTCGAGTCGATTCCGAAAATTTCATGCAACAATTTTGAAAACTGATTGAGTTGTTACAATTTTAATGAGATCAATTCCGCAAATATCGCGAACCGAGATATGGGCAATTTAGTTCATTTTTTGTGGTTTTTTCGCCTTAGTATCCACATTTAAACAGATATAAAGCTATAACTTACTGATAATATGTAGTTTAGGCTTACCTTTCATATAAAGTAAGTTTCATTCAAAAATATTGATATTTGACCAATTTATGGGACGAAATCTACCAAATTTGGTGCGTATGCCCAAATATGGGCATATGGTTTTTGGCTCATAACTCAGTCATTTTTTGTCCAATCTTGATGAAATTTCATATACGAGTTCAAGAGACTACTAGCTACAAGTAGAGCACTATAAACCTTGGTTTTGGGCATGTTCAGGGTGTTTGGCTAAATTGGGCCTAATTTGGACCAAATATGGGCGTGGCTGCCATGCGCGCACCGTTTGGCGGTTGGGGTCCGTGACCCCCTCAAAAGTTCGGTCACTGGTCTTAGTTTGTTGGTCAATTGCTATCTCGAAATCAAGTTTCACAAAAAAATACCCATTGGCCCCCCCCTTAAGTAAGTTGATAGTGAAAAGGGATTGATTAATTAATTAATTAATTAATTTAATAAGTGCTCACTCCAGATGACGACACGGAAGTCCTGGAAATCAGTTCCGTACATGTTGCTAGCAGTGCACCGGTACCACTCCACCATGTTCTCTTCCGCTTGTATCCTGATGATACTCGTCACTGTTGATACCTGGAGGGAGCCGATGTGCTGATGTCGAGTTAGAGAATGCGATCAAGAATAGAGGTCTCGTGATTAGCACGTGGGAATAGAGGTCTCGTGATTAGCAGGAATAGTGGTCACAATATTAGCAAATAATTCTAGTAATCAGTAGATTATGGAGGATCATGCTACAACCTATCTAAAAAACTAAACTTATCTAAATGCTCAAGAGCATTTAGATAAGTTTCGCAATTCGCAGGCCTGAAAATTCCCCAAAACCCCTCCACCAACCTCCATGAGAGCAATGTCCTCAGTTCTGTAATATCCCCTGTACTTCACATCCTCTATACCCTCATTCCTGGGGATGATGGTCTGGGTGTTGGTGGGGGTACCCCTTCCTGAACACATCATCTGGATGTTATCTCCCAGCTCCACGTAGTAGGTCACCGCCGGAGACAGGATGGTGGAGGTACGGCAGTCTGGAGGAAGAGACCAGGTTAGTGTGGAGAAGGAAGGGAGACAGATAAGAAATTTACTCGGACATGTTCTGTCAAAAGTGCAACAAGTCACTTGTGAGATGCACTTATCGTAACCAAAAACGTGAAGACTTTGAATTGGCATTTATTTCGAATAAATGCAAAGATTCTAGTGAATACTCACTTATTCTTAAAACAGTAAAGTAAGCCATGGATGTAATGTCTGATCCTTCGATCATCTCCCACTGGGATCCATTCCAAGTTAACACAACACCTTGAGCAGCTTCCTTATCATCATCATCATCATCCTTAACAATACCACCATCAGTCATGACGTCATCATCCTTCTTGGTGACGTCATCATCAGTGACGTCATCACCAGGTGACGAGCCCATTATCTCGGGAGTACTGAACAGTCTGGTGATGTGTACTCGTGATATCTCCACAAGACGTCCGAACCTGATGTTCTCGAAGGGAAGAGAGAAAATGGTTTGATCGTCCTTGTGTGTGAGGATCAGGTTGGGTCCGTTCAGGGACATGGAGGATATGGAGCTGAGGGGACGGAGTAAGACGGAACCAGTCTCTGTTACGTTATGAATACCTGCCGGGATTATGTTTTAGAACATTTATTGCTTACTTTTCTAATAATTTATTGCTTACTTTTCTTTAAAATGAAGTATCAGTTCATCTGAATATTTTGATTTATAACAAAGTTAAGTTTCAAAAAGTATCCACAAAAACCCGCAATATGAGGGAAATTCGAGGAATGATCAGCCATTAAAGCTACTTGAATATTTATGTAATTTACATAAATATTTATTTAATTTACTAAAATATCCATCGAATTTACTTAAACATTTATGTAATATACTTGAATATTTATTTAATTTATTCAAATATCCATTTAATTTATTTATTACTATCTAATTAGCAGCTATCTCTCACCTCTCTTATTAAGAACAAGTATAGTCTTGTAGGTGTCAGGTAAGCTAACAACAGAGTAAGCGAAGCTGATACCCTGGTGTAGAGTAGGGTAGGTGGTGTAGGCTCTGGATATCAACAGTCTGTTGTCTGTGTCTGAGTAGTATAATGTACCTTCCCATGACACGTGTAAAACCTGGGGACGGTAACAATTATCACGTGGGTTGGACAGGTATTAGAATTAATCTAAAAACGTTTAATTAACACAGGTTTCTACTTTATAGCTCAGTGAAATAAACATGAGCAGAATCTGAGTATTTGCGTTCACAACTACGGGTTTAAAATGTCTAATTTCAGGTCCTGACTGTGTTAATTGAGGTACACTCTTCTGGAGATTATAAATACCTTGAAGTCTGGTTTGAAGATGACACTACCCCGTGTCTTCTTCTGCTCGTCCAGCTCAGTTATCTTGTGTTTCTTTATCTCTCCAGTTGTTAGCACTATGTAGATCATACCACCTTCGTTATCAATAGCAGCACACTCAACCTGTAAAACTCTCGTTTAATTATTTAATATATCAACCAAATAAGGTCCTAGGGCTCCTTTTATTTATACATTAAATAAACGGGCCTAGCGGTGATTTAAGCTAATCTACACCAGTTAACACAGGAATATCAGGTAAAACTCTAACATGAGTACACTCAAGTGACAAGTTAGTGACACAAGTTCCTACCTCGGTGAAGCCAGGTATCCTGGTCCAGGAGTCTGTGTAGTCTGCAGCAGTGTGGAGACGTCTGTCATACCCTACTCCTATTATCTTGCCTGCAGTTTACGGGATTTAAAATACTGATTCTGTTATATTATATTTATTTAAAAACCCAAATAGGGCCTAGTAGTCCTAATAAGCATTTTTTAAATAATTAAAAAAGAGAATAGAAATATTCGATAGGCTTACAGGTTGAATTTAAAGAATTACGGGTCAATTATGCGAATCAACACCAATTAGTCTACATATTCTTACCGTTATAGTGTCCCACGATATGTAACATGGGTATCCTTGTGATAGTAGGTTTCCACATACTCCCAATACCAGTCTTGAAGAGGGAGTATCCAGAGGTACGCTGAGTTGCCACCATCTCGTCAGAGACCACAGCTATAGAGGTCAGAGAGTCCTTGTTGGATACCCACTGGGTACCGTCTATACGTCTGATATGAGGATACCAGGTTTGAGAAGACAGATTGAGAAGACGATAATCCGCATGTAGTTGTTGATGATATTATAACGAGTTTTAAGTGATCGAAGTTATCAGAATCTTCCAAATATCATAAGCCTAACCCGGGGGGATTGTCCTAACAATCCAACAAGGGTAAACGCTTAGTCCTACCTGTGAAGAAGGTCGAAAGTGGATACATCTGTAGCCAGGAGCTTGACAGCACCCAACTCAGAGTACACAGCAATGGAGTTAACACAGCAGGAGTCAGGAAGGAGGGTGAGGTACTCTTGTCGGCCGGTCAGAGGGTAGGTGTAGACTTGGTAATCTGCCAGCACTAGATACAACACCTGGCAGAGGGAGTGTGTTTATACAGTCAATACAGGGAGGGGTGAGAGTCAACACTTTGCTCATTCAAATCCCACCTCGTTAAAGAAGACTCTAAGGGTGGCATATTGTGATGCCTAAAGGCTGTAAACTGTACTAATCTAAGTCCTAAGTTAAGTTTTAACTTGTGGTGAAGAGTGTTGCATGACCACAGTGAAAAATGAAAATGAACCGTACCTGTTGGTAAACAGCAGCATCTAGAACACCAGTAGTGATGAAGATAGGATAAAAGGTGAGATGGTCGGGTGATATGTACATATTACCGTCACCCAGTGTTGCCAGGTACTGTGGTTCTGAAAAAGAACGGGGTTATCTTTTAGAGGAATAATTTATTAATAATTTAACACTTTTTTAACTGTTAAAACATAATTTGCAGTAGAAGTTTTTGAATAATATTTTAATATAATATTTTTAATATATCAACATGTCTGGCCAACTTCTTTGCCGTCCACAAGAGACTCACCTATAATGGTAATCTTGACAACAAGTGACTCACCTATAATGGTTACCTTGACAACAAGTGACTCACCTATAATGGTAACCTTGACAACAAGTGACTCACCTATAATGGTAACCTTGACAACAAGTGACTCACCTATAATAGTAACCTTGACAGCCTCGGACTTGACACTGTCTCTACCATTAGAGACCGTACAGAAGTAGCCAGCCTCGTGATAAGCCTGGATATCGTAGATGTGTAAGTCTCCGTTATCTCGCACAGAGCTGTGAGTCTTATCGTTATCTATCACTTCTTCTGTTCCGTCATCTCTGTGGAGACATGGTCGATTAGTGGAATTATCGTTAATTCATCAATTAGACTGGCACGAATGGAGGGATTAACTATCAAAGATTATTCCCCTGCAAGTTTTATCAGAATATTTTATTCATAATGGTAATGTCACCAGATGCCTTGATTACACATAAAAATCCAAATATGTTAATAATGTGTAATGTTTATAATAATATGTAGTGTTGATAATGGCAGGATTTTAAGGTAGCTTACCCGACTTTAGTCCAGACGAATATAAGCTCAGTGGAGCTTGTAGCCTGTATCTTCAGTACAATATTACCACTTATATAGGTACTTTGGGAGAGGGGCTGAACTGTTATACTGAACGTGTCTGCAAAGTTAAACAATTAGTTTAATTAGTTAATTAGTTGATTAGTTTAATTGTATCTATGAGTTATTTTATCGTGCGATCAAGCTACTCGAGCAAATTAATGGTTTGATAAAATCCTACAATGTTCACTAAATGTTAGTTGTGATGTTACACTAACCGTAGACAGTGATAGTGGAGCTATCAGTAGATACGTAATCTCCGTTATCAGCATGGATAACATAGTCACCCTCATTATCAAACGTTATACTCGAGATGTAGTAAGTTACTGTTATCGAGGTGTCGTCCTGGAGATGGGGGGTTTATTGAGATTTCCAGATAATTTGATAAATAAACTAGTTTATAAACTCACATCAGTCGCAAACTCAGTTCTGACTGTAAAGTGTAACTGTATAACAGGTTGAAAGATGTTGAAAAGATGTTGAACAGATGCTGCTAAATAGAGTAAACATCTTGTAACTACAGTTCCAAACCTTGTTGACTATAGTGGTAGGGATGATGACCCCCTTAAATGTCATGTAAACATTAGGTTCAGGTCCGGTGTAGACCACGTAGCCTATCAACATAATGTCAGTGTTGACTTTAGCCAGGGAGTCAGGCTGAGGAGTGTAGGGATCCACTAGGTTACCATCAGAGTCTAGTTCAGGGTCTGATACTACGTCTAGTTTTACTTGTGGGGCTGTTCCTGTGGGGTACAGTTTTAAAATATTAAATAACTTTGTCAGTATAGAGACTCGAAATAGCATATACACAGATTTAATTAGAAAACAGCCGCTCAGTCTTCATGAGGTACGTTTTTAAGTTGGTAATGTTCAGTAAGGCTAGGTTAAATTGTTAATCTTGCAGGTACCACCCGTATTCACACTCAGAATTGAGTTTAGTCATTTTCTAATACGAGATTGGGGACGGGTTATAAACAAACAAACAAACAGTTAGTCTTGAGATATAAATCACTGACCGTTGCAATAAGAGGCGGATACCAGCTCAGTAGCATCAGTCAGACCACATCCTCCACTGTACTCAACCCAGGGGCTGTCCAGGGTGGTCTTAACCTTGAGACGGTCAGGGTAAACTCCTAGTAGTCCGTAGTGCTGGTAACTGTCTATTGAGATCAGACTGCCAGCTGATTCTATTATCTGGAGTTAGGATATTTAGACTTAGTTATACTTCATTCGAATATTTTTGTTAATTTTTTTTTAATTGAACAAAATTGTATTTTTTAGAATCTTGAAACCTTGCTAACACCAACAAATTAAAACTTAGTTACTCTTCACAACTTACCTCCCAAACGAGAGTTTCAGAGCTCTTGCTGACAACTATATCCCCTTCGGAACTAATGGCTACAAATCCAGCTTTGTACGTTGAGAAATCTTGTAAGTTCAGGAGAGAAGTATGTCTCTGGAGCTGGTTACCGATCACGGAGAATAGGACTCCGTTCTTCAGCACCCATATCGTGCCTACACAGTCCACCTGAGAAATTAGCATTGTAAAAGTTTGAAATTAATTTACATTACCAATAGATTTTTGATGCAATTTCACAGGTAAAGATTAGATGAATAATACAGACAGTATTTTCAATTCTTAAAGTCCAGTCCAAACCCTGGCATCGTTTTAATTTGTACTTAAAAGCACTAATAATACAGCAGGACTCGTTGTATTGGTAAATCGATTTTTGTTTTCAGTCGGATATGTCTGTACTAGAAAGGTATTTGCTCACCTCTACAGCAGTAAATCCGGTGTGCTCGTCCAGAGTACGATGCCAGTCGTTCGTGAGACTGGTCCTCACGTAGAGGTGACCATCGTCTCCCACAGCGTAGATCTTACCAGAGGAGCTGGTCGCTATACTCCTCATCTCAGTACTGATACTTGACATGCTGGGAGGGAGGAGGTGATAATTTCTCTTTCAACAGATAAAGGCTCTATAATTTTAGTGGTATAGTGTGAGTTCTTCCTACTAGACCACTTTTTGGACAATATTCGAGAAGCCTGTCTATTTTAAGAAAATTCAAAATATCTTACCTGACTTCTTGCCACCTGTTCCTAAGGTCATTGTATCTAACGACTTTGTTATTCCTGTTAACCTTGTAATCACGTGACTGAGTCATGGTGACACCATCATCAGAGCAGTTGTAGGAATCGTCACACTTCTTGTAGGATACTCCGTCTGTACTGATGTAGAGGGCACCAGAGTGGGACTCTATGTTCTGGACTTGTTCGCCGAACATGTGCACATCCTGAAAAACGTACAATGTCAGAGTCTGACAAGGTCAAAACTCAAATTTTGCGCTTATCCTGATTCAATGCGCCTTTTTCCTTCCCTAACTACGCGGTAACGTAGTTTTAGTGATGGAAACATTCTGATGATATCAATAAGAAGTATAGAAATACAGCCAAAAGATCTAAGCCAGGAGTGATTGGAGGACGTACTTGATACTGTTGTCCAGAAGCGATCCCTGCCGAACCTACCTAAAGTAACCTAAAGTAACCTAAAGTAACCTAAAGTAACCTAAAGTAAGCTAAAGTAACCTAAAGTAACCTAAAGTAACCTAAAGTAACCTAAAGTAACCTAAAGTAACCTAAAGTAACCTAAAGTAACCTAAAGTAACCTCAAGTAACCTAAAGTAACCTAAAGTAACCTAAAGTAACCTAAAGTAACCTAAAGTAACCTAAAGTAACCTAAAGTAACCTAAAGTAACCTAAAGTAACCTAAAGTAACCTAAAGTAACCTAAAGTAACCTAAAGTAACCTAAAGTAACCTAAAGTAACCTAAAGTAACCTAAAGTAACCTAAAGTAACCTAAAGTAAGTAATAGACGTACCCAGTTGTGCGTGTTCTGGTTCCAGGACACGAGCCAGTTAGTGGGGGTTATACCGTATATTCTATCTCCTACTAGCGCTAACTTTCTTACACAGCAGCTGTCGTGAATGTGTACCTGAGGGAGAGAGGGGGTAACGGGTATACAAACAAACAAACTGACAAACACACAAACAAACGTTCATCCTGACATAAAATCACAGTCCCTCTCTACGATCAGCCAGTTCCATCGCCAATGGGGATCGTGCGCGTGAAACGACTCTTGAATTGAGAATATTTGTGTAAAAAAGGAAAATATCAAACCGGTACTGAGTCAATGTCGGATGCTCTGTAGAGTTCGTTATCCAAACCAACCAACAATATAGAGTTGCCTGATACTATGAAATTCGGGTATTAGAAAAATGTGATTGTTTCAGTGCTCAAAGTCTAAAAATGAGGTGAGGGGTTTTGAACAATCTGTATAGAAAATGGCATAAATAAGGACAAATCTGTTTCAGATTCATTCAGACTAGGGTGGAAATGTAATAGCATACTATAAAATCCCATTAAAAGTAAATAATGTGCTTGCATTCCGTTAAATTCAGATGTTAGTTTTTCTGAGATTTCGAGAGAAATATTTATAAAAAACAAATCGTATCAATCTTTCATTTTTAGGGCAGCTTTATAAGTAGGCCAGCTTTCTGGTATATCCCATCCCGGAAAAAAGAGAACATATTTTGAGAATAAAGAATCATGCACTGTTAGTATTAGTCTCGTCTGGTGCACTCTTACCCAGTTCGTGTTCGCGCAATTCACTTGGAACTTCTAATAATACGAACAATGTTTATGAAGGTACAATACGTGACCTAAATACTCTAACTCTATTTCCTAAATACTCTATTGCCTACAGAGTGGCACTAAAATCAGCAAGCATGAAAAAGTCAATTATTTCAACTTTTACATGAAGTACTCTTGAAGTAGTTAATTAGATCCTCCCGGTAAAAACTCAATTTGAGCAGATATATAGTTATCCGATATCACCAAATTTCTGATTTCACAAGATTAGTCTAATTGTGGTACCTGCTACATCAAGGTACAAGGACACAGAGTCCACCATCTGGCAGGAGGAGTTGACCGGTTGCTTAAACAGACTGTCGTCTTCTACTCCAATGATTACAGGATCTGAAACGTTTGGAGATCTTAATATTGTAGTAAGCGGTAAAACGGTATGAGTTGTTCTGGAAAATGCTGAAATACCTTGCTGGACCTAATTTGTCCGGCGGCCCTATTTAACTAGCCAAGATTTTCAGCAGGAGACTTCTGGAATAGTAAAAAACTTGATCGGGCATGATATTTAATTTTATTACGAGATTTCGTGGCTATTTTATAAATGCTCACCGTGTACAATAAACAAAATAAAACCCAAAATTTAACCAACATTTTCTGCCGGGGATTTTATAGCTATTTTATAAATGTTTACCGCGTACAATAAAGCCCTCTTACCTTCGATAGAAGTTTTAGCTTCAGCTGTGATAGTACCGAAAGTGTTTTTAGCTACACAACTGTAGATTCCAGTGGTTTCTTCAGTCATCACAAACGACAGTAGGTAGCCAGGCGCACTCTAAAAATGAGATTTGGTGAGATGTTTACTTTTTTAGAAAATAAATGAACCATAATGAAGGATGAGTACCGCCTGAATGTAGACTGAAGAACATTAAAAAAGAAAACTACCCACCACGTCATCTATCTTGTCTCCGTTGAAGTACCAGGTGATCTCAGGGGTGGGTGTACCCTTAGCTATACACAGGAGGTTAACCTGCTGTGGGTCTGATGTTACCACGCTCTGGGGCTTCACTTCGAACTCTGGAGCCGCTGAAATGTTCGGACATTAGAAATGTTTCACTATCTATCAAAATAAAGTATGATGATTTTTTGAGGATGATATTTTTGTGTAATCTTGGCGTTTTATAGTGTCTTTTGTGTGATCTTGGTATTTAAAAAAGTGTGTTCTGTGTGATCTTGGTATTTAATAAAGTGTTTTCTTCTTACATCCAACAGTTAATGTAGTCCTGCTCTCATCACCACCAAGTTTGTTCTCAGCGATGCAGATGAACACTCCACCATCTCCTAGTTCCACACCCTCTATCTCATGCACAGTTACACTGACCATGTTGTCGGTGATTTCTTCAACAATAATCGTTTCTTTTCCTGGGGTAAGTTATTGTACAGTCAATGGTAAACAGGTTATGATAGTCATGATTTATCAAATAAAATGGAAAGCATACGTTTTTTATATGTTACTTTTTAAAAATCAATCGAGGGGTTATACATATTTGTTAAAGACCCACCTGTTTTATCAACATGTTTGATGATGATAGTCGGTGGAGGGAATGCATCAACAACAAGTATCAGAGTATAGTCAGTTCCTACTGGCAGTTCTTCGTCGGGGTTCAGTGAGATTATAGACGGAGCTCGTTCTGAGGGGGGATGTGGTTAAATTTCACTCTATTTCACTTTATTTCACTTTATTTTGAATAGGATATCAACCATTTCACAGGCATCGGATGCAGACTGTTATACTGTTGTGATAAACGATTGAAAATATGATTTTATCCAAAACTCTAAAAAAGCAAAGTTGTACCTATATTAGAAGTGAGCGAAATGTAAGAAGAAAATGTAAGATCAAGAAGGCATAGTATCAGCAAAATGACTAGCATGCCTCTCTCTTTTTATCATCATTTCCATCCAGTCACATGAGCACTACTGTAAGTGCTGCGTACTTGTTAAAGTTGCGTTCAAAAAGCAGATTAAAATAAATTAAAATAAACGCTCAAATCCATACATTTAAACTGATAAAAAGTATCGATAGTTTCCTTCAAGATCGTTAAACAGCCAAAGTTACGCAGCAATTATTCTGCATGCGTGGAGGATAAAGTGAAGTCTCCAACAGCAGACGCCATGCTTGGAGTACAGCAGACTTTTTATCTTTATTTGTGATCGCATTCAAATGTTGTGAAACATTGTGGGAATGGTTTGCAGTCGCATGCTAAATCTAGGGAACACTCCAGTTCGTGTCAAGTTGTTCCGCTCTTGGCACTAAAGCATGAACTATTGCAGTAGTTTCACTACTGCTTCAGAGGAAACTTTTTAGCGGCATTAAGGGAAAGTGGGGATCAAGTGAAAATAAATAATGACGAATAATAAGGCATAATTAAGCATCATAAAGCACAATGAAGCATTGAAGCATTGACGTAAGTTGGGCACAGATAAAATAAAATAGAAGGAGTGGGATTACTTGAGATATGATCAATTCGCACCTGTCTGTCTTGTTTGCAACTAAGATGAGACTGAAGGGGCTTATCTAATAAAAATGCATTACCTGATAGCAGATAAAACTGTAATAAGCATCAAGATCGGTATTAGTACAATTGACACAAAATCTGGAAATCTGCTCTATAAGTTGGCTAAAGAATCTAATAAGGATGCTATCATCTCTCTAGTGATCACTTAAAATATCTTATATTACTGTTAACAAGCACATGTTGGGAAGTGAAGCATGAAGTGCTGAGTTTGTTTGTATAAAATAAAGGCTGCAGTGCAATATCGTGTCAACTTTTAAAAGTAATCGGCAACATGTTTTGTCTTTGAAGTAGTGTGAATCTGGCATCTGGCTAACAAAAGGTAGCGTACTAGGTGGCATTGAGAGCAAAAAAGCAAGGGCTGTTCCCTGATCAAAGAAGTAAAACCACAGTTTAAATGGCATTCGTGGAATGCCGACACTCCTGTGGTTGAAATGAACTAGAAATAGAAAATGCCCCGGAAGAGGACCCACAATGTCATAGGAGGAGTGAAGAAGTGTGACCACAATACGATTCTCCAATTTAGCAGTACTCTGCTACTTCGCAAGAATGTGCAAAAATCGAACAAGTATTAATAAGGAGATACTTAATCAATGACGGCCGCATAGATAGCCGCGAGAATACATCTAATTTAAGTTTTAACATTTGTATCGGTTAGCCAGCACGATATCTGATCTTTTGTCTAAACTGATAAGGCTGCGTGGGAATAAGAGTTGCAGAATTAAAATTTTGAAATGGCAAGAATACAATGCAAAACAGGCAGCAGTTCTCGGAAATAACCGCTAAGAAGGAGCTCTTAAATTTGTGGTATTATTCTGCGTGACGAATGAGTTCCTTTCATTTTCAGAACTGAGGAAAAATGCAGAATCAGTGTGAGAGCCAAAGACCACAAACTCAATAATAATAACAGGGGAATTCAATCAGCTGTGATTATTATCTCTTTAATCTTTTAATTATCAATGAAGTTGGGTGTAAACTGTAAAACTGTTTCTTCACGAGGATAAAATTAAATTAAAGATAACTGGTCTAAAATTTAGTGTATGGGGTTATTGGAACCTCTGCGGGGGTTGCCGGTCCTGCAGAGGTCATTCCTGCATAAGCAATCAGCCGCATATTACTCTATATATCATATCAGAAAACCTCTGAAGATAAGTTATTTTCATTCTAAAGATCTAGTGGCCCTCCACGAGATAGCCTAGGTTGGTGTTTGTTCATGCCATGCCGCAAATAAGAAACACATGCGAAGTAACGCGTGCTGCACGTGATGCAGGTCACGTGATGCAGGTCACGTGATGCAGGTCACGTGCAGCAAGTAGCACGTGCAGTACAGCTGTACAGGGTGATCACCTCCTTGTAGAGATATTTGGGGTTGGCAATTCTCGTTTAATTGGGGATGGTGCTGGGCTGGGAGGGGATTTTTGTTTTGAAAAAAATGTCCGCTGATAACTTTAAAGCTTGTTTTGTTTGAACATGTGCTTCTAATCGACTTCTAATTATCTAATCAAGAGGCTACAAAAAGCCAGAAAACATTAGAACTAACCGACTCCATCAACTGGTATCCCCATAGCACCATCACTACCACTGCATCTATCTGATTTAAACCAGGATAGCGAGCTTACGTCATCAACTACGTCATCATCAGCCAGGTATACGTCACGAGTCTCACTATCTACAGCAAGCCATTGTTTGGTCGGTACCGAGTAGTGGATTGTTAACGGACGGAAGGGCAGAGAAACCTGAATCAAACATATGTTGGTAAATAATCTTAATTTAAAAATGTTTGTAGAAATATTTATGATGACATGTGATTATGTTTGTCTCATAATTGTTTGACTTGATTTGATTTAACCCAAAATTAACCCAATTCGACATGCTATGTCGTTTCAACTTTTAAAGCTTCTGAATAAATATAAATGAATATTCGCTAGTCGGATAATCGTGTCGTGATGTTCCCCTACCTCTTGCCAAACCCTCTGTTTCTTTAACACAAACAGTCGGTACTCTCCGTTAACAGCAAGTACCACTCCCTCCCTGACTGCCACGTTGATGACGTCATCAAGGGAAGGCAGGTCGAGAGTAGCACCGTCAGCAGATAGCAGGGAGAGAGAGGAGGAGCGGACTACTAGGTAGACTTCAGAGTCGGGGGAGAAGGAGAAGGAGGCGGCTGTTGCTGAGTCTGGTGGGGTGGAGGTTCGTTAGATGGTATTATAGTTAATATTAGTTGTTGTGAGGTAAAGCATATTATTTTGACATTGTAATAATATCTATACGGCGGCAGTAAAACACCGGTTAATTTGAAGGAAAGTACCGCAGAAATTACTTACCGACTGAAGCAACAGCAGAATAACAGCACATGTTGAGGGGTTCCCAGCTCTCAGATATGTTCTTCTTGGTTATCAAGGAGTCTGTACCCAGTTCAATTCCTCTGAAATTGAAATCATGTTTTAAAATATGATCTGAACAGTTTGCCATGATAACTTATTTAGGTTATTTATTCAATATAAATTTTCATTTTATTTCCGTTTTAAGAGGCGTACCTGAAGCTACCATTGTGACCAGTAGTAATGTACTTCAACTTGGTATCTTCATCTTCGTCTATCCTCACCCACTCACCGTTGGTGCAGATGTGCACACTACCGTCTATAATACCCACCAATGGTAGGTCTGAGGAGAAGGAAATATAAAGGTTCAATGATCAGATAAGAATTGTAGCAAATAGTAAGGCAAGAAATATATTAGCAAATATTTTCCTTATGTGGTATCATCACGATAATAGGGGGTCCGACTCCAGAACTCACCTATAACGACAACAGTTGTTTCGGAGACAATCTTATCATAGGGAGTCTCTACCTCACACCGCACCGTGTCTCCGTTTGAGACGTTTAGAGACACATGAGTCTCATTCTGGGAACAGGTAGAGATAAGTTATCAACTGTATTGCTGGTCATCTGCCAACTTTTGTTGTAAAAGAACTCGAAATTAAAAAGGTTCATGTTTCACTATCAGATCCTGAACATCAAATAACAGGCTAAGATAAACCAAGACCACTCAAAGTTACCTGTACATCAAGAACAGGTTTATCGTTGATGAACCAGTTTATGGTAGCTCCAGTCTCAATGTTAGGAACACCCACGAAACTGCTAGGCTCGTCAGTGTACACAACTGTAGTGTCTGATAGCTCGGTCTCCCATTCAAGTGGTTCTGCGGAGGGAACAATTCATGATTATCAGGTTAGTTTTTTACCGTGTCACTTGTAAATTGTTGGGAATGACGATCATAATTAGTGGGGAATGGTTAAAACTCGGTCAGTCAGATGCAGATGGATTTCAGATCTTGGCGTTATCTAAGAAGCCTCATCACTAAGGGTAGACAATAGACATTAAGCTAGACATTAGGGTAGACATTAGGGTAGACATTAGGGTAGACATTAGGGTAGACATTAGGGTAGACATTAGGGTAGACATTAGGGTAGACATTAGGGTAGACATTAGGGTAGACATTAGGGTAGACATTAGGGTAGACATTAGGGTAGACATTAGGGTAGAAATTAGGGTAGACATTAGGGTAGACATTAGGGTAGACATTAGGGTCGACATTAGGGTAGACAACTTTAAGGTTCTTACCGTATACGACCACATGAATGACCTCTGAGTCAGTTCCAGCAGGACTGACAGCAAGACACTCGTAGTGTTGGGACGAGGTCAGGTCGTGGAATATCTGGACTGTGGACACTGTGCTGGACACTGTGTTCTGGGGCTCGTAGCTCGCCTGGAGGGTTATTAAGTTAATTAAGTTATTAATAATTATTAAAAGAACAAAAAGAAGAAAAGAAAAAAAAAAGAGAAAAAAAGAAAGGGTTATTATGATAAATCTACTGGGGTGTGATAGAAGAGATGTAGAAATGCACATCTTTCCCCTAATGTACAATGTACAATGTACAATGTATACTAATGTATAGGATAAAGTATGAGTTATACTGGTTACCTGAGCAGGACTGGGTTGTATGACAGTAGTAGGGGTAGGAATACCGAACACAGTACAAGTCAGGGTAACACTTGCTCCTACAGGTACCACTAGGTCCACTCCGCTGAACGAGGTTATCTCCGGTTCTGATAGCGCTACAAAGGGGAGGGAGGAGTGAGAGCATGTTGAATATGTTGAACATGTTGAACATGTTTTAGCAAGGTTGGATATACTTCTTAACTTGGAAAATGGCGCGAATTCATTTATTTACATATTTTTCCGGCTTCAAGTTGAAATGAATTGAATGTATATGACAGATTCTAAAGATCCAGCTAATATGAAAGTCACGGATGTGAGTTACTTACGTATGGAGTCTATGGTGATGTGAGTTACTTACGTATGGAGTCTATGGTGATGTGAGTTACTTGCGTATGGAGTCTATGGTGATGTGTGTTACTTACGTATGGAGTCTATGGTGATGTGAGTTACTTACGTATGGAGTCTATGGCGATGTGAGTTACTTACGTATGGAGTCTATGGTGATGTGAGTTACTTACGTATGGAGTCTATGGTGATGTGAGTTACTTACGTATGGAGTCTATGGTGATGTGAGTTACTTACGTATGGAGTCTATGGTGATGTGAGTTACTTACGTATGGAGTCTATGGTGATGTGAGTTACTTACGTATGGAGTCTATGGTGATGTGAGTTACTTACGTATGTAGTGTATGGTGATGTGAGTTACTTACGTATGGAGTCTATGGTGATGTGAGTTACTTACGTATGGAGTCTATGGTGATGTGAGTTACTTACGTATGGAGTCTATGGTGATGTGAGTTACTTACGTATGGAGTCTATGGTGATGGGTGTTATGGCTACTAGTGGACAGGAAGACGCTGGTTTCACCCAAGCGTTCTTCTGGTTCCGGTACACCAGCTCGTTTGAAGAAGTTATTCCTGTTGGGAGACAGCAAGTTTAATATCTTAATAAGAACTGTAAGTGGTACTTCTTCTTTTTTAGATAGTTTTTATATGGTCGAAAGTTGTATCATGAAATTGTATAACCTCGATTGGAAACTCTTTCACGAAATCTTGATTTAAATTTCTATGTACACTATTTTACTAGAGTAATAATGGCATGGTTACTGTGATATTAAGATTAAGAGACTAACCAAGTATTTTGTTATCATACACGGCCACGTGGTTTAGTTTGAAAGGTACAGAGATGTGTCCTTTCCAAGCTGACTTGACATCAGCTGACGATTTCTGCATCAACTGTGGAAATGACGGTTAAAAATCTTTATTTCGAATTACCGAACACTTCTCAACAAAATAGTATTGTCAACCAAAAAAGTGTGAGACTTTCCTGCATAGTGGGAAAACTTTCCAGCGCAACTGTTATGGTTTCCATGAGGGGAAATGAGAAGCTGAAAAGTCTAATTTGTCCTGATATACCTTGTAATCCAGAACCACAGCTAGAAGCTCTCCGGTGTTGAAGAATGAGATGCTCCTGTATTTCCCACCCGTGTTCTTTACCTGAGTTGTTTTAAAGTTTAACGGAGTTGTATTTTTATTGAGGCAGAAAAATTAATATGGAAGTGGATAACACCGATAGGTCATCGTGTAATTAATAGTGTTATAGAAGCGAACTTTTGATCAATAAATTTATATATAGCCGCAAACTCACTCGTTTCCAAGATTTAGAGTTGAGTTTTGTCCAGAGGTTACCAGGTTTATCAATAGCATACAGCACGTCACCTGGTCCTACAGCCACGTCTTTTAGTGTTACCCTGTAGATAAGTGAACAACTGTAAAAACAAATTATTATATAACTTGATTAACTTAAACACCGTCATTATCTTAATACCAACGAACTATTACATGAAACTGTCTTAACTTAAGAACATGCGACACCGGAGCAACTTGTCACCTGATGCCCTTATATGGTCATGACTGACTTACTTAGCGGGTAAAGTATCATCCTGGGTGAATGGTCCTAGGAAGGAGTCAGCGACCCACAGGGCTCCCGCATCATCCACTCCGTAGAGCTGTCCACTTCCGGGATGTGCAGTGATCGCCTGGAAAATATTACGAAATATAAAAACTGAAAGGATAAAAGATTTTCCATCAATAGTTTATATTCCGGACGAGGCAATGTAAAAAATTTAGAATTGAAATTTGTGTCTGTCTTTAAATTAATTTCACCTTGAATTTGTGGGATGAAGGGATTTCTCTGCAAGAGTCCTTGATTGCGTCCTTTACAAACAGGTTCCCTTCAACATCAACACCAACAAACTTTGGAACTGAAAAACAAAGTGTTAACGATAGTGCAACTCATGTAATGATCACTTAATTTATTTGAGGGATACCCCTAGTGATAGCAAGTTAAATTTTTTTAAATTAAAAATATTAAATGAATTAAAAAAATAGATACTCGATAAATAGATAAAGTAGACATTAATAAACTTACTGTTAACATTAACGTGAGCGTTGGCCAAGATGCTGAGATCACCATTCTCCGCGATACACGCGTAGTTACCGGAATCTTCAGCTGCTACGTTGTGCAGCACAAGACTACCGTTACCGTGCAGGATCACATCACTGCTGTTTGTCAACATTCGGTTTCCTGGTTTTAGGGAGAAATATTGAGATGAAAGGTATTTATACTTCATGTTTATAAACTTATTACAAATTTTACCCGCTGTTCATCCAAACTTTCTGGACTTAGGAAACTGAAAAAATCATTTAAAGAAATGCTAAATTCCCTGCCAATTTTGTTTGAGCGTGTTGCTTGACTTGCGAGTAGACTAACCGATGAGCCAGAAGACCCTGATGGGGAGAGGTTTGCCCTGAGCAGCACAATCCAGTCTGACTGTTAGACCAGCAAACGTGTCCACATCGTTAGGTTGCACTGTGAACTGTAGGTACACATCTGACGAACGGGGTGCTACGTGTTAGGAGCAATTACAAATTGTAAATCATAGGATCAAGTCAAAGTTTTGTGCGAAAACTTAAAGAGAATAACTCGCCTAGTGTGTATTACCACATTTTAAATTGGCTTAGAATCAAAACTATTTTACAGCTTATGATCCAACTAAAAAGAAAGTGAAAGTAAAGCACTCACTCTCAAGAGCAGAAGAGGAGGGCACTACAGGTGGGGTGACTGTCACCTTGGTAACCGGTTCAGCAGTAGTACTTATATCAGGTCCTTTTGATGTGGTCACACCAGTGATCACACCTGGTCCGGTGGTGTAAGGAATCTTCTCATCAGAGTTCGTAGAGCGGACTGTAGGTGGAGAGGTGGTCTTCTTCTGTTTGTTTGAATCTGTTGTGCCGATATCAGGTTTGGAAGAGGTCGGTTTCTCTTTGTTTGATCCAGAGCTGATTGTGGGCGGAGAAGTTTTCTGTTTGTTTGAATCAGTTGTGCCGATATCAGGTTTGGAAGAGGTTGGTTTCTCTTTGTTTGAATCAGTTGTGCTGACATCAGGTTTGGAAGAGGTCGCTTTCTCTTTGTTTGAATCAGTTGTGCCGATATCAGGTTTGGAAGAGGTCGGTTTTTCTTTGTTTGATCCAGAGCTGATTGTGGGCGGAGAAGTCTTCTCTTTGTTTGAGTCAGTTGTGCCGATATCAGGTTGAGAAGAGGTCGCTTTCTGTCCCTCTGATTCAGCAGAACGGTCTGTAGGTGGGGAAGTGGTCTGCTCATCAGGTTGTTCAGTTGAGTACTGTTTAGACTCCGTAGATTTGCCATCGCCTCCTCGGGAAGTTGTTTTCGAGTCCAGTTTGGATGTTACTTCTTCGCCTTTGCCACTCGTCGTCGCTGGCTTCATTCGAGATGTAGTCAGAACCTTAGTAACTTCACCGTCATCAGAGGGTTTAGGTGTCTTCTGAAATGTCAGATTGTGATGTGAGGCAGCAAACTAGCAAGATTAACAGCATAAAATGCGAATTTCTAAGGCATGATAGTCTGATTGGGATCCATTAATTGATAGTCAAAAGAGCAAATGTTTCGTCGATTATTTAAGAATATACAACTGTTCTTACCATGGGAGAAGAGGTAACCTCCTTTACAGCAGAGTCAGTAACAATAGGTTCCTCAGAGGTATTGGGTTCGTACGAAGGAATAACAGTAAGCCTAGATCTAGTAGACACTTCAGTATATTGTGATGACAGGACAGTATCTGAAATGAAATGGATTAAGTCCTTCGACACTCGGAATACTCCTCAAAAAGTGAGAAAAACTAGTAAATTATCAATATTATAGGTACATACCTATATCTGGTTACAATTAAATGTTATCTAAAACTCACTAGATCTTGAAAGGTCAGGGTCAGTGTAAGTTGAGTACATGGTCGTTGAAGTACCATGAGTCAAGTCAGTCGCAGTCAAAGCTGGCTTAGTCGTGGTTATAGAAGACTGTCGCGTTGATTTTAAAACCAAAGTCGTGAGTAAAACATTTGGCAAAGTCAAAGAAGATTTAGATGCATATGTAAATGATGACGATTTAATGGATGTAAAAGGTATCGGTGATGACGTGGCAAACGTCGATGAAAAAGAAGATATTGACAGTGAAAGACGGGATGAAATGCTTGACAAAGTATCAATACTGGAACGAAGACTTGAAGACAATACATCTTTTGTTGAAACTTTCGTAGGAGACTCGGACGTTGCAGATAAAATCACCGAAGTTGTCGGTATCGAGGGTAATGAAAAGGATTCGGATACAATCAAGGAGTTGGAACTCTCCCTTGTCTGGTCAGATGATGTCGAAACGGCTGAGCTGCTCGAGCTCTCTCCTGTCGAGGAAGACTTCTCCAAAGACGATGACACTGAATAAGTCTCCAAACTCTGGCTACTCGACATATCGCTCATGCTTGAAGATATTCCTGATTCAGAAGATGCTGTTTCCGAACTGATGGTCAAGGATGTTCCAGCTGACGACGTGGATTTCAGTCTGATCGAAGACCCTTCTGAGGACGACGTTTTGGTGTATGATGACGTCCTGTCAGTGACCGAAGATCCCATTGATGACGACGACATTGTCATCGGAGTAGTTGTCGGTATTGATGGCAACGATGGCGAAGATGTCGATCTGTCTGTAAGCTTGATCGTTGGTTCTGATGAGCTGCTGACAGGTTTTCGGCTGCTTCCCGTGACAGGTTCCACCTGCGTGTCTGTCACCTGATCAGTTGAAGATATCGAGGATGTTTCACTCTTACCTCTCGTAACAGACGAACTGTCTGTCTTTGATGACGAAAATTTGGTGGACGTCGGTTCGGCAGACGTTTCCGTCATACCGGTATTCGTCCTCAAACTGGGCGACGACGACATTTTCACATACGATGTTGAAAACGAACTGCTGACAGTTCTTGTTGCTGTCGTTGGCGTTGCAGTCGGGATGGATGATAAAACCGAAGAGGAAGAGCTCGTGGTTTCATTATCACCACCCTTTCCTCCACCACCTCCATCCACGTTTTTCTTGGTGGTCGACGATGACACCGACGACGATCTGTCCAGGGAAGACGACAACGACGAACTCTCCTCACTCGAACTCAACGACGACGTTGTGTATTTCAAACTGGTTGTTGATGCTGAAAACTTCGACTCTGTTACGGCCATTGTGGTCCCCGTGGACCTCCCAGGTGAAAAAGTTATCGTGTTCGGTATCGTTGGTCTCATTGTCGTTGAGGCGACTAATTCTGAAGAAGAAACCGAGGAGCTAGTCCCCTCCGAGGAACTTGTGGTCAATTCTGAGGACACGGAGCTCTGTTGACTTGAGCTCTCAGATGAAGTCAAAATCACCGACGAAGTTACTGTCATCGGAGTAGTTGTCGGGATCGACGGCATCTCAGATGAACTTGATGTCACCACTTCCACCTCCGACACACTGCTCGATGACTCAAATGACGTTGATCGGCTTTCGCTCACCGAAGATCTCGAGGAGGAAGCCACTTCATCGGATGAAGAGGTTATCGATGACCTACCGAAAGAGGAAGAAGGCAATATCACCGTGTCCGTGGATTGTCTCTCCACCGATGACGTTGCCATGGTTGTACTTGGCGTCAAAGTTAGTGTCGGAGACAGGGTAAGATACGATGTCGAAAATGAGCTCTCGGACATGGTCACAGTCGTAGGGGTCGCAGTAGGGACGGGTGACATTGAAACACCTGAACTGCTCGAGCTCTCTCCTGTCGAGGACGACTTCTCCAAAGACGACGACATTGAGGAAGTCTCCAAACTCTGGCTACTCGAAATATCGCTCCTGCTTGAAGATATTCCTGATTCAGAAGATGCTGTTTCCGAACTGATGGTCAAGGATGTTCCAGCTGACGACGTGGATTCCAGTCTGATCGAAGACCCTTCTGAGGACGACGTTTTGGTGTATGATGACGACCTGTCAGTGACCGAAGATCCCATTGATGACGACGACATTGTCATCGGAGTAGTTGTCGGTATTGATGGCAGCGATGGCGAAGATGTTGATCTGTCTGTAAGCTTGATCGTTGGTTCTGATGAGGTGCTGACAGGTTTTCGGCTGCTTCCCGTGACAGGTTCCACCTGCGTGTCTGTCACCTGATCAGTTGAAGATATCGAGGATGTTTCACTCTTACCTCTCGTAACAGACGAACTGTCTGTCTTTGATGACGAAAATTTGGTGGACGTCGGTTCGGCAGACGTTTCCGTCATACCGGTATTCGTCCTCAAACTGGGCGACGACGACATTGTCACATACGATGTTGAAAACGAACTGCTGACAGTTCTTGTTGCTGTCGTTGGCGTTGCAGTCGGGATGGATGATAAAACCGAAGAGGAAGAGCTCGTGGTTTCATTATCACCACCCTTTCCTCCACCACCTCCATCCACGTTTTTCTTGGTGGTCGACGATGACACCGACGACGATCTGTCCAGGGAAGACGACAACGACGAACTCTCCTCACTCGAACTCAACGACGACGTTGTGTATTTCAAACTGGTTGTTGATGCTGAAAACTTCGACTCTGTTACGGCCATTGTGGTCCCCGTGGACCTCCCAGGTGAAAAAGTTATCGTGTTCGGTATCGTTGGTCTCATTGTCGTTGAGGCGACTAATTCTGAAGAAGAAACCGAGGAGCTAGTCCCCTCCGAGGAACTTGTGGTCAATTCTGAGGACACGGAGCTCTGTTGACTTGAGCTCTCAGATGAAGTCAAAATCACCGACGAAGTTACTGTCATCGGAGTAGTTGTCGGGATCGACGGCATCTCAGATGAACTTGATGTCACCACTTCCACCTCCGACACACTGCTCGATGACTCAAATGACGATGATCGGCTTTCGCTCACCGAGGATCTCGAGGAGGAAGCCACTTCATCGGATGAAGAGGTCATCGATGACCTACCGAAAGAGGAAGAAGGCAATATCACCGTGTCCGTGGATTGTCTCTCCACCGATGACGTTGCCATGGTTGTACTTGGCGTCAAAGTTAGTGTCGGAGACAGGGTAAGATACGATGTCGAAAATGAGCTCTCGGACATGGTCACAGTCGTAGGGGTCGCAGTAGGGACGGGTGACATTGAAACACCTGAACTGCTCGAGCTCTCTCCTGTCGAGGACGACTTCTCCAAAGACGACGACATTGAGGAAGTCTCCAAACTCTGGCTACTCGAAATATCGCTCCTGCTTGAAGATATTCCTGATTCAGAAGATGCTGTTTCCGAACTGATGGTCAAGGATGTTCCAGCTGACGACGTGGATTCCAGTCTGATCGAAGACCCTTCTGAGGACGACGTTTTGGTGTATGATGACGTCCTGTCAGTGACCGAAGATCCCATTGATGACGACGACATTGTCATCGGAGTAGTTGTCGGTATTGATGGCAGCGATGGCGAAGATGTTGATCTGTCTGTAAGCTTGATCGTTGGTTCTGATGAGGTGCTGACAGGTTTTCGGCTGCTTCCCGTGACAGGTTCCACCCGCGTGTCTGTCACCTGATCAGTGGAAGATGTCGAGGATGTTTCACTCTTACCGCTCGTAACAGACGAACTGTCTGTCTTTGATGACGAAAATTTGGTGGACGTCGGTTCGGCAGACGTTTCCGTCATGCCGGTATTCGTCCTCAAACTGGGCGACGACGAAATTGTCACATACGATGTTGAAAACGAACTGCTGACAGTTCTTGTTGCTGTCGTTGGCGTTGCAGTCGGGATGGATGATAAAACCGAAGAGGAAGAGCTCGTGGTTTCATTATCACCACCTTTTGCTCCACCACCTCCATCCACGTTTTTCTTGGTGGTCGACGATGACACCGACGACGATCTGTCCAGGGAAGACGACAACGACGAACTCTCCTCACTCGAACTCAACGACGACGTTGTGTATTTCAAACTGGTTGTTGATGCTGAAAACTTCGACTCTGTTACGGCCATTGTGGTCCCCGTGGACCTCCCAGGTGAAAAAGTTATCGTGTTCGGTATCGTTGGTCTCATTGTCGTTGAGGCGACTAATTCTGAAGAAGAAACCGAGGAGCTAGTCCCCTCCGAGGAACTTGTGGTCAATTCTGAGGACACGGAGCTCTGTTGACTTGAGCTCTCAGATGAAGTCAAAATCACCGACGAAGTTACTGTCATCGGAGTAGTTGTCGGGATCGACGGCATCTCAGATGAACTTGATGTCACCACTTCCACCTCCGACACACTGCTCGATGACTCAAATGACGATGATCGGCTTTCGCTCACCGAGGATCTCGAGGAGGAAGCCACTTCATCGGATGAAGAGGTCATCGATGACCTACCGAAAGAGGAAGAAGGCAATATCACCGTGTCCGTGGATTGTCTCTCCACCGATGATGTTGCCATGGTTGTACTTGGCGTCAAAGTTAGTGTCGGAGACAGGGTAAGATACGATGTCGAAAATGAGCTCTCAGACATGGTCACAGTCGTAGGGGTCGCAGTAGGGACGGGTGACATTGAAACACCTGAACTGCTCGAGCTCTCTCCTGTCGAGGACGACTTCTCCAAAGACGACGACATTGAGGAAGTCTCCAAACTCTGGCTACTCGAAATATCGCTCCTGCTTGAAGATATTCCTGATTCAGAAGATGCTGTTTCCGAACTGATGGTCAAGGATGTTCCAGCTGACGACGTGGATTCCAGTCTGATCGAAGACCCTTCTGAGGACGACGTTTTGGTGTATGATGACGACCTGTCAGTGACCGAAGATCCCATTGATGACGACGACATTGTCATCGGAGTAGTTGTCGGTATTGATGGCAGCGATGGCGAAGATGTTGATCTGTCTGTAAGCTTGATCGTTGGTTCTGATGAGGTGCTGACAGGTTTTCGGCTGCTTCCCGTGACAGGTTCCACCCGCGTGTCTGTCACCTGATCAGTGGAAGATGTCGAGGATGTTTCACTCTTACCGCTCGTAACAGACGAACTGTCTGTCTTTGATGACGAAAATTTGGTGGACGTCGGTTCGGCAGACGTTTCCGTCATGCCGGTATTCGTCCTCAAACTGGGCGACGACGAAATTGTCACATACGATGTTGAAAACGAACTGCTGACAGTTCTTGTTGCTGTCGTTGGCGTTGCAGTCGGGATGGATGATAAAACCGAAGAGGAAGAGCTCGTGGTTTCATTATCACCACCTTTTGCTCCACCACCTCCATCCACGTTTTTCTTGGTGGTCGACGATGACACCGACGACGATCTGTCCAGGGAAGACGACAACGACGAACTCTCCTCACTCGAACTCAACGACGACGTTGTGTATTTCAAACTGGTTGTTGATGCTGAAAACTTCGACTCTGTTACGGCCATTGTGGTCCCCGTGGACCTCCCAGGTGAAAAAGTTATCGTGTTCGGTATCGTTGGTCTCATTGTCGTTGAGGCGACTAATTCTGAAGAAGAAACCGAGGAGCTAGTCCCCTCCGAGGAACTTGTGGTCAATTCTGAGGACACGGAGCTCTGTTGACTTGAGCTCTCAGATGAAGTCAAAATCACCGACGAAGTTACTGTCATCGGAGTAGTTGTCGGGATCGACGGCATCTCAGATGAACTTGATGTCACCACTTCCACCTCCGACACACTGCTCGATGACTCAAATGACGATGATCGGCTTTCGCTCACCGAGGATCTCGAGGAGGAAGCCACTTCATCGGATGAAGAGGTCATCGATGACCTACCGAAAGAGGAAGAAGGCAATATCGCCGTGTCCGTGGATTGTCTCTCCAACGATGACGTTGCCATGGTTGTACTTGGCGTCAAAGTTAGTGTCGGAGACAGGGTAAGATACGATGTCGAAAATGAGCTCTCGGACATGGTCACAGTCGTAGGGGTCGCAGTAGGGACGGGTGACATTGAAACACCTGAACTGCTCGAGCTCTCTCCTGTCGAGGACGACTTCTCCAAAGACGACGACATTGAGGAAGTCTCCAAACTCTGGCTACTCGAAATATCGCTCCTGCTTGAAGATATTCCTGATTCAGAAGATGCTGTTTCCGAACTGATGGTCAAGGATGTTCCAGCTGACGACGTGGATTCCAGTCTGATCGAAGACCCTTCTGAGGACGACGTTTTGGTGTATGATGACGTCCTGTCAGTGACCGAAGATCCCATTGATGACGACGACATTGTCATCGGAGTAGTTGTCGGTATTGATGGCAGCGATGGCGAAGATGTTGATCTGTCTGTAAGCTTGATCGTTGGTTCTGATGAGGTGCTGACAGGTTTTCGGCTGCTTCCCGTGACAGGTTCCACCCGCGTGTCTGTCACCTGATCAGTGGAAGATGTCGAGGATGTTTCACTCTTACCGCTCGTAACAGACGAACTGTCTGTCTTTGATGACGAAAATTTGGTGGACGTCGGTTCGGCAGACGTTTCCGTCATGCCGGTATTCGTCCTCAAACTGGGCGACGACGAAATTGTCACATACGATGTTGAAAACGAACTGCTGACAGTTCTTGTTGCTGTCGTTGGCGTTGCAGTCGGGATGGATGATAAAACCGAAGAGGAAGAGCTCGTGGTTTCATTATCACCACCTTTTGCTCCACCACCTCCATCCACGTTTTTCTTGGTGGTCGACGATGACACCGACGACGATCTGTCCAGGGAAGACGACAACGACGAACTCTCCTCACTCGAACTCAACGACGACGTTGTGTATTTCAAACTGGTTGTTGATGCTGAAAACTTCGACTCTGTTACGGCCATTGTGGTCCCCGTGGACCTCCCAGGTGAAAAAGTTATCGTGTTCGGTATCGTTGGTCTCATTGTCGTTGAGGCGACTAATTCTGAAGAAGAAACCGAGGAGCTAGTCCCCTCCGAGGAACTTGTGGTCAATTCTGAGGACACGGAGCTCTGTTGACTTGAGCTCTCAGATGAAGTCAAAATCACCGACGAAGTTACTGTCATCGGAGTAGTTGTCGGGATCGACGGCATCTCAGATGAACTTGATGTCACCACTTCCACCTCCGACACACTGCTCGATGACTCAAATGACGATGATCGGCTTTCGCTCACCGAGGATCTCGAGGAGGAAGCCACTTCATCGGATGAAGAGGTCATCGATGACCTACCGAAAGAGGAAGAAGGCAATATCACCGTGTCCGTGGATTGTCTCTCCACCGATGACGTTGCCATGGTTGTACTTGGCGTCAAAGTTAGTGTCGGAGACAGGGTAAGATACGATGTCGAAAATGAGCTCTCGGACATGGTCACAGTCGTAGGGGTCGCAGTAGGGACGGGTGACATTGAAACACCTGAACTGCTCGAGCTCTCTCCTGTCGAGGACGACTTCTCCAAAGACGACGACATTGAGGAAGTCTCCAAACTCTGGCTACTCGAAATATCGCTCCTGCTTGAAGATATTCCTGATTCAGAAGATGCTGTTTCCGAACTGATGGTCAAGGATGTTCCAGCTGACGACGTGGATTCCAGTCTGATCGAAGACCCTTCTGAGGACGACGTTTTGGTGTATGATGACGTCCTGTCAGTGACCGAAGATCCCATTGATGACGACGACATTGTCATCGGAGTAGTTGTCGGTATTGATGGCAGCGATGGCGAAGATGTTGATCTGTCTGTAAGCTTGATCGTTGGTTCTGATGAGGTGCTGACAGGTTTTCGGCTGCTTCCCGTGACAGGTTCCACCCGCGTGTCTGTCACCTGATCAGTGGAAGATGTCGAGGATGTTTCACTCTTACCGCTCGTAACAGACGAACTGTCTGTCTTTGATGACGAAAATTTGGTGGACGTCGGTTCGGCAGACGTTTCCGTCATGCCGGTATTCGTCCTCAAACTGGGCGACGACGAAATTGTCACATACGATGTTGAAAACGAACTGCTGACAGTTCTTGTTGCTGTCGTTGGCGTTGCAGTCGGGATGGATGATAAAACCGAAGAGGAAGAGCTCGTGGTTTCATTATCACCACCTTTTGCTCCACCACCTCCATCCACGTTTTTCTTGGTGGTCGACGATGACACCGACGACGATCTGTCCAGGGAAGACGACAACGACGAACTCTCCTCACTCGAACTCAACGACGACGTTGTGTATTTCAAACTGGTTGTTGATGCTGAAAACTTCGACTCTGTTACGGCCATTGTGGTCCCCGTGGACCTCCCAGGTGAAAAAGTTATCGTGTTCGGTATCGTTGGTCTCATTGTCGTTGAGGCGACTAATTCTGAAGAAGAAACCGAGGAGCTAGTCCCCTCCGAGGAACTTGTGGTCAATTCTGAGGACACGGAGCTCTGTTGACTTGAGCTCTCAGATGAAGTCAAAATCACCGACGAAGTTACTGTCATCGGAGTAGTTGTCGGGATCGACGGCATCTCAGATGAACTTGATGTCACCACTTCCACCTCCGACACACTGCTCGATGACTCAAATGACGATGATCGGCTTTCGCTCACCGAGGATCTCGAGGAGGAAGCCACTTCATCGGATGAAGAGGTCATCGATGACCTACCGAAAGAGGAAGAAGGCAATATCGCCGTGTCCGTGGATTGTCTCTCCAACGATGACGTTGCCATGGTTGTACTTGGCGTCAAAGTTAGTGTCGGAGACAGGGTAAGATACGATGTCGAAAATGAGCTCTCGGACATGGTCACAGTCGTAGGGGTCGCAGTAGGGACGGGTGACATTGAAACACCTGAACTGCTCGAGCTCTCTCCTGTCGAGGACGACTTCTCCAAAGACGACGACATTGAGGAAGTCTCCAAACTCTGGCTACTCGAAATATCGCTCCTGCTTGAAGATATTCCTGATTCAGAAGATGCTGTTTCCGAACTGATGGTCAAGGATGTTCCAGCTGACGACGTGGATTCCAGTCTGATCGAAGACCCTTCTGAGGACGACGTTTTGGTGTATGATGACGTCCTGTCAGTGACCGAAGATCCCATTGATGACGACGACATTGTCATCGGAGTAGTTGTCGGTATTGATGGCAGCGATGGCGAAGATGTTGATCTGTCTGTAAGCTTGATCGTTGGTTCTGATGAGGTGCTGACAGGTTTTCGGCTGCTTCCCGTGACAGGTTCCACCCGCGTGTCTGTCACCTGATCAGTGGAAGATGTCGAGGATGTTTCACTCTTACCGCTCGTAACAGACGAACTGTCTGTCTTTGATGACGAAAATTTGGTGGACGTCGGTTCGGCAGACGTTTCCGTCATGCCGGTATTCGTCCTCAAACTGGGCGACGACGAAATTGTCACATACGATGTTGAAAACGAACTGCTGACAGTTCTTGTTGCTGTCGTTGGCGTTGCAGTCGGGATGGATGATAAAACCGAAGAGGAAGAGCTCGTGGTTTCATTATCACCACCTTTTGCTCCACCACCTCCATCCACGTTTTTCTTGGTGGTCGACGATGACACCGACGACGATCTGTCCAGGGAAGACGACAACGACAAACTTCCCCCACTCGACGTCGTTTTGGTTTTACTAAATGTAGGTTCTGCTGTGTTATCTGGTCTACCCGTATCAACAAGAGAAGAAATTATAGGGGTGTTCCAGCTACTTACCCGAATATCTGTCAAACTTGTTGATGATAAAACACTGAACATCGCTGATGATTCTGATAATAGAGGAGTATGAGACTTTAACGATGGCCTGATTATAATGGTGTTTCCTGTTGAACTGACAGCGGAAATAGTTAATGAATTTGTTGAAAACGTCCTTGGCGTTGTTGTTGGAATTGATTTATATGAATTACTTGATGAACTACTAATTTCATCAATTATATCGCGGGATGTCTGTAACGTCCTTGATGTTTTATAGATAGTGTCTGTATAAATTGTAGTCCTCCCCTCATCCACTACTGAGGAGGTGCTAAAAGTAGTCTGTGGAGTGTAAGAAGCTGTAGTTGGTCGTATTAAACTAGTGTGAGTAGTTGATCGCACAGTCGTGTAAACAGTGTCTCCTGTGTAAGTAGGGAGTTGTCGGGTAGAGGTTATTGTAGTAGGTGTCATGGTTGGTATGGTGTGTGGGATTGAGTTTGACGTACCTACGGCTGGGCCCTCGCAATTCACATGTTCTTTCTCTGAAATTAGTCGAGTGTTACTTTTTTTGGTAAACTATCTGCATATAGAAGGTCGGTCCATAATAATCTAATTCAGCGCGAACATTTTCGATGTTATATTTTCTTCAGGTTAGAGCCAACTATTTTTTTCTCGTAAATGTTCAGGAAATTTCTGAAAGATGGAAAAAATCTCGCAGGTCCTTCCATTTTATCACGAAAATTTTTCGCTAAGATATTTCACTCACGTGTAACCATAACCCTGATAGTCTCAGACTTCTTGAGTTGTTTCACGCTGATAGTCAAGTCTCCAGACTCCCTAACGTTGAACATCCTGAGCTCGTTCTGTTTGAGTGTCCGGACCACGTTGTAGAACGGCTGGCTCTGCCACGTTATCGTGTAGCTGCCCTGGAAGGAGAATATTTTGAGTCGGTTGATTCTTAGTTATGTTTATATTATGTTTACTTAAATTAAAATTCTTTCATTTGATTAATATGATTATATAATAAATTCCTGTAAAATAAGGAACGTAGAGATTCTTAAGTATTATTAATTAAGTTAAGAGAACGTCAATTGTTAGCGCATGTATTTGTTCCTGCGTGTTCGAGGCGAAATATTTTCATGTAAAACATAGGCTTCCCATACTCTTATAGATTTGTATGTCGTCCATAATTTGCTGTAAGCATTTATATAACCAGCATGATATGTTGATGACAGGTTTTTAACAACAGCGTTATGTTTTAGTTATTATGAATTTAGCCAGATAAATACTTCTAACAAAACCTATCATGGAGACCAATTATTGGTTTAAATTAAATTAAAATACCTCGTAAGGGGATTGATCACTCTTCTTGACCAGCTTGATATTGACAGTGGTGTCTGAACCGTAGCACACCGTCACATCCTGTACTAGCAACTCGTACTCTTCTGAAATTGAGAGATAATATTATGTTAAAACACAATTCTCAAAATTTCTCAGCTTTAAACCACGATTGAGTATTAACTAATGCGTCAACACGGTTAAGAGGTCATGCTATAACCTCACTGTCACGTGACCCCAGTCAAAGTGAGTTAAAATGCTATTAATAGACCTCCAGACATGGAGGTAAAGGGCGTAAACCTGGGAGAAATAAACTTGGTAGTAAAGTTGAAAATTAATTAGGTGTCTCCTAGTTAGGTGTCTCCTAGTTAAGTGTCTCCTAGTCTTAGTGAGGCAGTCTGATCTAACCGTTTATATTGAAGATCTAGACACGATAAATCTCTTGCTTTGACGAGATCATATTTTTAATGTAAGGTACCGGCAAGATATCATTATCAAACTTAAAGTTTAAACCGAGTTATATTCTTTGCTTACTTTAATTCCTTAATCTTCTTTAACATTAATGCTAACTCAAAACTTCAAAACATGCGTGTGAACACGGTAAAAACGCCCACTTAACAGAATATTTAAGAAAAATTAAAACCCAACAAACACTCCCTGAAGCAAAGGGACACTCTCGTTACCTTCGATGTTGTCAACAATAACAGGAGGAGTGGTGGTGATTACTATAGATTTAGTAACTGTACTCTCCGGCTGTGGAGAGGTTTCCTTGTCTTTCTTGGGACCAGTAGTTACACTTTCAGTCTTGGGACCGGTAGTTCCCTTTTCAGTCTTAGGACTTGTGATTTCTTTGTCTTTCTTGGGACTCATGGTAGTTACGCTTTCAGTCGGAGGACTGGTTATTTCCTTGTCTTTCTTGGGACTGGTAGTTACACTTTCAGTCTTAGGACTGTTAGTTTCCCTTTCAGTCTTGGGACTAGTAATTTCTTTGGGACCAGTAGTTCCCCCTTCAGTCTTAGGACTTGTGATTTCCTTGTCTTTCTTGGGACTGGTAGTTACACTTTCAGTCGGAGGACTGGTGATTTCCTTGTCTTTCTTGGGACTGGTAGTTACACTTTCAGTAAGGGGACTGGATATTTCCTTGTCTTTCTTGGGACTGGTAGTTACACTTTCAGTAGGGGGACTGGATATTTCCTTGTCTTTCTTGGGACTGGTAGTTTCCCTTTCAGTTGGGGGACTGGTAAGTCTTTCAGTCATAGGTTCGGTTACCGGGAAATCTTTAGACGTAGTTACCACCAACTTCTCAGTTGAGGAGCCAGCATCTACACCAGATGTTGATATTGGAGAGTCGCTTGCGTCTGAAGAGACAATCTCCCTAGGAGTGGAGGGTAGGTCTCTTGTGTGTGGAGCTAATGACCGGGTGGTGGTCGGTAACACCTCTGTCTCCAGAACCTCTGTTATCTCCGTGGTCTGAGGCAGTTCTTTGGTGTTGATGGTCTCAGTGACAAAGTCTCCGCCGGTGGAAGTAACACTGGCAAAGTCCCTGGTGTTCGCCTCGGTGGGAGTGACACTACTCTTCTTCCTGGTGGGAGTCACTGTGGTCTTCTCCCGGGTAGGGGTAACTGAACTCTCCTCTCTAGTGAGGGTGATCGGGTCAACAACTGAGGTGGGCTCCACCATGTTCCCACAATCTGTAACGGACAAGTTAAAGAAGGTCAGAGTAAACTCATCTTCACTGTGGACCAGGTAACTATACAGTTCACTGTCCTCAACCTGAGCGTTAGTAAACACCAGAGTTCCGTTCTGATGGACCTTATGTCTCCCATCCCCCGGAATATTCGTCCAATCCAACTCCGGAGTACTGGGGTAGCCCACAAAGTCAGGAGTGATAACAATGTAGTCTCCGATACATTTCTCCACTAGTTTGGGGAGGTTGGTGTAGCAGTCGCGCGGATCAAGTGTATAGAGGACGCTAAGCACTACCCACAACATACATAGGAGTCTTCACAGGATCACTGGTAGGGTTAGTACATGCACTCTGCTGGGGAGATTAGAGGTACTTTAAGGGGTTAATTTAAAAAACCTTATCTAGTGTACATAATAAGTCTGACGCAAAATAACAAACTAAGGTATAGCAATGTAATATAAGCGAATATAAGCGAAGGTTAAACTTAAGTCGGCTATCAACATACAACTTATTGATATTTAAAAAATGTCAAATATAGGTATGCCATCAACATGAAACTTATTAAACAAAAATGTCAACGATCGGCAGCAAATAAATGAGACGGTCGACTCTGGTAAGAACATTCTCGTCGGAACCATATTAATTAGGCAACATTCTGCAACACGCGTGTCACCACCAATTATACAACGATCCGACATTCTGGCGGGCGTAAGAGTAGGAGTGTAGGCCCTTGAAAATGTTATATATATTATACAGCCTACATATAATTTACTTGCAAATGTGGAATATCCAAGTAGTATACAAATGTAATCTAGGGCTATATCCCCGAGAACCGCATATAGGTTTGTAAGGTTACTGAGTTCCAAAAAAGAAATGTTTAACAGGCTCAACGTGGCTTGATACAGACACTATGCGTCAGTGGTTGAGAGTAGCAAATACCAGGAGAGAGGCAGAAGGGTGGTAGGAGAGGTTATACGGCTGCTGACAACCTGGCTCAAGCCTCAACATGTTAGGAATGTGAAGCAAATGTGGAGGATAGGACTACCCAGTACAGTGACAACAGTGACTCGTTCGAAACAAATATCATGGATACTCTAAAAACTGTACGTTGGAGGCAACTAGCTGTTCTAGAGAGAGGAAGAGGGAAGCTCCTCTCTGTGGAAATGCGTTTGGTCGGAAGACTGCTAAAAGAAACGTGCAGCACACCTAATATTATTTGGTTGGAAGACTGCTAAAAGAAACGTGCAGCACACCTAATATTATTTGGTTGGAAGACTGCTAAAAGAAACGTGCAGCACACCTAATATTATTGGTTGGAAGACTGCTAAAAGAAACGTGCAGCACACCTAATATTATTGGTTGGAAGACTGCTAAAAGAAACGTGGAGCACACCTAATATTATTGGTTGGAAGACTGCTAAAAGAAACGTGCAGCACACCTAATATTATTGGTTGGAAGACTGCTAAAAGAAACGTGGAGCACACCTAATATTATTGGTTGGAAGACTGCTAAAAGAAACGTGCAGCACACCTAATATTATTGGTTGGAAGACTGCTAAAAGAAACGTGGAGCACACCTAATATTATTTAGGAACAGGTTGGAAGACTGCTAAAAGAAACGTGCAGCACACCTAATATTATTTAGGAACAGGTTGGAAGACTGCTAAAAGAAACGTGCAGCACACCTAATATTATTGGTTGGAAGACTGCTAAAAGAAACGTGGAGCACACCTAATATTATTTAGGAACAGGTTGGAAGACTGCTAAAAGAAACGTGCAGCACACCTAATATTATTTAGGAACAGGTTGGAAGACTGCTAAAAGAAACGTGCAGCACACCTAATATTATTTAGGAACAGGTTGGAAGACTGCTAAAAGAAACGTGCAGCACACCTAATATTATTTAGGAACAGGTTGGAAGACTGCTAAAAGAAACGTGCAGCACACCTAATATTATTTAGGTTGGAAGACTGCTAAAAGAAACGTGCAGCACACCTAATATTATTTCCACGTTACCACTCCGCTATGTAGGATGAGCTTATAATAACACCTGCCCGGCTCGTCAAACTAAAAAATGGCGCTGAAAACTACAAAGCAGGTTGAGAAAGTTACGAGCTGCTACAAAAACACAGAACCACCTGACTTAGTGCCCTGGACGTGTTGAAGGTTCTACGAGTCAACAGGTCATATTTCACATTGTACAGTAGGTTAACTATTGGTCTATTAGAACCCGCTGTGTCGGGTACCTATTATTATTATTATGGGTTGGAGTCTACCAGGGAGACGTATCATTAACCTGCCACCACCAGTAATAACATGCCAGCTGGAAGACACCAGTAATGACATGTTAACATGCCCTTTAACATGCTAGTTGTAAGACACCAGTAATAACATGTTAACATGCCCTTTAACATGCTAGTTGTAAGACACCAGTAATGACATGTTAACATGCCCTTTAACATGCTAGTTGTAAGACGCTGCTATATAGAGGAATGCTGCTGCTGCTGCAGGTTGGGCGGGTTCTAAATGTTACGTACTGTCAAGTCAGGCTTACAACAGTCGGACAGTAGCAAGTACTGTCAAGTCAGGCTTACAACAGTCGGAAAGTACGGTGGTTGTATCGCGCGTTAAAATTGAGTTATATATCAGTTATTATATATTACTTGGTACATGCTTAGGGATACTGACTGAGGGTGTTCACAGATCACACCTGTCATTAGGTACAAAGTAGATTTCTGACGAAAATAAGCAGAGTGACTTTATGACAAACTGTGTAACTTTGTAACTTTGTGACGGGTCTCAGACTCGATAATATGGAAAATCACGAAACACAATTTCATCAACACTAAAAACTAGCATATTCGAGATGGATCTAAGGTATGAAAGTAACAGGGACGGAATAATTGAGTGGTTGAGTGGTTGGTAACTTTGTGTCACGTATATCAAAGGGTGGGGAAATGTCAAAGACACCGCAGAGTGCTTCAATCAGTCAATATTGGAATATTCATAAAATAACTGTTCCATGCTTACCGATCATATTGGACAGATATATTAAATATTCAAAGAAAGTAGACACGGCATACACCATATCAGAATATGTGACATTTACTTAATTTAGAAATATCTACAAGCCAAATAAGGAGGATTCATGATTGCTGTAAAAGCGTTATCTTTCTACCGATATTCCGATACGGACCCGATAAACCGGATGATAAATGAACCGGAGACAATAGCAATCTATGTAACAGTACCCTACCACACTACCTTTAGTAAGGCTCAGTAATTCAACTGAAGTACAAGATGAACATAACAGAAAGTTGTAACCCAATAATTATAAAGCCCCTTACGTATTGACCAAGTCTTCCTACCCGACCCCGCCTGGCACATAATTCGATATCAGCTCCTCCGAATCACGAAATTAATCTGCATACACAACCCTGGCAGAGGTTGACCAGGTAACATGAGGGGACAGATTACTTTATCATGCGGGAGAAGCTTATACCTTAAACCTGATTAAGGCGTAAATCGATTAGCAGGGTGGATTGCAGATGGTTTTCAGCGGTTGGATGGTGGTTAAAAGAGGGGGACATGAGTAACAAATACTCATGACCCCCCCTCCCCTATTATACAAGATGTATGCCACTTTACAACTGCAAGTTTACAATTTTCTGGGTAGAATTGTCAAGGAATCTAGAAAAGTGGGGACTAACTATCAGGAAACGATCTTACTACAAACGATCACATTCGAGCTGTTTTAAACTAATTACAACACTACAAATCTATTGCATTATATTTATTAAGCGTTATTACAAACTCAAGATTTATATCCTTAAACTAGTTATATAACAAGATTCTACCAATTATTATAAAGATTTTATTGGAAATTTGAACACTCATTCGTCTGATTGTGGGAAATATTTATTTTTGACATTTGGATGTTCCTGGTGAAATTATTTGGAACTTTACATGGTACATGGTATTGGTGGTGGCAATAGAAATCCAGATATTGAAAAGGCGATAAAAGATGAAAAGAAGCCGTCTAGGATTCTAGGAGCCGTCCTATCCACTGAATCAATAATACTTGTTATCAGTTTCAGATCACTCCAATAATCAATATGCAGTGCTGCTGCATGATATAGTGCAAAAACTAACACAAAAACAATCGGAAAGTAAAGCTGAAATCTATTTAAAATAATGGCAGACACGTAATTTCTAGATACCAATCTTATGAACTGTTCACTATGTAGAATGCAGATACTTAACATGTTTTAAAGACGATTTTCAAGCACAAGATATTGGTACTTTTATGGATTCAAATTTCAAAAGTCGAGGTTAAGAAAAGACAGTGAAGTATTCAGCGTCAAATTCTTGGATAAGAATAGAAAAATCCAAAAACTCCGAAGTTCAAAGCTGACAAACACAAAATACCTATATATCTTCAGATCCTAAGATTGTACGGAGACTGTACGTAAGACTGTACGGAGACTGTACGTAAGATTGTACGGAGCACAATACCGCTTTAACAGAGCCTGATGACTGAATTGCATACAAAGATTATTATCGGATTATCTGTGATATCACACCCAGCCTGGCATTTAGAAAGCGTTTACTGACGAGTTTATCACTTCCAGCACTCATCACTTTATTTTATATACACCGCTGGAGATAAGGTTCTGTCGGTGAAATTTAATAAACTAAGTAAGTCACCAACTTTAATTTAATAAACTTAGTAAGTCACCAACAAACCTATTTAACCTATATAACCTATATAACCTATATAACCTATATAATCTATACAACCTATATAATCTGATAATACTATTATACTAGCTAGCATATACGTTTGCGATTTCTATGATTTGAGAATTCAAAGTCTGAGTTTCCGGAACAATGTGTATATATACAATTAGATTAGGCGTGGGTACTAGGCGGGAATTCAAGATCGTGTGGCGGAATATATTTTATCAACAAACAATATTTAAATAGCGATTAAGAACAAAATAAGACATGTAGGGTTGAAGCAACTAGAAGAGCATTTTGGAGCAGTACATCGTCATTTTCAGGATGTCAATTCTTGACATAAGATGGAAAGTATCAAGCAGGATTTTAAACTTTGATGACTGGTGTCAAAAACGTAGAGCACTTAAGATTTCTTTAGACTTATAAAGTGTCTAGCGAAACGTGTACTCCTTATGAACTGAGAGAACTTAGGCGGTCAAGAAAGGTGAAGTTGAACTTCTTGGCCGCATAAATCTAAACTACAAGGAACGCAACAGGAATTCTGAGTAGTCATAGCGAAAATCATGATGGATAATTGTTTCTTCTTACGTATTGTATACCAGTATAGTTTTACATGTATCTAGATAGATCACTCAATTGAGATTTTATCTAATTATGAGTACAAAATGTATCTATAAAAACATTGGTACGTGCTCCTCGCATGCCGTTCCCCCTACACGTATTTCCACCAGTTGGGGTGAACTTGTCAAACTTCCGCACGTGTTTAACCACAATCCAAGTAGCGCACGAAACTTCGGCAGAGTGATCGGACTTCTGTGGGCTTATGGGCTACTTGGATTGTGGTTTGACAAGTCGAACTTCAGGGCTTGTCGAAGTATGCTACAGTGTATCCTAATTCCTACATTGCGTGTCAAACCACAGGCTTGTCGAGCTACAGTGCGTATTCCTATCATGATTGCATGACTTATATTACTATTATTACTTATAGTTAGTACTGACTCTGAACAACTCTCAAATTTCAACAAAATAAACCTGAAACCCCTAGAAAGTAAGGTGTGAAGGTGACGCACTACTTGTACCGCTGACTATACTGCACAACATATACTACCTGCCTCCAAAAGTGGTCGGCACAAACGATCGTTCTCAACCCGATCTATTTTTAGCTATGAAGCAATAGAGGCGTCCCTCGAATTCATGCACATAACGGCAGAGAAATAAAGTGTATACTTTATCCTTAGTTCAAGAATCATGCGAAACAGCCAAAATCTTAAATTTTGACCGAGGAAAATACACAAACGCTTAGGTTAATTTATTAACATAACACGGACAAGAGTAGACGATCAATGTTTACAATTAATGTGTAAATATAAACTAAATGAATGAACTACACCTAATATACAGCAGCAGGAAATGGTTTGGTGTAGCCGCGTAAACCTGCTAAAAGGGGCGTCTGCGGCACTGGTGTGACATCATCACCTTAAAAACGCGGAAATATCCCTGAACTTGGAGTTTATTGGAAGTCAAGGAAGACTGAGGACTAGAAGTTGATGTAATCGAATTTAGAATTGGCCTTTGCGATATCATTGACACAACATTTATCATAAATTGAGTTTAGGTTTGTTTTTATAGGGCAGTGCAATTCATTTTATAAACAAGCACTACGTTTTCAAGGTTATAATTTATAAGTAAGTTATTTATAACGAGTTGTCGCTGTTTTATTAAATCACAACAATTTAAATTCAGAGGCGTGACGACCAAACAGTGTGCGTTAAAGTTTACCTACGATTTGAAAACTTAATCACACAATTAAGCTCGCTCGTTAACGTATGAAGTTATCTTTTGAAGACAACTTTGTTAGAAAAGAAACACACAGTATTTTGTCGAATAATAGAAATATTCAAAGCACACTTCCCCAAACCCAAAAACTAAAAGTGCTTACAAACTCTGAAACCGAACTCTCAACGGCACACACTAAATCTGCCGTTATTCGGCAGCTGGAGAAGTCACCCAACTCACTTTGAAGCCGGGCAGAACCTCACATTTTTGGAGTCTGGTTTTAGTTAGGGTAGAGAGACCGAGTGACACGAGGTGACAAATAACACCGCCTTGTTGGGAGAGAGATAGAGAGAGAGAGAGAGAGAGAGAGAGAGAGAGAGAGAGAGAGAGAGAGAGAGAGAGAGAGAGAGAGAGAGAGAGAGAGAGAGAGAGAGAGAGAGAGAGAGAGAGAGAGAGAGAGAGAGAGAGAGAGAGAGAGAGAGAGAGAGAGAGAGAGAGAGAGAGATGGCAGCTCAGCTTTATAGGTTTAACCCCTACACAATTCATGTTAGATACGCTGGCGTATCATTCGCTTGGCGTGGTATTCTCTGCAGTATATTGTAGGAATTCTTTGATATGTATTTGTGGAGACAGCGCTAACAAAGGATAGCACCAATATTATGGAATCTGTATAAGGAATGACGTTTGTATCATTGGTAACAATAACCTTGCCTTGTATCACTTTTATGTTACCAGAACCCCCTTCAAGTTCGATGATATTGTTTAGCTTAATTAAAATTTGTGATAAATTGACGGTATTTCGTGATATTTCTTATAATTGAGAACATTTTTTTGATTCTATTTTCGATCCGTTTCTATTCTGGTAAGGCTTCTGAATTACAAACTGTTAAATCAATAGTGCCCGTCGGAATTGTTCAACTAGCATGGAGAGAGTCCTCCTCTGCGATGTACGAGGAGGCTAGAAATTTTCACCACCAAGCCCTAACATTGCTATTTGTTAACCAGTTTAACAAATATGAAATGAAATGTTGTAACGGCTGGCGGACCTTGAGTCACGAAGTGATCTGACCGCTATATACGTCAGAACCGTCGGAAATTAGAGCAGCTCTGATATTTAGCAGAGATCATGTTTACTTATTAATCTATAGCTAGTACTATGTATCTATAAAAGATTAAAGACTTATATGATTCATAATTTATGATTATTCAATTGGACTTTCATCTTATCTCCTCGTTTCATTCTCAAACCGAAAAGTTACAAGCTTGACACCAGTTAAAGACTTTATCTCAGTTGATAGAGTTAGAGACTCTACACCCCAATTACAAACTCTAGCCCAGTTAGAGACTCTAGCCTAGAGTTACAGACTCGAATTACGAACCTTGAAGACACTGCTCTGACAGCGGAACTATAATGTCGTGTTCCAGACACATGGTCCGGTACAAGGCGGACAGTTCGCAGTGGTTGGTGGAGTGGCACACAGCGTCCATACAGTCGTAGTAGAACCGCCAAACTGGGACTTTCTGAAACGGAGCAAGTTTATTATTGTTCAACCTGCGAGTTTCAGCGACAGAAAATAGGTTAAAGTTGATAATCGAATGTGATTAACTAATTGAATATGATCAACGAATCTATTATGATTAACTAATTGAATATGATTAACTAATTTATTATGATTAATTGATTAATTGTGATTAACTAATTTATTATCATTAACTAATTAATTACCATTAACTAATTAATAAATAATGATTAACATACCGGGTTACATTGCTGAACTGGTATAGTGTAGTAGTAGTAGCACGTAGCAATCGCCTCGGATTTCAGAGTAGCATTCGTATCACACGGATTTTCCTGAAGTGTTGTGGACTTTTATTTTCTGAACAGCATTTTGTAACTGTATAAAAATCAGCGCACATCCAAATCTGAGTATATAAACTGATAAATCATAAAATTCAGATATTGAGAAAGAGTAACTTGAGAAGTTGCGAAAACAGCAGTTTTGTAGATGCTAACCTTTGTAGATGGAGTTGTAGGAAGAACCACTGGTCCTTTAGAAGCAGTTGAAATGTATTTTGTCCTGGTGACTGCAGTCTTGGTGTAGTACCAACATCAGGATCTGGCGTCGCAGAAACTGGTGTGTCAGATCCCGTCTGGTCAACTGCTGTGGGGTCCACCGTACGGTCTTGGCAGAATTGAGGAATGATACTGGCATCAAACAGACCATTATTGGCACATTCTACAGAGTACTCCTCAAAGAGTGGGCAATAACAGGATCTAGTTAAGATGCTGTCACATTCACACGTGTATCTGAAGAATACTTCCACGGGGTTGACGACCTGAAATATTTCAAACTTTTAATGTTAATTAATGTTAATTAATGCTAGTCTAGTTTATAGAATTTTATGATACCAATAGAAAAACAGGGCCGGCAAAACTTGTCACAAATAAATAATCTGGATTAACGGAACGATAAAGCAGGTACCTCTTGACATCTCTTGAACGCTGCACTGTCGTCAGTTCCAAAGAACTGACTGAATGCTTCCTGTGCCTTGTTGAACGAAAGGAGGACACACTTTGGTGACTCGGACGGTTTAGGAGTAACTGTTTCAACTGATGGAACTTCAGATGGAACTTCTGAAACATTACAAATTGATACTTTAGACAATTATTATTTGTATGCAATATGTGCATTTAGTGAAAGTAACATACTGCATCATAAGGTTTAATACTTAGGTCTTTAATAGTAGTTGGTAGTAGGAGGAATATCAAAATGTAAGCAATTTTCGTTAAAAAATTAACTCGAATAAAATTATATTAACCAGATAAATAGGGTGTCGTAGGAGTGACAATCTCGGTTGGTATTCCTGTTTGTGCAGTAGTATAGTCATTGTCTTCAACCGTCGTATATGGCAGAACAGACTCAGATGTAACTACAACCTTGGGGCTTTGAGATTTGTCTGTTATTATATCCTTTGTTAAATCAACCTTGGTGGTTATTCGTGGGGTTACTTTTGTTTTTATCTCCTCCGTGCTTTCAATATAATTAAAAGTAGTTGGAGAGATTTCGAAGCTTGAAAGTGTAGTTGGCAAATGTGGTCCTTTAGAGGCAGTTGATTTGTCTTCTGTCCGAGTGTCAATAGGTTTAAGTGTAGTACCGTGAACGTTGTCAGCATCAGGATCCGGCGTGCCAGTTGTGACTTCATCTTCAGAACTGTGTCCATCAGAAACTGAATCCTTCGTTGGGACCACAGTTGGAGGACCCTCGCTAATATCACTCTTGTCTTGAGATCCATCTGTTGTAGATTCTTTGACTGATTCTTCAGCAGAAGTGGATGGCTTTTCTGATTTTGGCGACCCATCTCTTGTCCGAGTATCAGTAGGTTTGGATGTAGTTCCGTGGACGTTGTCAGCATTAGGATCTGGCGTAGGAGTTGTGACTGTTGCATCTATTGATGGTGGATTTGTTTCAACGTCCGTAGAACCCTCAGTTGATGACTCGTCGGTCTCATCTGAAGGATGTTCAGTTGACACTTCAAAGCCAGTACCTTTTGTAGGAGTAATGGAAGAAAAACCCCTTGATGACTTTCCGGACTGTGGCGAAAGAGTTGTTGGCAAAGGTGGTCCTTGAGAAGCAGTTGATTTGTCTTTTGTCCGAGTATCAATTGGTATCGGTGTAGTACCGTGGACGTTGTCAGCATCAGGATCTGGCGTGCCAGTTGTTGCTTCCTCTTCAGAACTTTGTTCATCAGAAACTGAATCCTTTGTTGGTTTCACACTTGGAGGACCCTCACTAACATCACCGTTGTCTTTAAATCCATCCGTTGTAGATTCAGTCACTGATTGATCTTTAGCACTGGTGGATGGGTTTTTCGATCTTGTTGAAAGTGTAGTTGGCAAAGGTGGTCCTTGAGAAGCAGTTGATTTGTCTTTTGTCCGAGTATCAATAGGTTTCGGTGTAGTTCCGTGGACGTTGTCAGCATCAGGATCTGGCGTGCCAGTTGTTGCTTTGTCTCCATCAGAAACTGAATCCTTTGTTTGTTTCACACTTGGAGGAACCTCACTAACATCACCGTTGTCTTTAGATCCATCCATTGTAGATTCTTTGACTGATTCCTTAGGAGAAGTGAATGGCTTTTCTGATTTTGGCGAGACAGTTGACCCATCTCTTGCCCTAGTATCAGTAGGCTTGGGTGTAGTGCCTTCGACATTATCAACATCAGGATCTGGCGTGCCAGTTGTGACTTCATCTTCAGATCTGTGTTCATCAGAAACTGAATCCTTTGTTGGTTTCAAACTTGGAGGACCCTCACTAACATCATCGTTGTCTTTAGATCCATCCGTTGTAGATTCTGTCACTGATTGATCATCAGCACTGGTGGATGGGTTTTTCGATCTTGGTGAAAGTGTAGTTGGCAAAGGTGGTCCTTTAGAAGCAGTTGATTTGTCTTTTGTCCGAGTATCAGAAGGCTTGGGTGTAGTACCTTCGACATTATCGACATCAGGATCTTGCATGCCAGTTGTTGCTTCGTCTTCAGAACTTTGTTCATCAGAAACTGAATCCTTTGTTGGTTTCACAGTTGGAGGACCATCGCTAATATCACCGTTGTCTTTAGATCCATCCGTTGTAGATTCAGTCACTGATTGATCATCAGCACTGGTGGATGGGTTTTTCGATCTTGGTGAAAGTGTAGTTGGCAAAGGTGGTCCTTGAGAAGCAGTTGATTTGTCTTTTGTCCGAGTATCAGTAGGTATCGGTGTAGTACCGTAAACGTTGTCAGCATCAGGATCTGGCGTGCCAGTTGTTGCTTCCTCTTCAGAACTTTGTTCATCAGAAACTGAATCCTTTGTTGGTTTCACACTTGGAGGACCCTCACTAACATCACCGTTGTCTTTAGATCCATCCGTTGTAGATTCAGTCACTGATTGATTATCAGCACTGGTGGATGGGTTTTTCGATCTTGGTGAAAGTGTAGTTGGCAAAGGTGGTCCTTGAGAAGCAGTTGATTTGTCTCTTGTCCGAGTATCAATAGGTTTCGGTGTAGTTCCGTGGACGTTGTCAGCATCAGGATCTGGCGTGCCAGTTGTTGCTTCGTCTTCAGAACTTTGTTCATCAGAAACTAAATCTTTGTTGGTTTCACACTTGGAGGAACCTCACTAACATCACCGTTGTCTTTAGATCCATCCATTGTAGATTCTTTGGCTGATTCCTTAGGAGAAGTGGAAGGCTTTTCTGATTTTGGCGAGACAGTTGACCCATCTCTTGTCCTAGTATCAGTAGGCTTGGATGTAGTACCTTGGACGTTATCAGCATCAGGATCAGGCGTGACAGTTACCTCTTCACTGGGAATTTCCTCGCTAGGACGACTCTTTGTAGAAATACCGTCATCTGTTTTAAAACTAGCATTTTCGGTAGGAGTTATAGTAGAAGAACCCCTGGACGGTCTTTCGGACTCAGGTGACGGAGTAGTTGGAATAGGTGGTCCTTTTGAGAAAGTTGATTTATTATCTGACTCATTACTCTTATCAGAAGGATCTTCAGTTGAGACTTCATTAGTTGAGGAATCTTTTTCATCTGGAGTGGTTGGAAGAATGTCGACCTTAGATGTGGTTTTTGTATCTTCTGTTGGAACCACAGTTGGTGGTATCGTTGAGAAGGGAATGGAAGGTGTTGGTGGTGTAAGAGTTGAGGCTTCTGACGCAATTGGTTCAGTGCCATCACTTATTCCATTATTAGTTGGTTTGTTGTTGTTATCTGATGGCTTTTCACTCGGTTCTTCTGATACAGGCTTCTTAGTTTTGTGTTCTTGAGGAGATTTTGTGTCAGATGAACTTGTCTTGAATTTGAAGTCAGCAGAACTGGTACTCACATCCACTGGTGGTGTTGCAAGCTTAGTAGTTGTGTCTTCACCTGAACTCTTACTTTGTCCATCAGAAACTGAAATCTTGGTTGGTGTCACAGATGGAGGACCCTCGCTAATGTCACTTTTGTCTTTAGATCCATCTAATGTGGAAACCTTGACTGGTTGATGAACAGCCGTTGTGGTCAGTTTTTCCGATTTTGGAGCCAGTGTAGTTGGTAAAGGTGGTCCTTTAGAAGCAGTTGACCCATCTCTTGTCCGAGTATCAATAGGTTTTGATGTAGTACCGTAAACATTGTCAGCATCAGGATCTGGCGTGCCAGTTGTGTATGTAGAATCCTTAGTTGATGCCTCGTTACTCTCATCTGAAGGATCTTTAGTGGTAGGAAGCACCGGTGGAGTAATTAAAGTTGGTGTCACTGAACCTATACTTTCACTTCTAAAAGGAACAAAACCTGTGATATCTGGCTTCTCTTTTGAGGAGTCTGTTGACACTGGAACTCTTGGGGTTGTTGGGAGGTCTGGTTCCTTTTCTGTTGTTCTATTAATAGGATCCAACTTAGATACTGACTTTGCTTCGCCAGACGGATCTTTCGAGGTTGTGGATTTGTCAGAAGCATCAGTTGGAGCTTCGGATGACACAGCGTTTGAAGGAAACGCAGAAAACGGAACACTTGGGCGCATGTTTTCACAGTCAATGCCCAGTTCAACTTGAACACTTCCGATATCACCATCTGTACAAGAAGCCTGGTATTCAAATGCTAACCCACATCTTTGCTCTGGCGTGTCTCCTTTACACAGTTTTTCAGTACAGTTTCTGTAGAATTCTGTGGTACCAATAGTATCTCTGCAATCAACATTCAGCATGAATATAGAGAACACCAGCTCATTACAAAATTCTTCGACGCGAGATTTGTATTCCTTATCTTTCTCACAGAAATTAATTTCAGCTTTCTCGGTTGTACCAATTTCATCAGTGGTGCCTTCCGTTGCATCTTCACTAGGTCCAGGGCTGAAAGTGGTAACTTCACCATCCGTCTTGGTTTTGTCATCCAGATTTGCAGAGGTATTCTTGCCACGTTTAGTTGATGGCGCATCAGTAGATTTGGGTGTAGTACCATGGACGTTGTCAACATCAGGATCTGGCGTTCCAGTTGTTGCATCGTTTGGATCTTTTGTTGGAATGACAGTCGGTGGTGACGAAGATATAGGAATCGATGGCGTTACTGTTGTAAGAGTTGATGGTTTTGACTCAATCGGTTCAGTTTCGTCATTTCCATCATCAGTTGATTGTTCGTTGATCTTTTCTGAGGCTTTTTCACTCGGTTCCACTGACGATTTAGGTGGTGACTTTGATTTCGATTTTTGAGGAGATTTGGTGTCAGGAGGACTTGTTTTGAATCTCATGTCAGCAGAACTAGTTTCGTAACTAGTACTCACATCCACTGGTGGTGTAGAAAGTTTGGTGGATACAACGTCCTCAGATCTTTGCCCGTCAGTAACTGAACCTTTTGTTGGAGTCACTGTTGGAGGCCCTTCACTGAGATCACTTTCATCATCAGAAACTGAATCCTTTTTGGGAGAAACAGTAGTAGGGCTGTTGGTGAAAGTTTCAACGATTGTAACAGGAGTAGACGTTTTTTCTTTTCTCTTAGTTGGATCGGTTTTCTGTGGAGGGTCAGAGTCCTTCGTAGTTCTATCTTCTTCTTCTTTTCCATCCATGGTAGGAGACACAGATGATTTCAGTTTTTCTGTAACTGACTCAGTAAGAGAACTATCTGTAAGTGCTTCACTTGATTTCTGTGGAGACGTTTCAGGAAGAGGAGGGGTGGATGATAAGTTATCACCAGTTTCAATACCTTCAGAGGACACATACGATGGAAGTGAATTAGTAGTGGTTTCCTTTGTAGGTCTATTGTCTCCAGTGAATTTGTCCACTGTACCACTATCTTCCGTGGGGGTGACAGTAGAGATACCCCGAGTTGTGCCTGAAGTTGATCCCGTCATTTCATCGGAGGAATCTTTTTCATTTGGAGTGGTTGGAAGAACCTTGACCTTAGAGGTGGTCAGAACATCTTTTGATGATGAAGTCTTCGTATCTTCTGTTGGAATCACAGTTGGTGGTGTCGATGAGAAGGGAATGGAAGGTGTTGGTGGTGTAAGAGTTGAGGCTTCTGACACAATAGGTTCAGTGCCATTACCTATTCCATTATCAGTAGAAGATTCGTTGATTTTATCCGATGGCTTTTCACTCGGTTCCTCTGATACAAATGAATTGGACGACGTCTTTGTTTTAAATTCTTGAGGAGATTTAGTATCAGGAGGACTTGTCTTGAATTTAAAGTCAGCGGAACTACTTTCGTAACTAGCAGTCACATCTACTGGCGGCGTTACAAGCCTAGTAGTTGTGTCTTCATCAGGACTCTCACTTTGTTCATCAGAAACTGAAACTTGTGTTGGTTTCACACTTGGAGGAGCCTCACTAACATCACCGTTGTCTTTAGATTCATCCGTTGTAAATTCTTTAACTGATTGATCATCAGCACTGGTAGATGAGTTTTTCGATCTTGGTGAAAGTGTAGTTGGCAAAGGTGGTCCTTCAGAAACAGTTGATTTGTCTCTTGTCCGAGTATCAATAGGTTTCGGTGTGGTACCGTGGACGTTGTCAGCATCAGGATCTGGTGTGCCAGTTGTTGCTCCGTCTACAGAACTTTGTTCATCAGAAACTGCATCCTTTGTTGGTTTCACACTTGGAGGACCCTCACTAACATCACCGTTGTCTTTAGATCCATCCGTTGTAGATTCTGTATCTGATTGATCATCAGCACTGGTGGATGGATTTTCTGATTTTGGTGAAAGTGTAGTTGGCAAAGGTGGTCCTTGAGAAGCAGTTGACCCATCTTCTGTCCGAGTATCAATAGGTTTTGGTGTAGTACCGTGGACGTTGTCAGCATCAGGATCTGGCGTGCCAGTTGTTGCTTCGTCTTCATCAGAAACTGAATCCTTTGTTGGTTTCACGCTTGGAGGACCCTCACTAATATCACCGTTGTCTTTAGATCCATCCGTTGTAGATTCTGCAACTGATTGACCATCAGCACTAGTGGATGGGTTTTTCGATCTTGGTGAAAGTGTAGTTGGCAAAGGTGGTCCTTGAGAAGCAGTTGATTTGTCTTTTGTCCGAGTATCAATAGGTTTTGGTGTAGTACCGTGGACGTTGTCAGCATCAGGATCTGGCGTGCCAGTTGTTGCATCGTCTTCAGAACTTTGTTCATCAGAAACTGAATCCTTTGGTGGTTTCACACTTGGAGGACCCTCACTAACATCGCCGTTGTCTTTAGATTCATCCGTTGTAGATTTTGAAACTGATTGATCATCAGCACTAGTGGATGGTTTTTTCGATCTTGGTGAAAGTGTAGTTGGTAAAGATGGTCCTTGAGAAGCAGTTGACCCATCTTCTGTCCGAGTATCAATAGGTTTTGGTGTAGTACCGTGGACGTTGTCAACATCAGGATCTGGCGTACCAGTTGTTGCTTCGTCTTCAGTCGATGACTCGTTACTCTTATCCGAAGGATCTTCAGTATTAACTTCTTCAGTAGGAAGCACCGGTGGATTAATTACAGTTGTGGTAACTGAACCTATACTTTCACTTCTAAAAGGAACAACACTTGTGATATCTGGCTGCTCTTTTGAAGAATCTGTTGATACTGGAACTCTTGGGGTTGTTGGGAGGTCCGGTTTCATTTCGGTTGTTCTATCAATAGGATTAGACTTATTTGTTTCACCAGATACTGATTTTGTTTCACCCGACTGATCTTTTGAGGTTGTGGAGCTGTCAGAAGCATCAGTTGGAGCTTCGGATGACACAGCGTTTGAAGGAAACGCAGAGAACGGAACACTTGGGCGCATGTTTTCACAGTCCATGCCCAGTTCAATTTGAACGCTTCCAATATCACCGTCTGTACAAGAAGCCTGGTATTCGAATGCTAACCCACATCTTTGCTCTGGCGTGTCTCCTTTACACAGTTTTTCAGTACAGTTTTTGTAGAATTCTGTGGTACCAATAGTATCCCTGCAATCAACATTCAGCATGAATATAGAGAACACCAGCTCATTACAAAATTCTTCAACTCGAGACTTGTACTCCTTATCTTTCTCACAGAAATTAGTGTCAGCTTTCTCGGTTGTATCAATTTCATCATTCGGAGTTGTTGGAATGACATCAGGCCTAGAAACAGTGAAAGGATTTTTTGACGTTTTTGCGTCTTGCGATGGAACCACAGTAGGTGGTGTTGACGAGAAAAATATGGAAGGAGTTGGAGTAGCAACTGTACCAAGATCAGATGAGGCTCCTGAATCGATCGGTTTAGTGGTATCACCAGTAGATGGTTCGACGCTTTTATCCGATGAATCCTCAGATGTTGAGTCAGAGACGGTTGATTTATATTTTGTCCGATTATCAGGTCTGGGTGTAGTACCTTGGACGTTATCAGCATCAGGATCTGGCGTGCCAGTTGTGGCTTCGTCTCCAGAAGGAGGACTTGTCTTGAATTTGAAGTCAGCAGACATAGTTTCGTAACTAGTACTCACATCTACTGGTGGTGTCACAAGTCCAGTAGTTGTGTCTTCATCAGGACTCTTACTTTGTCCACCAGAAACTGGACCCTTCGTTGGTTTCACTGTTGGTGGACCCTCACTAATATCACTTTTGTCTTTAGATCCACTTGTTGTAGAATCTTTCACTGATTGATTATCAGCAGTGGTGGAAGGTTTTGCTGGTTTTGGTGATAGCGTAGTTGGCATAGGTGGACCTTTAGATGATGAGTCAGAGACAGTTGATTTATCTTCTGTCCGAGTATCAGTAGGTTTTGGTGTAGTACCCTCGACGTTGTCAGCATCAGGATCTGGAGTGGGGGTTGTGACTGTTGCATCTATTGATGATCGATTTGTTTCAACGTCAGTAGAATCCTCGGTTGATGATTCGTTACTGCCATCTGAAGGATCTTCAGTGGACACTTGTTCAGTAGATTCAACAGTAGGAACTATTGGTGGAGTAACTTCTGTAGTTGATGCTCTAAATGGAACAAAACTCGTAATATCGGGCTTCTCTTTCGATGAGTCAGCTGATTCTTCAGTAGGTTGAACATCGTCTGTTGAAGTTGGTGTACTTGGCAACGGTGGTCCTTTTGATGAGGCTTTGGACAATGTAACCTCTGCTGATACATCAAGAGCTGCAGGTGACTTAGTCGGAATTTCTGATGCAGAAGATTTCAACTCAGAGTCCGTTGGTGTAATAGTAAGAGGAAATTTTGTCATACTTTTGTCGGTTGTTGTAGCTACATCCTCACATTCTTCATACACTGCCAAAATTTCGATTCCAACTTTAGAGCACTCATCCTTGTAGCGTTTTATAGACTTGCACTTATTGGAAGATTCACTGCAAACCTCGTCAACACAGCTTTCGAATATTGGGTTGAATGATATCCTCTGAAAAACAAGATGTGTTACAGTAAACAATTAATATTCACAGTCGAGATGGGTCGAGCGCAGAGACATGCTTAGCACACAGAAATTTGGTTTGAAATTGCCAAAATAGATGAGAAATGTGTTTGGCTCCAGACGGGCCCCACCTCAACTGTGTCATATCAGAACAATGACTAATTTAGAATTTGATTACGTAACAGAGAAAATAATATCTTTGCTTTAAAAGAGAGTGTGCTAAAAAAGGCCGATTGAATAATATTTAGTTCAGAGGCTGCTGTCAACATGAAGTGAGGTAAAATCAAACAATAAATTATAATTTAAAACCAGAGGCTATCAGTGATTTAAACGATTAAAAAGAACATGTAAGTTTTTAACCTTGTTACACTTCCAACTAGAGTTATCCCCAAACACGATATCAGAGCAGATATCAAGAACAAGCATCTTGTAAACCTCATCATGGTCACACTTTTTAGTATCTTTTGAAGGTTCTGTAGTTGGAATGATAGTTGGATTGGAATTCTCATCAGATGTTTTAGTAACATCTGATTTTGGATCTGGACCATTAGAGAAAGTTGTCAGCACATCGCTGGATTTTTCGACAGGTACTTGACTAGAAGTACCTTCGTCTGTTTTTTCAGATGAATCCTTTTTCTTTGGTGTAGTTGGGATGACATTGGGCTTAGAATTGGTGAAAGGATTTTTAGACGTTCTTGAGTCTTCAGAAGGAATCACAGTTGGCGGTGTTGATGAGAAAACTCTGGTAGATGCAATATCCTCAGATCTCTGTTCATCAGATCCAGAATCTTTTGTTGGAGTCACAGAGACAGCTGATTTATCTTTTGTCCGAGTATCGGTAGGTTCGGGTGTAGTACCGTAGACGTCAGAATCTGGCGTGGGGGTTGTTACTATTATTCCAATTGTGGACGAAGTTGTTTCAGCATCTACAGATTCCTTGGTTGAAACCTTGGCGGGTTGACGGTAAGCAGTTGAGGTTGTTGGTATTTCAGTGTCTGAGATCAATCCATTTCCATTTTCTGTCGTCGATATTTCAGGTGTTGGTGGCAGAGTTGTTACAGCTCTTGATGACATTCCAATTTTTTCTGAACTAGCAGTAGAATTAATTTCATTATATACTGTTGTGGAGACAAGGACTGGTCTATTGTCTTCAGTCGACGGAATTGGACTGAAAGATTTAGTGGAAGTCGTTCCGAGATCAGGAGTGATTGGCCTGCTAACAGTAGGAATGATCGTTGGAGGAGAACCAGGATCAGATTTCTTTGTTCCTTCTTTAACACTGCCCGTATTCGAATCAGCTGTAGCTCCTGATGAAGTCGATCGATCAGTTACTTTCGACTTCTGCTCGGTTGTCTCCTTATCAATAGGTTTACCAGTGACAGCTCCAATCTCTACATCTACAGACGTATTCGATTTTAAAACACTGTCGTCAGTTACAGAGCTAACTTTGTCTGAACCATCAGTAGATTCCTTTGTTGCTGAACCATCAGAATTTTTGGTTGACATTTCTGTTACAGTTTCTGTTGATTTAACATCTTGATTCTCGACAGTAGTCTGATTAGAAACATTTCCCCCGTCAGTTATATCATCTGTAGATGTGTTATCACAAGGAAATACAACAGGAGATGGTAGGCGCACTGATATCAGTGGGGCAGAACTTGTAGCTTTAGATGAAACTTCTTTTGTTGTTGGAGGATCAGGAGAGCCTCCCGTAGAAGGATCTTCAGTTGGCAAAGATGGTGTAGAAAGTTTGGAAGATGGAATACCTTCTGTTGGAACCACAGTTGGAGGACCCTTGCTAATGTCACTTTTGTCTTCTGACCCATCCGTTGTAGACAAAGTGACTGATCGATCATCATCAGTAATAGTGGATGGTTTTTCCGATTTTGGCGAAAGCGTTGTTGGCAAAGGGGGTCCTTTGGATGATGAGTCAGAAACAGTTGACCCATATCTTTTCCGAGTATCAGTTGGGTTTGGTGTAGTACCTTGGACGTTCTCGGCATCAGGATCTGGCTTGATAGTTGTGGCTTCGTCTTCAGAACTTTGTTCATCAGAAACCGAACTTTCTGTTGGAACCACAGTTGGAGGGCTTCCGCTAATATAACTTTTGTCTTGATCTGACCCATCCGTTGTAGACAAACTGACTGATTGAACATCATCAGTAGTAGTGGATTGTTTTTCCGATTTTAGTGAAAGCGTTGATGGCAAAGGGGGTCCTTTTGATGATGAATCAGAAACAGTTGACCCATCTCTTGTCCGAGTATCAGTGGGTTTTGGTGTAGTCCCGTGGACATTCTCGGCATCAGGATCCGGCGTGATAGTTGTGGCTTCGTCTTCAGAACTTTGTTCATCAGATACCGAACTTTCTGTTGGAACCACAGTTGGAGGGCTTCCGCTAATGTCACTTTTGCCTTCCGATCCATCCGTTGTGGACACTTTGACTGGTTGATCATCATCAGTAGTAGTGAATGGTTTTACTGATTTTGGTGAAAGCGTTGTTGGCAAAGAAGGTCCTTTGGATGATGAATAAGAAACAGTTGACCCATCTCTTGTCCGAGTGTCAGTGGGTTTTGGTGTAGTACTATGGACGTTCTCAGCATCAGAATCTGGCGTGGTAGTTGTGGCTTCGTCTTCAGAACTTTGTTCATCAGAGACCGAACTTTCTGTTGGAACCACAGTTGGAGGGCTTCCGCTAATGTCACTTTTGCCTTCTGATCCATCCGTTGTGGACACTTTGACTGGTTGATCATCATCAGTAGTAGTGGATTGGTTTACTGATTTTGATGAACGTGTTGTTGGCAAAGGTGGTCCTTTAGAAGCAGTTGATTTGTCTTCTGTCCGAGTATCAGTAGGTTTAGCTGTAGTACCCTCGACGTTGTCAATATCAGCACCAGGCGTGCCAGTTGTGGCTATTACCTCTGATGATGGCGTATTTGTTTCAACATCTGACTCGTTACTTTCATCAGAAGGATCTTCAGTTGACATTCTTGGTGTAGAAAGTCTGGAAGATGCAACATCTTCAGACCGTTGTTCATCAGAAACCGAACTTTTTGTTGGAACCACAGTTGGAGGGCTTCCGCTAATGTCACTTTTATTTTCTGATCCATCTGTTGTAGACACTTGGACTGGTTGATCATCATCAGTAGTACTGGATGGTTCTTCCGATTTTGGTGAACGTGTTGTTGGCAAAGGTGGTCCTTTGGAAGCAGTTGATTTGTCTTCTGGTCGAGTATCAGTGGATGGTTTTTCTGATTTTGGTGAAAGCGTTGTTGGCAAAGGGGGTCCTTTGGATGATGAATCAGAAACAGTTGACCCAACTCTTGTCCGAGTATCAGTGGGTTTTGGTGTAGTACCGTGGACATTCTCGGCATCAGGATCCGGCGTGATAGTTGTGGCTTCGTCTTCAGAACCTTGTTCATCAGACACCGTACTTTTTGTTGGAACCACAATTGGAGGGCTTCCGCTAATGTCACTTTTGCCTTCTGATCCATCTGTTGTAGACACTTTGACTGGTTGATCATCATCAGTAGTAGTGGATGGTTTTACTGATTTTGATGAACGTGTTGTTGGTGAAGTTGGTCCTTTAGAAGCAGTTGATTTGTCTTCTGTCCGAGTATCAGTAGGTTTAGCTGTAGTACCCTCGACGTTGTCAATATCAGCACCAGGCGTGCCAGTTGTGGCTATTACCTCTGATGATGGCGTATTTGTTTCAACATCTGACTCCTTTCTTTCATCAGAAGGATCTTCAGTTGACATTGGTGGTGTAGAAAGTCTGGAAGATGCAACATCTTCAGACCGTTGTTCATCAGAGACCGAACTTTTTGTTGGAACCACAGTTGGAGGGCTTCCGCTAATGTCACTTTTGCCTTCTGATCCATCTGTTGTAGACACTTTGACTGGTTGATCATCATCAGTAGTAGTGGATGGTTTTACTGATTTTGGTGAACGTGTTGTTGGCAAAGGTGGTCCTTTGGAAGCAGTTGATTTGTCTTCTGGCCGAGTATCAGTGGATGGTTTTTCTGATTTTGGTGAAAGCGTTGTTGGCAAAGGGGGTCCTTTGGATGATGAATCAGAAACAGTTGACCCATCTCTTGTCCGAGTATCAGTGGGTTTTGGTGTAGTACCGTGGACATTCTCGGCATCAGGATCCGGCGTGATAGTTGTGGCTTCGTCTTCAGAACTTTGTTCATCAGAAACCGAACTTTTTGTTGGAACCACAGTTGGAGGGCTTCCGCTTATGTCACTTTTGCCTTCTGATCTATCTGTTGTGGACACTTTGACTGGTTGATCATCATCAGTAGTAGTAGATGGTTTTATTGATTTTGGTGAAAGTGTAGTTAGTGAAGTTGGTCCTTTAGAAGCAGTTGATTTGTCTTCTGTCCCAGTATCAGTAGGTTTGGCTGTAGTTCCCTTGACGTTGTCTATATCAGCATCCGATGTGCCAGTTGTGGTTATTACCTCTGATGACGGCTTATTTGTTTCAACATCTGACTCGTTACTTTCATCAGAAGGATCTTCAGTTGACATTCTTGGTGTAGAAAGTCTGGAAGATGCAACATCTTCAGACCGTTGTTCATCAGAAACCGAACTTTTTGTTGAAACCACAGTTGGAGGGCTTCCGCTAATGTCACTTTTATTTTCTGATCCATCTGTTGTAGACAATTGGACTGGTTGATCATCATCAGTAGTAGTAGATGGTTCTTCCGATTTTGGTGAACGTGTTGTTGGCAAAGGTGGTCCTTTGGAAGCAGTTGATTTGTCTTCTGGCCGAGTATCAGTGGATGGTTTTTCTGATTTTAGTGAAAGCGTTGTTGGCAAAGGGGGTCCTTTCGATGATGAATCAGAAACAGTTGACCCATCTCTTGTCCGAGTATCAGTGGGTTTTGGTGTAGAACCGTGGACTTTCTCGGCATCAGGATCCGGCGTGATAGTTGTGGCTTCGTCTTCAGAACTTTGTTCATCAGAAACCGAACTTTTTGTTGGAACCACAGTTGGAGGGCTTCCACTAATGTCACTTTTGCCTTCTGATCCATCCGTTGTGGACACTTTGACTGGTTGATCATCATCAGTAGTAGTGGATGGTTTTACTGATTTTGATGAACGTGTTGTTGGCAAAGGTGGTCCTTTAGAAGCAGTTGATTTGTCTTCTGTCCGAGTATCAGTAGGTTTAGCTGTAGTACCCTCGACGTTGTCAATATCAGCACCAGGCGTGCCAGTTGTGGCTATTACCTCTGATGATGGCGTATTTGTTTCAACATCTGACTCGTTACTTTCATCAGAAGGATCTTCAGTTGACAATAGTGGTGTAGAAAGTCTGGAAGATGCAACATCTTCAGACCGTTGTTCATCAGAAACCGAACTTTTTGTTGGAACCACAGTTGGAGGGCTTCCGCTAATGTCACTTTTATTTTCTGATCCATCTGTTGTAGACACTTGGACTGGTTGATCATCATCAGTAGTAGTGGATGGTTCTTCCGATTTTGGTGAACGTGTTGTTGGCAAAGGTGGTCCTTTGGAAGCAGTTGATTTGTCTTGTGGCCGAGTATCAGTGGATGGTTTTTCTGATTTTGGTGAAAGCGTTGTTGGCAAAGGGGGTCCTTTGGATGATGAATCAGAAACAGTTGACCCATCTCTTGTCCGAGTATCAGTGGGTTTTGGTGTAGTACCGTGGACATTCTCGGCATCAGGATCCGGCGTGATAGTTGTGGCTTCGTCTTCAGAACTTTGTTCATCAGACACCGTACTTTTTGTTGGAACCACAGTTGGAGGGCTTCCGCTAATGTCACTTTTGCCTTCTGATCCATCCGTTGTGGACACTTTGACTGGTTGATCATCATCAGTAGTAGTGGATGGTTTTACTGATTTTGATGAACGTGTTGTTGGCAAAGGTGGTCCTTTAGAAGCAGTTGATTTGTCTTCTGTCCGAGTATCAGTAGGTTTAGCTGTAGTACCCTCGACGTTGTCAATATCAGCACCAGGCGTGCCAGTTGTGGCTATTACCTCTGATGATGGCGTATTTGTTTCAACATCTGACTCCTTTCTTTCATCAGAAGGATCTTCAGTTGACAATAGTGGTGTAGAAAGTCTGGAAGATGCAACATCTTCAGACCGTTGTTCATCAGAAACCGAACTTTTTGTTGGAACCACAGTTGGAGGGCTTCCGCTAATGTCACTTTTATTTTCTGATCCATCTGTTGTAGACACTTGGACTGGTTGATCATCATCAGTAGTAGTGGATGGTTCTTCCGATTTTGGTGAACGTGTTGTTGGCAAAGGTGGTCCTTTGGAAGCAGTTGATTTGTCTTCTGGCCGAGTATCAGTGGATAGTTTTTCTGATTTTGGTGAAAGCGTTGTTGGCAAAGGGGGTCCTTTGGATGATGAATCAGAAACAGTTGACCCATCTCTTGTCCGAGTATCAGTGGGTTTTGGTGTAGTACCGTGGACATTCTCGGCATCAGGATCCGGCGTGATAGTTGTGGCTTCGTCTTCAGAACTTTGTTCATCAGACACCGTACTTTTTGTTGGAACCACAGTTGGAGGGCTTCCGCTAATGTCACTTTTGCCTTCTGATCCATCCGTTGTGGACACTTTGACTGGTTGATCATCATCAGTAGTAGTGGATGGTTTTACTGATTTTGATGAACGTGTTGTTGGCAAAGGTGGTCCTTTAGAAGCAGTTGATTTGTCTTCTGTCCGAGTATCAGTAGGTTTAGCTGTAGTACCCTCGACGTTGTCAATATCAGCACCAGGCGTGCCAGTTGTGGCTATTACCTCTGATGATGGCGTATTTGTTTCAACATCTGACTCGTTACTTTCATCAGAAGGATCTTCAGTTGACATTGGTGGTGTAGAAAGTCTGGAAGATGCAACATCTTCAGACCGTTGTTCATCAGAGACCGAACTTTTTGTTGGAACCACAGTTGGAGGGCTTCCGCTAATGTCACTTTTATATTCTGATCCATTTGTTGTAGACACTTGGACTGGTTGATCATCATCAGTAGTAATAGATGGTTCTTCCGATTTTGGTGAACGTGTTGTTGGCAAAGGTGGTCCTTTGGAAGCAGTTGATTTGTCTTCTGGCCGAGTATCAGTGGATGGTTTTTCTGATTTTGGTGAAAGCGTTGTTGGCAAAGGGGGTCCTTTCGATGATGAATCAGAAACAGTTGACCCATCTCTTGTCCGAGTATCAGTGGGTTTTGGTGTAGAACCGTGGACATTCTCGGCATCAGGATCCGGCGTGATAGTTGTGGCTTCGTCTTCAGAACTTTGTTCATCAGAAACCGAACTTTTTGTTGGAACCACAGTTGGAGGGCTTCCGCTTATGTCACTTTTGCCTTCTGATCCATCTGTTGTGGACACTTTGACTGGTTGATCATCATCAGTAGTAGTAGATGATTTTTCCGATTTGGACGAAAGTGTTGTTGGCAAAGGTGGTCCTTTAGAAGCAGTTGATTTGTCTTCTGTCCGAGTATCAGTAGGTTTAGCTGTAGTACCCTCGACGTTGTCAATATCAGCACCAGGCGTGCCAGTTGTGGCTATTACCTCTGATGATGGCGTATTTGTTTCAACATCTGACTCGTTACTTTCATCAGAAGGATCTTCAGTTGACATTGGTGGTGTAGAAAGTCTGGAAGATGCAACATCTTCAGACCGTTGTTCATCAGAGACCGAACTTTTTGTTGGAACCACAGTTGGAGGGCTTCCGCTAATGTCACTTTTATATTCTGATCCATTTGTTGTAGACACTTGGACTGGTTGATCATCATCAGTAGTAATAGATGGTTCTTCCGATTTTGGTGAACGTGTTGTTGGCAAAGGTGGTCCTTTGGAAGCAGTTGATTTGTCTTCTGGCCGAGTATCAGTGGATGGTTTTTCTGATTTTGGTGAAAGCGTTGTTGGCAAAGGGGGTCCTTTCGATGATGAATCAGAAACAGTTGACCCATCTCTTGTCCGAGTATCAGTGGGTTTTGGTGTAGAACCGTGGACATTCTCGGCATCAGGATCCGGCGTGATAGTTGTGGCTTCGTCTTCAGAACTTTGTTCATCAGAAACCGAACTTTTTGTTGGAACCACAGTTGGAGGGCTTCCGCTTATGTCACTTTTGCCTTCTGATCCATCTGTTGTGGACACTTTGACTGGTTGATCATCATCAGTAGTAGTAGATGATTTTTCCGATTTGGACGAAAGTGTTGTTGGCAAAGGTGGTCCTTTAGAAGCAGTTGATTTGTCTTCTGTCCGAGTATCAGTAGGTTTAGCTGTAGTACCCTCGACGTTGTCAATATCAGCACCAGGCGTGCCAGTTGTGGCTATTACCTCTGATGATGGCGTATTTGTTTCAACATCTGACTCCTTTCTTTCACCAGAAGGATCTTCAGCTGACATTGGTGGTGTAGAAAGTCTGGTAGATACAACGTCTTCTGACCTTTGTTCATCAGAAACCGAACTTTCTGTTGGAACCACAATTGGAGGGCTTCCGCTAATGTCACTTTTGTCTTGATCTGACCTATCCGTTGTAGACAAACTGACTGATTGAACATCATCAGTAGTAGTGGATTGTTTTTCCGATATTTGTGAAAGCGTTGTTGGCAAAGGGGGTCCTTTGGATGATGAATCAGAAACAATTGACCCATCTCTTGTCCAAGTATCAATGAGTTTTGGTGTAGTACCGTGGACGTTCTCGGCATCAGGATCCGGCGTGATAGTTGTGGCTTCGTCTTCAGAACTTTGTTCATCAGAAACCGAACTTTCTGTTGGAACCACAGTTGGAGGGCTTCCGCTAATGTCACTTTTGTCTTCTGACCCATCCGTTGTAGACAAACTGACTGGTTGATCATCATCAGTAGTAGTGGATGGTTTTTCAGATTTTGGTGAAAGCGTTGTTGGCAAAGGGGGTCCTTTAGAAGCAGTTGATTTGTCTTTTGTCCGAGTATCAATAGGTTTGGGTGTAGTACCGTCGACGTTGCCAGCACCAGGCGTGCCAGTTGAGGCTATTACCTCTGATGATGGCGTATTTGTTTCAACATCCGACTTGTTACTTTCATCAGAAGGATCTTCGGTTGACATTGGTGGTGTAGAAAGTCTGGTAGATACAACGTCTTCAGACCTCTGTTCATCAGAAACCGAACTCTTTGTTTGAACCACAGTTGGAGGGCTTCCACTAATGTTACTTTTGTCTTCTGACCCATCCGTTGTAGACATTTTGATTGGTTGATCGTCAGCAGAAGTGGATGGTTTTTCCGATTTTGACGAAAGCGTTGTTGGCAAAGGTGGTCCTTTAGAAACAGTTGATTTGTCTTCTGGCCGAGTATCAGTAGGTTTGGGTGTAGTACCGTGGACGTTGTCAGCATCAGGATCTGGCGTGCCAGTTGTGGCTATTACCTTTGATGATGACGTATTTATTTCAACATCTGTAGATTGCTCGGTTGTAACCTTGGCGGGTTGATGATGAGCAGTTGAGGTTGGTCTTTCAGTAATTTGTGTACTTGGTACCGGTGTAGTAGGCAACAATGTCTTTGTTACTTCAATAGGACGGTCGGTGGGTACTTCTGTTGAAACGTGAACTGAGGGTGACAAATATATATTGTCACAAACATCGCCTATTTCAACGTTGAACCCTTCCTCTTTATCCCCTGTATTCCTTGTTTTCTTTGTATCTGACCCAGACGCACAAGCAGTTTTGAAAGAGGTTGCGAAATCGCATCTTTGACTTGGAGAATCTCTTTGACACAGAATAGCAGTACAATTAGAATACCATGTGTTCTGTCCCATTTTCTGAAAGAATTTGCTGCTTGCTGTCATGCAACATTAAAAACAGATACACCAAAATTAAAACGAGAGGGGCGTTTATTTGCTACATTTTTAAAAGTAAAATTGTGCAGTCCGAGTGAGGCTGAAAGAATCAAAGTGCTTTCAAAGGTAAACCCCGGTAATGATATGCTCATTTATAAAGGACATGTATTTTCAAAGAGAAAGGACATGTATTGATCTACATATAACAACAATTGGCAACTTGGTCGTTTAGCTCCGGACAGTCTATGCAACGTCTATGCAACGTCCATGCAACAACAAAAGAACCGTCTATGCAACGTCTATGCAACGTCCCTGCACAATGAACACTCTATGCACACTCCCTGCACGGTCAGTCTATGCAACGTCTATGCAACGTCTATGCAACGTCTATGCAACGTCTATGCAACGTCCCTGCACAGTACCATATGAACACCGGCTACTAGCCGGCTACTAGCCGGCTAGTAGCCACTTTTGTAATAACAGCTCCTCAACTTCACATTACCAACCGGCTACTAACCGGCACTTGAAAAGTGGTCACTAGCCGGCTACTAACCGGCTACTAGCCGGCTAGTGACCACAAAGTGGCTACTAACCGGCTACTAAGCGGTCACTAGCCGGCTATTAGCCGAGCTCTAAAGCTCTAAAGGTTTGGAACTAGAAGGTCCGCTTTAGAGCCGGCTAGTGACCGGTTAGTAGCCACTTGGTGGTTACTAGCCGGTTAGTAGCCGGTTAGTAGCCGGCTAGTGACCGGTTAGTAGCCACTTTGTGGTCACTAGCCGGCTAGTAGCCGGTTAGTAGCCGGCTAGTGACCACTTTTCAAGTGCCGGTTAGTAGCCGGTTGTTAATGTGAAGTTGAGGAGCTGTTATTACAAAAGTGGCTACTAGCCGGCTAGTAGCCGGCTAGTAGCCGGTGTTCATATGGTACTGTGCAGGGACGTTGCATAGACGTTGCATAGACGTTGCATAGACTGACCGTGCAGGGAGTGTGCATAGAGTGTTCATTGTGCAGGGACGTTGCATAGACGTTGCATAGACGGTTCTTTTGTTGTTGCACGGACGTTGCATAGACGTTGCATAGACTGTCCGGAGCTAAACGACCAACTTCCCCAACAATTAAACATACGCAATCTCCCTCACTCATACCTGACTACAAAGCACATTTTCCAGGCTGATTGTAAAGAGTAGCTCCTTACAGAACTGAGACACACTCTCCTTATAATCTGTATCCTGGCTACACCTGTTCTCCTTGTCACCAGTCTCCTTGTCACCAGGCTCCTTGTCACCAGGCTCCTTGTCACCAGGCTCCTTGTCACCAGGCTCCTTGTCACCAGGCTCCTTGTCACCAGGTTCCTCTGTTGTGATACCAGGGGTTGTTGACCCATCATGTAGTGAAACCGTGCTATGTGCAGTTGTAGGACTCACTTCCTCCTCACAGTCAGCTGATATCACCTCTATTCCAATATCCCAGCACGATTGCCTGTACCCCTGGGCCGCTTTGCAGCGACTTGAGGGGTCTGAGCACAACAGAGATACACATTCTTGATAAACTTTCGCTGCGTCGATTTTCTGAAATTTTAGGAAGTTAAGATACCCATGTTTTTAGAAATGTGCCATTTTTATACCGACGAACTATTTATTTATTAAGGAATTTGTACGATGTTTGATTTGGAAATTTATGGAGTTCAACAAGACAACTGCTTACCCAACTGCTTACATCAAGCAATGAAAAATAAATATACATTTCCCTCTTAGTCAAAAAATCATACTCACGGGAGTGCACTTCAAGTTAGACTGGTCCCCATAAACTGCCGAGAAACAAAACTCCGCTGCCACTATCTTGAAATCCTGACTAAGAGCACAAAAGTTCGTTTTGATCTCAGGAGTTGGGATTTCAGGGCTGCTTGGTGTCACGTCGTTAGGTCCATCTGTTAGTGTCTCTGTTGAGAGATCTATGTTTGGAGTTGTAAGATCAGTAGTAAATCTGTTGGTGATAACATCATCTGTTCTATCAGATTCGTCAGTTGATTTCTCAGATCCATCAGTCGAGTTCTCAGATTTCTCAGTTGATTTCTCAGATTCATCAGTCGATTTCTCAGATTCATCAGTTGATTTCTCAGATCCATCAGTCGATTTCTCAGATTCATCAGTCGATTTCTCAGATTCATCAGTCGATTTCTCAGATTCATCAGTCGATTTCTCAGATTCATCAGTTGATTTCTCAGATTCATCAGTTGATTTCTCAGATTCATCAGTCGATTTCTTAGATTCATCAGTCGATTTCTCAGATTCATCAGTCGATTTCTCAGATTCATCAGTTGACTTCTCTGAATGATCAGTTGGTTTCTCAGATTCATCAGTCGATTTCTCCCGTTCATCAGTACTAGAAATCGTAGGTTCAGTGCTAGTATCACTTCTTTTACTAGGAGTTGTAGTTGTTTTCTCTTTCGGTCCTTCATCAGTACCTGATGTAGTGACATATTTAAATAAATTATCACAGAATATAGGGTCAGAGCTCGGATAACCCTGGACGACAATTAAACGCTGGTCTCACCATCAGCTGCTACCAACCTCCATAAAGACAACATTTCAGAAATTAAGGTACACAAGATCAAACAGAATTTGAAGATGTAGTTACCAATCTAGTTACTAATGTAGTTACTAATTTAGTTACTAATGTAGTTACTAATTTAGTTACTAATGTAGTTACTAATTTAATTAATAATGTAGGTATTTTCATGCAGTTACTCATGTAGTAACTAATTTAGTTTATAGTGTAGTATGTAATGTAGTTTATAATGTAGTTACCAATGTAGTTACTAATGTAGTTACTAATTTAGTTACTAATGTAGTTACTAATTTAGTTACTAATGTAAGTATTGTCATGCAGTTACTGATGTAGTAACTAATTTAGTTTATAGTGTAGTTTATAGTGTAGTTTATAATGTATTTTATAATGTAAGTATTGTCATGCAGTTACTATTGTAGTAACTAATTTAGTTTATAGTGTAGTATATAATATAGTTTATAATTTATTTTATAATGTAAGTATTGTCATGCAGTTACTAATGTAGTAACTAATTTAGTTTATAGTGTAGTATGTAATGTAGTTACCAATGTAGTTACTAATGTAGTTAATAATGTAGTTACCAATGTAGTTACTAATGTAGTTACTAATTTAGTTACTAATGTAAGTATTGTCATGTAGTTACTGATGTAGTAACTAATTTAGTTTATAGTGTAGTTTATAATGTAGTTTATAATGTATTTTGTAATGTAGGTATTGTCATGCAGTTACTAATGTAGTAACTAATTTAGTTTATAGCGTAGTATATAATGTAGTTACTAATGTAGTTACTAGTTACCTGGTACATCAGATCCAATTTCGTCAGTAGGTCTGGCTGTCACTGATTGAGTGGGTCTCGTTCCGAGCGTAGTAAAAGAGGTTATATCAATGGTTGTGGCGTTCCAAGCTGGCTGAACGATTCCTTTCTCGGTAGAGGTTACCACAGTTGGATTGGAGGATGGTCGTGGAGTTGTCGGTAGCTGACGAGAGGTGATCACTGACGGTGTCACCTCATCACCGATGGGTGCTGAAGTAACATCTCCAGCTTTGGTAACAGTAGGTTTTACTGATGGAGGAGATTTAGTGATAGAGGGGGTTACACCACCACATCCCTTCACTTCAGGAGATACCGTGACCCCCACTTTTAGACACGTGGTCTTGTAGGCCTCAACAGCTTGGCATCTAGCAGTCGGGTCAACACAGAGGGACTTAAAACACGTGTCGTATAGTTTGGACACTTGCCGCTTCTTTAGCTTCTGAAATACGATAACACTTTACAGTTATTTTATATTCATTTATTGTTTATTATTGTTAGTTGGTTAAAAGATACTGCAGTGTGGAAGACAAGCTAATACGTCAAAATATAGAAAGCGGGAACCTAAAATTGAACCTGATAAAAGAAGAGAGAAATGTTTACCTTGTTACATTTCGGGTCAGATAACGGTCCGAATACGAGGGAGAAACAGTAGTCAGTGGCTACATTCCTATAATCATGGCTCTTGCTGCACAGATCAGGTTTAACAGTTGTGGCAGGTACGGTCGGAGTGGTGAGCCTATCCGTCTTCATATCTTTTGGGGTGGTAGGTAGTCTCACAGTCGAGCTGCTGTCTTCTTGAGCTGAGCTCGGCTTACTTGATTTAGAATCTTCAGTTGGACGCTCTGATGCAGGTGTTGTAGGCTCGATAAACCTCGACGTTTTCTCTAGATTAGCAGCCTCGCATTCACTAGCCACGGTAATGTGGACTCCCAAAGCAGAGCAAAATGCCTGGAACTCAGCTTGGAAAGCACAGCGTTCAAGTTTAGTACAAGTCTCCTGACAGCTAATAAAGAGGTGGGTCGTGACCACTTCCAGCTCTCCTACTATCTGCAATAAGTTATTGTGTGAGAAGCTTTATTGTAATTAGAATTAATACATAGCTTCAAGGAATATTTTAGAGGACAATTAATTATGTAAACAATTACTTTTGTGGACGACCACTTTTTGCAGTTCAGATATAATGTTTGTTAATTTGTGACGTGAAATATATACTTCTCCACGCCGCCTAACAGACGGTATGGTATGAAATGTATGTATAAAATAAAGCACGCATACCTACGCGCGTGCTTTATTTAATATCCACTCAAGGGCTTTAGTCGCCGGGTGGATCTAATTATACTATTTGTTCACTTCTTTATCTGCGATTAATAAGAAAGAGCCGGTATTTGCACCCGGCTTCGCTTTTAGTAGACTTGACTCTGTCTAGTGCGATACCCGATCAATGAATATTGTACGGCTGCGCCTCGGGCAATTGATCGTGAACTTGCTATACAAAGTAGGACTTAGTCACTTTGTTATTTGTGTGATTCTACTTTGCTGTACCGTTAAAATTAGTTATTAATCGTCGTTGGTAGAAAGACGCGTGTTTTCAGGTCACGGGAAGAAGCTCACTATTGACCACATCTATCATTGAAACAAAGAAGCGTGTAAGAAGGTTAAAACGCCTGTAATCAACTACCACTACCCCTTCAAAATACCTCTAAACACCGGTGAATGGTGTCCTGTCCGTAAAAGAAGTCCAAGCAGTGTTCGGCTCGTGATTCCAGAGAACACGTTTTATCAAGTGAGGCGGGCGTTGTAGTGGAGTCGTCTATCTTTTGTTTACATTCCTCCCTGAAAATAGTTTTACTCATTTCTCTTGAAATCGCTTCATCTTAGTAACTTGATGCCAAATCATTAAAGTTCTCTAATTAAAAATAATTACAGCCGATCATTAAGAGATGAAATAGTCGTTATAAGCTATTTAAGGCCTAGTTTCGGTTCAGAAGAACATGAAATCAAGATTCCTGACTGTAATCATCAGCCAAATATCTTACTACAAGCTAATTCAAGTGCGTCATGTGTCTGTGAACATTTTAAAAAAGGTGGTCATGTTTTCTAAATAATGATTGCTCCAGGAATATCTCGTGGTAATGTTTTCTAAATAATGATTGCTCCAGGAATATCTCGTGGTAATGTTTTCTAAATAATGATTGCTCCAGGAATATCTCGGCAAATTTCCGAACAACTCAAGTTTTTCATGGTTTCAGACAGGTGATGATGGGTATTCTATTTTCATGGCATTTTTAAAAGTTCAAAAAACGCCTTTAAAATAATTAACGGGCCCTATCTTCATATTCTAATAGTACGGGCGCCAGATGAACGTCGCATGTCATTTAAAAGATACTCCTACATTACAAGTTTCTAAATTTGTGCTCAAAACCAGGCGAGAATATCTCCCATGACCTAATGGAGTGCTGCCAAGAGAAAATCTTTAATGGTCTGGGGGAATCCTTAATTCATTAAGTCATATTCCTATTTGGATTTTTAAACATAACCTCCCACGTAATTTCTGACAAAAGAGACCTGTCCAAGGTGTATTTAAGGGACTAGTGGTGGTCATAGTATCTCAGATCCAGCCCACCACTTTTGATCATATATTAAAATTGAATTGGCTTTCATTTGGTTTGGAATCGTCGCTTTCAACCCTAAATAATTGAATGTTCGATTGAATGAATAATTGAACATTTATCGTCGAAGGTATTTTCTGTGCCGTTAGTTCTGCTATTTATGATTCTAGACCCGCAATTACCACACGAGGCTACAAGTACGAACCGTCTTTAATCACTTTTGGAATTGGGAGACGCGCCCTGAACTGTACCCTCAAGTCTCAGTACTCTCTATACTCTACTCAGTACAGAGTATTTAACGGGTATAAAGGATATAGACTGTGGAATGTACACACTTGTACAGGATATTCTCTCGGAGAGTATGATAACTTCATACCACCAATGGCTTCTCACTCTTGATTTTATTTCCTGGAAGTTCCCTCGTAGAACCATTTACTCCCACTTCTCACTCTTTACTTCCTGGAACTTTGAAGTTCCAAGGTGGAACCATATATATAAATATGAACTTCTGAACTCAGAGTTCAAGACGCACTGATAAACCTGTAGCTTCCTCTTGGTTGACTGTACAGCGTACTGGGCACAATTCTTTTATTTGTAAGAAGGGTAGCACTGATCGTAGCTAAGGCTTTATTTCGAAATTTTGATTTAAATGTCACATTAGCCAATTTGTTCTGACACACGAATAGCGATCTTTATTGTTTAGTATATGATCACATATTGATCTAATGATCAATTATATCAATATATGATGATTCAACGGTGTTATAGATTAACTTTAAGATAATTAACTTATTTTAATAACTAACATAACGTAAGCAATTGCTTCTGCCTTAGTAATCGACTAGTTTAGACGTTATGTGCTGAAACTCATCACTCTTAAATTTATCAGTTGCTTTAATTTGCTATTTTTAACTAAGGCGTTGATTGCTAGAATTTTATCCTGTCATCAGATTAGGTTAGGTTATTTATTATTATTATGTTATTTTACAACATTCTACTCGAGTGTCCATGTTGCAGTTATTTTGCAGCCTCTAATTCTGAATGTTACCAATTATAGAAAGTAATAAGATCAAGATATGTTTGATCTAAAGTCTGTAGTCCTGCACGTACGCACAAATATCTAACATATTCGGGCGACTAATAACTTTTTTGTAGAAATTCCGAAGGCTTTGATTTTTGTACAGCTTCCATAAAACTAAAAATATAAGTGCAATAAGGCGACCGTCGATGATAGTAATAAATTTAAAGATTAGTTCACTGCATAATCGCATACGTTAAATTCCGGATACAAACTCAACTAATTTTGTTTGTTTTTTCCGTTACTCTTATATTTACAAGTGACGTCTCGCCGGAAAAAAGCCTAAACAATTACAATCCCTCATAATGTATGTAATTGCGAGTAACGGACAGGGCACACGCTCGCCACTACTCACAGCACGCAGCAGGTACCACGCCACAACTCCCTCTGTGTTATACGGAATCTGTGAACCCCGTACTTCAGGGTTTACGGGGGATTCCTCACTGCAGTTCGGGGTCTTCCCTCGCTGAAGGAAGTCCCTGACAAATGCACGGTAGATATATTCTGATTGTGCAAGTGTACATGATAGTGCAGCAGCAGCAGAGTGCTGACGTTAGTGACTTAGTGAGTAGTGGCAGTGATGACACTGACACGTAGTGGGTGCTTGTTAACGTAGAGATGTCCTACCTGATAACACTACAACGTCACTTTGTCGGGTTGTTACTTCCCTTATAATAGCCTGTCTGCATGCTGAAATCATTGTGCATTGAGGTGACTTTGCCTTGTTGACTAGGTTTAGAGACTTGGTTGTTTGCTTACTTTTCCCCGAACAGTAACATCACTTTTCCCCAGTAACATCATTGGTTTACGTTGTGTTGTCATGTCTATGCAGGGTCTAACTTTCTATTAATTTGGCTACTTTTAAATTTATCAATTTGCCATCTAAGGTAATACTTTATAATCATCGCTATTCGTGCCAGTCGCGGTGCGGCCTACCATAATAATGATAAAGTCCTAGAACTATTTCATCTAGAACTATTACTTCGTCCCGAATGTAGAACTTATGATCCCAGGATGGCTCACAGCATAGAGTTAAGGTCTTCCGATAAGAATTGTGTTATCTATAGCTAATTCAGTTGGTCATATTAATATTATGTCCTTTAGAACAGTCACCTGCTCCTCTACTATTGCATCTTATTCGAATATAGATATTTCATGAAGTGGTTTTATTCTTAGCTTAAATCACAGCTACTTTAAGTTGAATCACCTTTAAGACCCCATCATCTCTGATGTCAATCCTCCATCATCATTGATGTAGCTCCCCATTATTTCATCACCATCTAGATTAGTCCCCCTAATTAGATGACTTTAATATGTTCACTATAATATCTCCTTGTTTCACATAAACCTTTACATGCTAACTAAAGACCCTATCGTAGCGACGAGACACCTTTGGGTCCCTCCTACAGTCCCCCCTACCAGGATCTCTTTTAGCCATTACGTAGTCGCTGCGTAGTCCGTATCTCTCGTTATTTGGGATGAGACATTCGAATTTACGGGCTTTACGATAGCAATCGTTTACCGATAGGCTCGATATGACGCGGTAATTGATCATTGATATTGTGAAGCGGATATCCAGAAAATCGTGGGCCTTGTTATGATATCCGTGACGTTGAAATCTAATTAAGATGACGCAGGGGGGAGGTCAGGTATATGAGCGTTTGTTTTTCATTACACCCTTTATTCTTAAATTAATTAGAGCCCCGGTCCGTTCTTTATAAATGGATCGATGGTGTTGATAGGCTCATATTGCAGATTGTGCTGAATCATTTGGAGTTTGCCGCTTCTTCGACTTGAACCTTGACATTTCTATTATTCGAATCATTCGATTTATTAGTAAATTCTTTCTATATTGGAAACTACATGATACAACATTATGGTTTCATGATACAACACATATTTGCTGTGCTTTTCTGATAGAACTATGTCGCTGCAGCTTCATTTTTGTTAGCTGAAACTAAGATTTACCTGGCTTGGCATGAACTGTTTTGTGCAACTTATATTTTTAGAACAAAATCCTTTTGTAGTGATATGATCCTGCATTTTTAGGTAGTAAATCTTAAATTTGCGATTTTCAAGGAAACTTTTAAGTAAAATATCGCAGTTTTCAGTCCTTGTTACCGTACGTCATGCATGAGGACAGCTCCAAGTTTATTGTCATAACATGAGATCACTTCAGAAAATCTATTTAGTGAGCAATCATCGAAATAGAATAGATCACATGAAAGATTTGTCACCAAGCCAGATTAATTACTTCATTTAGTCACGATTACTTCTCTCGAACTTCGACCAAAAGTCATCGTCATTGATATATATATATCTTATTCTTATTATTTGATTTCACATACCATTAAAATGCAATTCTTGTTTCAAATATCTAAACTTTATTTCCTCCAGGATGAACTCATCACTGATACTATCGCTAATATTCCTGGCCCTGGTCGGCTCCCAAGAAACTCATGACTCCCAGTTTTCGGATGTGGACTTCTTCAAAACATTCGGCTACATTGACGCTAGTGACGCTATTGACTCTCAAGATTCAGGAGCAGGCGACTCTGGCAACCTTATATTCGTCCCTTCCCAAGCAATCTCCGACTTCCAGCAATACTACGGACTTCCAGTGACTGGTGTTATGGATGATGCAACTAGGGCTGCAATGAATACGCCTCGTTGTGGAGTACCTGATAAAGATAATGTCAACGAGATTGCCGGACAAGGACATGAAGATGAGGAAGATTTGGAAGATGAGGGGCCTGAACCACTTTTGAGCAGTGCTATAAAGAAGAAGAAAAGAAACAGGAATAGGAAGAGCAAAAAGAGAAGGTCTAAAAGATACGTGACTTCTGCCACAAAATGGAGATCAACCAAACTTTCCTACAGATTCCTGAACTACACCGCAGATATCCCCGAGGTTCTCACCAGATCTGCCTTCAGAGAGGCCTTCAGCATGTGGGAAGAGGTGTCTGCCCTTCAGTTCTACGAGGAAACTAACTCTAACATTGGAGCTGATATCGACATAGCCTACATATCAGGACTTCATGAAGATAAGAGTGCTTTCAACTCACTGGTCCTGGCCCACGCTTTCTTCCCCAGGGTCGGCTGGCTGCACATGAACGACCTACAAAGATGGAACTACAACAGCGTACAAGGTACAGACACCGTGTTTGTTGCTGTCCACGAGCTGGGACACATTATGGGACTCAGACACTCGAAGAGGAACACAATAATGCACGCCTCCTACCCTGGTTACTCCCCTAACATTAAGTTATCAGATGATGATATCAAGGGCATCCAGTCCCTGTATGGACCCAATCCTTGCTTTCCTAGTAATCCTTGCAAGCATGGAGGAGCTTGCCGAAAAAGCCCGCTTGGAGGAGTGGGATTCGTGTGCTCATGTACCTCTGGATACAAGGGAGCCAAGTGCCAGAGCAAGATGGATGAAGTCATGACCCGGAAATGCCGATCAATCAACATTCCTAACGGTTTTGCAACCCCAGAAGGAAGACTCGGACCAAACCAAGTGGCCCGCATGTTCTGTAACGAAGGCTACGAGCTGGTAGGAGCTTCACAGTTCCTCTGTACCCACAGAGGCTTCTACACTCCCTCCACAGTCAACACTCAGTGCAGACGTAGGATCCTTTGTCCTGCTGTGGTCCTTAATAACGGAGTGGTATACCCGAAGAGACCAGTTGAAGCCGAGACGGTCGTGTCCTTCTCTTGTAATGACGACTACCAGCTCTCCGGATCCAGGTCCATGAAGTGCAGAAATGACGGAACCTACGACAGGACATCACCTAACTGTGAGAAGATTGTTGAAGAGGAAGATGAGATAGATGACCTGGAGACAGGATGCCCAGTGAGCTTTGATGCTGTTTCCAGTAGAACCACAAGAGACAGCATGATCTTCGCTTTCAAAGGTACAAGATACTGGATCTACAGGAGAGGAGAGACCGGTGCTCCCAAGTCTCACTGGAGGAGTGGAGCTCAGCTCTCCAATGGGTTCGAGAACATCCCCGCACACTTGGACGCTGCTTTCTCCTACACAGACCCTGACACTAGAGACAGGTTTATCTGCTTCGTCAAGTGGCCCCAGGTCTATTTCTGGGACATAGTAAAGCGTGATATCTCGAGGGTAGCTGACTTCCAGACCACCTTCAACATCCCCGGGGGGCTCCAAGTCACTGCCGCTCACAGATGGGACGAGAACACTATCTACTTCTTCGTTCCCTTCGGATTCTACATCTACGACATCAAACAGAAAACCTACGACCCACCAAACTTCCAGCCCATGACCACCTTCCGAGGAATGGGACCTAGAGTAACAGCTACAGCGGTTTCTAAATCCTTCTACTCGGACGTCTTCAACATCTTTGTGGGAGATGAAGTTTACCAGATAAGAAAATCTGATAAGCAAGTGCTGAGGAACAATCCCCACGAAATAAAGAGTGTGTGGAGGTACGGACTTAATGGCTGCACGTAAAGTTATTTCAGATTTAAACTTTTCTTAAGCATGGGTACTTTTGTTTATTTATTACCTTTTGATGACATGCTGCTCGACGGGTTATAATAACGATTATTATGATCCTAAGTAAAGACTAAATCTCATGAATTATGATTAATTACAATTAATTATAAATTTTAATTTGTACTTAATGGGAATGATAACTTTACTTGATTTTCTGACTATTTAATAAACGTTTTATACGGTAATGTTTTTTTACGATTGAAGCCTACTTTAATAGGTTACGCTAATTTAACATCTATTTGATACTGGTATTTATTGACTGTATGATATCAGTAATCAGTATTTTAATGAATTCTGAATACTCGGAATATTTTAAATATTTTGATGAATTGACTGACCTGAAACGAAATGACTGGTGAGTCGACTTGTGAATATTGTAAACGATTTCACGATAAGTGATTTTAATTTCATATCAAATTATTTTTGTTTCACTGGTACTTAATATCTAAAAACGAATCGAAAACAAATAAATGCTAGAAAATATTTGATGATCTGTGGTGAAACTTAATCTCATAAAAATAGAGCTGAAATAAAAATGGAAACAAAAATAAAAATGTAAAACTCACTCGATAATTTCGGGATAAGTGTCGTCAGAAGTACAACCACTCTGAGGGTTGCATTGACAGAAGTCCCGGTAGCAGTCTTGTAGGTACGCGGGTATCATGGGCAAAACCTGTAAGATGGCATATCACGAGTCAGTATACTATAATCAAAGCTAATAAAATGTTTTTAATTTATTTAATAATAACAAGTCACGAAGGAGAAATAATTAAACGTGCTGTCAAACGTAACAATTAATGATAAACCGACCTGCTCACACTTGACGAACTGATTCAGCGCAGACACAGCAGCATTGCACTGCACCACAGCCTGAACAGCGTGGGTCTGGTTACCTTCACAGTACGATACAATCCCTTCAGTGGTCTGGAATGAGGGTACCGTGGTGATGTCTGGGGCCTTGTCAGTGATTTCAGGTTCATCTGATTTGCTGGTAGTTTCATCGGAACTTTCAGAATCAGTTGGTCCTTCATCAGTTCTCTGAGAATCAGTTGGTTCTTCATCAGTTCTTTGAGAATCAGTTGGCCTTCCATCGGATTTTGGAGATTTGCTCGTCGTCTCTTGGGAACTTTCAGAATCAGTTGGCTTCTCGTCAGTTCTCTGAGAATCAGTAAGCCTTTCATCAGTTCTTTGAGAATCAGTTGGCCTTCCATCAGATTTTGGAGATTTGCTCGACGTCTCTTCGGAACTTTTAGAATCAGTTGGCTTCTCGTCAGTTCTCTGGGAATCAGTTCGTCCTTCATCAGTTCTTTCAGAATCAGTTGGCCTTCCATCGGATTTTGGGGATTTGCTCATCGTCTCTTCGGAACTTTCAGAATCAGTTGGCTTCTCGTCAGTTCTCTGAGAATCAGTTCGTCCTTCATCAGTTCTTTGAGAATCAGTTGGTCTTCCATCGGATTTTGGGGATTTGCTCATCGTCTCATCGGAACTTTCAGAATCAGTTGGTCCTTCATCTGTTCTTTGAGATTCAGTTGGTCCTTCATCAGTTCTTTGAGAATCAGTTGGCCTTCCATCGGAGTTTGGAGATTTGCTCGTCGTCTCTTCGGAACTTTCAGAATCAGTTGGCTTCGAATCAGTTCTCTGAGAATCAGTTCGTCCTTCATCAGTTCTTTGAGAATCAGTTGGCCTTCCATCGGATTTTGGGGATTTGCTCATCGTCTCTTCGGAACTTTCAGAATCAGTTGGCTTCTCGTCAGTTCTATGAGAATCAGTTGGTCCTTCATCAGTTCTCTGAGAATCAGTTGGTTCTTCATCAGTTCTTTGAGAATCAGTTGGCCTTCCATCGGATTTTGGAGATTTGCTCGTCGTCTCTTGGGAACTTTCAGAATCAGTTGGCTTCTCGTCAGTTCTCTGAGAATCAGTAAGCCTTTCATCAGTTCTTTGAGAATCAGTTGGCCTTCCATCAGATTTTGGAGATTTGCTCGACGTCTCTTCGGAACTTTCAGAATCAGTTGGCTTCTCGTCAGTTCTCTGGGAATCAGTTCGTCCTTCATCAGTTCTTTCAGAATCAGTTGGCCTTCCATCGGATTTTGGGGATTTGCTCATCGTCTCTTCGGAACTTTCAGAATCAGTTGGCTTCTCGTCAGTTCTCTGAGAATCAGTTCGTCCTTCATCAGTTCTTTGAGAATCAGTTGGTCTTCCATCGGATTTTGGGGATTTGCTCATCGTCTCATCGGAACTTTCAGAATCAGTTGGTCCTTCATCTGTTCTTTGAGATTCAGTTGGTCCTTCATCAGTTCTTTGAGAATCAGTTGGCCTTCCATTGGATTTTGGAGATTTGCTCGTCGTCTCTTCGGAACTTTCAGAATCAGTTGGCTTCGAATCAGTTCTCTGAGAATCAGTTCGTCCTTCATCAGTTCTTTGAGAATCAGTTGGCCTTCCATCGGATTTTGGGGATTTGCTCATCGTCTCTTCGGAACTTTGAGAATCAGTTGGCTTCTCGTCAGTTCTCTGAGAATCAGTTGGTCCTTCATCAGTTCTCTGAGAATCAGTTGGTTCTTCATCAGTTCTTTGAGAATCAGTTGGCCTTCCATCGGATTTTGGAGATTTGCTCGTCGTCTCTTTGGAACTTTCAGAATCAGTTGGCTTCTCGTCAGTTCTCTGAGAATCAGTAAGCCTTTCATCAGTTCTTTGAGAATCAGTTGGCCTTCCATCAGATTTTGGAGATTTGCTCGACGTCTCTTCGGAACTTTCAGAATCAGTTGGCTTCTCGTCAGTTCTCTGGGAATCAGTTCGTCCTTCATCAGTTCTTTGAGAATCAGTTGGTCTTCCATCGGATTTTGGGGATTTGCTCATCGTCTCATCGGAACTTTCAGAATCAGTTGGTCCTTCATCTGTTCTTTGAGAGTCAGTTGGTCCTTTATCAGTTCTTTGAGAATCAGTTGGCCTTTCATCGGATTTTGGAGATTTGCTCGTCGTCTCTTCGGAACTTTCAGAATCAGTTGGCTTCGAATCAGTTCTCTGAGAATCAGTTTGTCCTTCATCAGTTCGTTCAGAATCAGTTGGCCTTCCATCAGATTTTGGAGATTTGCTCGACGTCTCTTCGGAACTTTCAGAGTCAGTTGGCTTCTCGTCAGTTCTCTGAGAATCAGTTGGTCTTCTGTCAGTCTTTGGAGATTTTCTCGTTAACTCTTCGGTAGTATCAGAATCAGTTACCCTTTCATCAGTTCTTTGAGAATCAGTTGGCTTTCCATCAGATTTTGGAGATTTGCTCGACGTCTCTTCGGAACTTTCAGAATCAGTTGGCTTCTCGTCAGTTCTCTGAGAATTAGTTGGTCCTTCATCAGTTTTCTGAGATTGAGTTAACCTTTCATCAGTTCTCTGAAAATCAGTTGGTCCTTCGTCAGTTCTTTGAGAATTAGTTAGCCTTTCATCAGTTCTTTGAGAATCAGTTGGCCTTCCATCGGATTTTGGATATTTGCTCGTCGTCTCTTCGGAACTTTCAGAATCAGTTGGCTTCTCATCAGTTCTTTGAGAATCAGTTTGCCTTCCATCAGTTTTCTGAGATTGAGTTAACTTTTCATCAGTTATCTGAGAATCAGTTGGTCCTTCGTCAGTTCTTTGAGAATCAGTTAGCCTTTCATCAGTTCTTTGAGAATCAGTTGGCCTTCCATCGGATTTTGGAGATTTGCTCGACGTCTCTTCGGAACTTTGAGAATCAGTTGGCTTCTCATCATTTCTTTGAGAATCAGTTGGCCTTCCATCAGTTTTCTGAGATTGAGTTAACTTTTCATCAGTTCTCTGAGAATCAGTTGGTCCTTCGTCAGTTCTTTGAGAATCAGTTAGCCTTTCATCAGTTCTTTGAGAATCAGTTGGCCTTCCATCGGATTTTGGAGATTTGCTCGACGTCTCTTCGGAACTTTCAGAATCAGTTGGCTTCTCGTCAGTTCTCCGAGAATCAGTAGGTCCTTCATCAGTTCTTTGCGAATCAGTTGGCCTTCCATCAGATTTTGGAGATTTGCTCAACGTCTCTTCGGAATTTTCAGAATCAGTTGGCTTCTCGTCAGTTCGCTGAGAATCAGTTGGTCCTTCATCAGTTTTCTGAGATTGAGTTAACCTTGGCTTCTCGTCAGTTCTCTGAGAATCAGTAGGTCCTTCGTCAGTTTTCTGAGATTGAGTTAACCTTTTATCAGTTCTCTGAGAATCAGTTGGTCCTTCGTCAGTTCTTTGAGAATCAGTTGGCTTCTCATCAGTTCTTTGAGAATCAGTTGGCCTTCCATCGGATTTTGGATATTTGCTCGTCGTCTCTTCGGAACTTTCAGAATCAGTTGGCTTCTCATCAGTTCTTTGAGAATCAGTTGGCCTTCCATCAGTTTTCTGAGATTGAGTTAATTTTTCATCAGTTATCTGAGGATCAGTTGGTCCTTCGTCAGTTCTTTGAGAATCAGTAAGCCTTTCATCAGTTCTTTGAGAATCAGTTGGCCTTCCATCGGATTTTGGAGATTTGCTCGACGTCTCTTCGGAACTTTCAGAATCAGTTGGCTTCTCGTCAGTTCTCCGAGAATCAGTAGGTCCTTCATCAGTTCTTTGCGAATCAGTTGGCCTTCCATCAGATTTTGGAGATTTGCTCAACGTCTCTTCGGAATTTTCAGAATCAGTTGACTTCTCGTCAGTTCGCTGAGAATCAGTTGGTCCTTCATCAGTTTTCTGAGATTGAGTTAACCTTTCATCAGTTCTCTGAGAATCAGTTGGTCCTTCGTCAGTTTTCTGAGATTGAGTTAACCTTTCATCAGTTCTCTGATAATCAGTTGGTCCTTCGTCAGTTCTTTGAGAATCAGTTGGCTTCTCATCAGTTCTTTGAGAATCAGTTGGCTTTCCATCAGTTTTCTGAGATTGAGTTAACCTTTCATCAGTTCTCTGAGAATCAGTTGGTCCTTCGTCAGTTCTTTGAGAATCAGTTGGCCTTTCATCAGATTTTGGAGATTTGCTCGTCGTCTCTTCGGTAATATCATAATCAGTTGGCTTCTCATCAGTTCTCTGAGAATCAGTTGGTCCTTCATCAGTTCTTTCAGAATCAGTTGGCCTTCCATCAGATTTTGGAGATTTGCTCGACGTCTCTTCGGAACTTTCAGAATCAGTTGGCTTCTCGTCAGTTCTCTGAGAATCAGTTGGTCCTTCGTCAGTACTTTGAGAATCAGTTGGCCTTCCATCGGATTTTGGAGATTTGCTCGTCGTTTCTTCGGAACTCTCAGAATCAGTTGGTCCTTCGTCAGTTCTTTGAGAATCAGTTGGTCCTTCATCAGTTTTCTGAGATTTAGTTAACCTTTCATCAGTTCTCTGAGAATCAGTTGGCCTTCCATCGGATTTTGGAGATTTGCTCGTCGTCTCTTCGGAACTTTCAGAATCAGTTGGCTTCTCGACAGTTTTTTGAGAATCAGTTGGTCCTTCATCAGTTCTTTGAGAATCAGTTGGCCTTCCATCAGATTTTGGAGATTTGCTCGTCGTCTCTTCGGAACTTTTAGAATCAGTTGGCTTCTTGTCAGCTCTCTGAAGATCAGTTTTCTGAGATTCAGTTAACCTTTCATCAGTTCTTTGAGAAACAGTTGGCCTTCCATCGGATTTTGGAGATTTGCTCGTCGTCTCTTCGGAACTTTCAGAATCAGTGGGCTTCTCGTCAGTTCTCTGAGAATCAGTTGGCCCTTCATCAGTTTTCTGAGAATCAGTTGGTGTTTCATCAGTTTCTTGATCTTTTCCACCAATCCCAGGATCTGTTGTTGGTGTCACTCTACCATCTCTTGTAGGCGTGCGGGATTTTAAATCATCTTTAAATATATCAGTTGTAGTGACATCAACCCTTCTTGTGACCTCCTCTGTTGGTTCTTCAGCAAACTCAGTTGTGGTGTAACGTTGGTTCGAACCAGTCGTTTCAGGAATGGTGGGGAAGGCTGTTCCTCGCTCAGCTGCAGCAGTTTCTGTATCTGGTGCTTCAGTTGCTCCTTCCTCGTTATCTGAAATAGTTAAAAGTCACTTCACTGTTCTCTTGAAAAATTATAACATCAGTTCGGAAATTAAGTGAGCAAGTAAATTCCACGTGGTTTAATACTAGCAAATTTGGTTTGAATATTTAAATATTTAAAACATTTATGCTTACCCGTGCTCAGAGACTCCTCCACTCTACATCTGTCCGGCTGGAAACTCTGGAACCTAAGCTCCAGATCATCATGACACTTGATAACGTAGAGAACTATGGAGGGACACGTGTGCGGGAGGTCTCCTTCGTAGTTACAGTAGTCAGCTACACAAGAGTCGTAGAACTGAGCTGGTTTCAGGGTCTGGGGAGGGGGAAGGGGTTACTGGGAGAAATGTGGCTAATTTAGCCAAGAAATGTGGTTAATTTAGCCAAGAAATGGGGCTAATTTAGCCAAGAAATGTGGCTTATCTATCCAAGAAATGTGGCTTATCTATCCAAGAAATGTGGCTTATTTAGCCAAGAAATGTGGCTTATCTATCCAAGAAATGTGGCTTATCTGACCAATAAATGTGGTTAATTTAGCCAATGAAATGTGGCTTATCTGACCAAGAAATTTGGCTTATTTAGCCAAGAAAATGTGGCTTATCTGACCAAGAAATTTGGCTTATTTAGCCAAGAAAATGATCGCTTACTACTATGTATTTTAGTGAAAATGCGTCAGTTAATAGCGAATTTTCTTGGCCATGACATCATGCCTTACTAACATTAATTAATTCATTTAACTGAATAATTTAATCTGGATTAACTAACCTGGAAGCAGCTAGAGTAAGAACTGGTGGGATTAAGTAAAGATTGGCAGGCTCCGTGAGCTTTTATACCCTCTATTCCAGTACATCCCGATAACTCCTTCTCGTCTGATATCTAGGCAGAGGATACAAGTTTTAGTTACAACATAAACAATCAAACCATCGTTTCGATCGACTGATTTTACATTTCACAGAAGATTTATAGTCCCAACTTTTTTATCCTACTTACTGGGTTGGCACTGATGATAGCATCGTCTCCTGTAGCGGAGTAGTAGCCGAATATACCCTCTTTGTTAGTATCAGTCATATCAACTTCCAGCAACACTCCACACCACTTTCCCTGGAGCACGCCACGTTATTAAAGATAATTTGTTTTTATTTTAACGTTATCAAAGATAATTTGTTTTTATTTTAACGTTATTAAAGCTAACTTATTTTTATTTTTATGACAGAATCCTAAGATTTCCCGGTCCTGCAAGGAATGTGACCGGGCATGCTTTACAAACAGCTCCTATTACTATAGAAACAATCAGATATTAATAATACGGTAAAGAACTATGACTTGGGGTGGGTACCAACACCCGTCGCTTCCATCCCTAAAAAGTAGGCCGCAAAAGTAAGCCGCTGCCCGCCGAGTAATCCTCCCAAGGCGGCCATTCCTAAGGGATCGCTCACATATTATGTAAGCCCGCATGGGGAAGAGGGGCTTCCAAAAAGCTTACCGTAATTTTACACAATATCCCTGTGTTAATTTGTTTACAGAAAGAGATCTAAATTGTCACAATTCTTTTTGGTCTTGAGCATGAATATTTGATATTCAGTGCCAAAACATCATCTTAACTATCAGCAGAGAAATTATTACAGCCAGATAATCAGCCCACACGAATTTTTATAAGAAGAACTTTCATTCCCAGCGAAAATTGAAAATCTGCCATCAAAAATGTCTAAGAAAATATAAATATCCTGAACAAACCATCGCACAGTTACATATTTGGTGAACAGAATTAGCAGACAAGTTCCTGTTTCATAGACAGTTCTGTTTCTGTTTCTTATACAGTACACTCTGTAATAACCCCTGATGAGAGTGTTCTCCTTCTTACCTGATAGTTAGTACCCTTTATCAGCATCTGACGTATTTCACGGCACACTGAACTACTTTCCGGGTGGTTCTGACGAGCGTTCTCCAGATCCGCCTGACTCAGTAGTTCACTTAGATTTCACTGATACAGATCCACATGCAGCCTTATCTCCCATTCCATGCACTTTCATCCAATTCATAGCACGAGCCTCGACTAGCTGCTGAGTGCTCTTTTTTGCAGGTACTGGCATTTTCATACTCATATCAAGAGAATCGCCTTGAGAGGAATGTTGTAGCACCGAACTATTGATTCAAACTTCAAGCTGCACGACTGGCTCCAGTGACTCAATCTTGCTCGATGACGAAGAACTCATAGCCCCTCAGTGTAGCAAAAGGCTGAAGACCATAGAATCATGGGCCCTAGACCATGCAATTCCTCGATCATCACACCCAATTTATCGATCATTCTCCTTCGTAGAAGAAAGCTACGGCAAAATAGATTTTTTCAACAAAAAGTTTTGGCTTGATCGCCCAATGATAATAAACAAAATGTGTTTCCCATATCCATTATCCAAGCAGAAACCTCTTTACATATTATGTAGCAAGACATGCTCGTTATCAATATACTAATAAAGATCTTAACATTACTGAGAATTGAGATGCATATATTTCAGAGTAAGGTGGTTTCAATCAAGTCAAGTACGACGAGTCGTAAGAGGATTGTAAGAAGATTGTAGAACATTCCAGAAGTTGTAAGAAGATTCGATAACGAACTTGAATAAAGATTTAAACAACGAGAATATTGGGGGTTTTTCCATAGATTTCATGGGGTAAAACAACGAGAATGTTGGGGGTTTTCCAGTGATTTCAGGGGTAGAACAACGAGAATGTTGGGGGTTTTCCAGTGATTTCAGGGGTAGATCAACGAGAATGTTGGGGGTTTTCCAGAGATTTCAGGGGTAGAACAACGAGAATGTTGGGGGTTTTCCAGAGATTTCAGGGGTAGAACAACGAGAATGTTGGGGGTTTTCCAGAGATTTCAGGGGTAGAACAACGAGAATGTTGGGGGTTTTCCAGAGATTTCAGGGGTAGAACAACGAGAATGTTGGGGGTTTTCCAGAGATTTCAGGGGTAGAACAACGAGAATGTTGGGGGTTTTCCAGAGATTTCAGGGGTAGAACAACGAGAATGTTGGGGGTTTTCCAGAGATTTCAGGGGTAGAACAACGAGAATGTTGGGGGTTTTCCAGAGATTTCAGGGGTAGAACAACGAGAATGTTGGGGGTTTTCCAGAGATTTCAGGGGTAGAACAACGAGAATGTTGGGGGTTTTCCAGAGAGTTCAGGGGTAGAAAGGGGTAGAAAATGTTTATACAAGGGGGTTTACCACTGACCAGTAATCTCTGCGAGACAGATAAGACCAGTAAGCCAGTGTCTCGGTTGTACCGTGCAGTGAGCTGTAACTCTTCCTGCTTTATCACCACTACCCTGTTCCGTTCTGAGGGCGCAGTCCGGGTAGAAATTATTCGAAACATTATTCAAGAAAGAAGAATAATATCAGGTAAGGGATATTTGAAAAGTATCATCATTCAGTGATCTCAATATAATCCATAAGTTTAGATAGATGAAACCGACCCTTTCTCAATTAGGGGAGTTGATTGCTCCCCAACAAGGGGGTGGAGCTTACCAGAGACGGAGAATCCAGCAGGAGTTACAAAGTAGAACTCGGCCCCTGGTACACTAGCTCCGTTGTAAAGTACCTCACTCTCGCTCAGAACTATTGTGTCAGATAAGTATCTGATCGCTACAGTATTCCTGGAGAGTTTGGTTGTTAGTTCCTGCAGAATTCCAGCTTTCCGTTAAAAAGTCCTTTATAATATGGCGCCAGGGTGTGGACTGGCTACACCTGGTTAAACCGTTTCCATCCCATTACATAATACTAAAATACATCAAATTTACAATATTATATTTTGAGCAATGTAAATTACGATATTCTGCAATTCAGCGGGTTGGGTTGGTGCAGAAGTTGGAATATTTGATTTTGTGCCAGTGTACCGTTAATTACTTAATTGATCGGGTCAGTGCAAACCCCAAATACTAATTGATTTTGTTAAGTTTTGGAGGCTGTGAACTGTGAAGGAACCTAGAAGACGGCATCGATAATTATGAAATTCCAGCATTATTGATTAAACACAAACGCTACATTATAAATAACGAGCTGCTGAATATTTAAATGATATAATTAGTGGAGGTTGTTACAGACCTGTATCTGTGGATATGAAGTGGCATGGCAGAGTCCCCTCCACATGGGGTGATCAGCTTCACCTCTGAAGAAGGGAGGTAGTCTATCAGGGTCCCGGAGACAGGGAGGTAGTGTTGGGCGGAGAAGCAGCCAACTGTCACTGTGTCTGGGGAGACGGTGTTAATATTGTTCTTTCAAGAAACGTTCTGATTTTTGTCTGAATAGACTCAGTGATGACAATGTTCTAATGAAGGTAAATGGTGTTAAAAAGGTGTTACTATGGCGTTATTATGATGGTGTTACTATGGTTCCATCACAATGATGTCATGAAATTGCCAGTGAATAGATTTGTACAATTTTCAGAGTGAATCGATTGTGCTTCAATTCAGTGACGACACAAGCAGTTCTGAACAGCACTCAAAATCCTAGATATAATAGCAGCTGGTAAAAATATTAAAACAGTATTAAAAAAGCGTTAAAAATGTCAAAACAGCTTTTAAAAGTGTTTAAACAGCATTAAAAAGTGTTAGAACAGCGTTTAACACCCATATTATCACCACATCAGCACAAGCCTCCTACCCATTAACGGCTCAGATGTGGGTAACATCATTGTAGTTGACTCAGTTGTTGACGGGAGGGTAACTGTAGAGTTCACATAACTTATCTTTTATTTGATATCCAAAATGAAGAGTTTTTCATGTGCAAGAGGAAATTAAACGCACAAATGTTAACTAACCGATATCAAAGCAGGGGTCCTTAGTACAAGGTTTAGTCTGCCTGACAACAGAGCAGGATTTAGAAACACACTCTCTTGTCCGGACCCTCTCTCCAGTACCGCACACCACGTTACAAGCCGACCAGTCAGACCACTCAGCGTCTGCTACTGTTGGTTCTTCCTCTAGTACTGCTGTGGAAATGTCAGGGTTATTCGGGGGTTATTTGGGGGTTATTTGAGAGAGGGCGGTTTATTTATGTCAGGGTCATTTGGGGGTTATTTGGGGGTATTTGGGGGTTATTTGGGGGTTCTTTGGGGGTTATTCGGGGGAGGGTGGTTTATTTAGAAGCGTATAAAACAGCTATCCTGTTATTGTGTACCTATAGAGTGATTTATTTCTTACTTTTACTTTACTTTGATATATTCCTGTACAAAAAATAAATTTTCAAATCGTGTACAAAATTGTGTAAAAGTCAGGCCATAGTTGACCGCTTAATAATATCAAAACAGTGAAAGATATTTCATTTCTGTAAAAAGGGTTATGTAATATCCGCATTCTTTGATGGTGATTATCCTTGTGTTCAACTTCACGTCAACAAGATAGGGGAAAATACGGTACTACAATGATTCTGATAATTTGAAAAAGTGCTAAAATATGTGACTAGAATAGCGCATTACCATAGAAAAAGTTTCATTTTCCGGTATAAGCATAAGGTGAAATTTATAGCAAAAATTTGGTGCGTTACGAGTAATCTCATTTGAATGCCTCCTATTTAAAGCCAAACTTGATTCGATAATAATTCCCTTAACTAAACGAGATGGTGTACCTAAACTAAACTAAACTATAGACTATGATACATACCTGGAATAACTTTAATGTAAACGTCCTTGGTAGCAGACCCTCTACTGTCAGTAGCTTGATGTCTGTACCAACCCTCCTGATCCTCACTGATAGACTCTATCACCACGGTTACGGTCCTGGTTCCGGCTGTTCCACTGGTCAGATCAAGTGCAACTGGTGGGTCGCTGGGTGTAGATCTGGGGGAGTGTCAGTCAGGGTGTGGTAGTGAGGGTGTGGTAGTGAGGTTAGGTAGTGAGGGTGTGGTAGTGAGGGTGTGGTAGTGAGGGTGTGATAGTGAGGATGTGGTAGTGAGGGTGTGGTAGTCAGGGTGTGGTAGTGAAGGTATGGTAGTGTGGGTGTGGTAGTGAGGGTGAGGTAGTGAGGGTGTGGTAGTGAGGGTGTGGTAGTGAGGGTGTGGTAGTGAGGGTGTGGTAGTGAGGGTGTGGTAGTGAGGGTGTGGTAGTGAGGGTGTGGTAGTGAGGGTGTGGTAGTGAGGGTGTGGTAGTGAGGGTGCGGTAGTGAGGGTGCGGTAGTGAGGGTGTGGTAGTGAGGGTGAGATCAGGTTGTTATGGTCGTAATAAAATTTGAAAATATAATATTTCTAGTTAGTATCACGGGCATTAGCCGCTAGTTTATATAATGCATTAAAATATCAATACTCACCCAAGCTGGGTGATAGTGACCCAGGGGGTGGGGGCTCCGAATGCTGTAGCGTGTAGGGTAACACTCTCCCCCTCCTCCACTTCTATGTAGGCTGTGGAGGTCTCTACGAAGTAGGGCGTCTTGTTCTCTGAGAAAATAAAGGGAATCAGATTGGTGCTCTTTCACAAAACATACTGGATGATACATTTTATTCGTTCATATATTAGCACTACCTCGGCTAGGAAAATTAAGCATGTTGGGGAAGGAATTCGTATGTGTTTATGTTTAAAACTGATAGTACATCCTAGTGAACATAACACATAGTGTAGAGTGTAGAGTAACATGTTTTATTTCATAACCGGCCGCCACAAGTATGTTGACTAAAATAATAAAACCGAATAATTATTAAACTGTATTAAAATGTATCTAAATATAATAACATGTTATTGTATTTGAAATCTAGTTCATTGTCTTAAAATTCGTTCAATAAGGACGGAAAAAAGTATTAAAAATGAAAGAAGTATGTTGTCCCTGTAGCTATAACCGACATCTTACCCTTGACTGTTACGTAGACTTCTCCACTGGTGGTGCCGTGTTCGTTAGACGCCCTGAACTTGTACCACCCGCTGTGCTTTAACTGAGAGGCAGCAAGTTAACATGATCAACATAACTAACATAACACGCGGGAGAGTGAGTTACCTACGTCTTGACACAATTTATGTACAGGGTGTACCACAGAAAGTGTGACTTTTTGAGAAATGATACAAAATATTATGAAGGAGCAGTTGCTAAAAACTGTGTGTAATGTGACATTTAATTGTAACAACGCGATCACTTCTCGTTACGTGTCACGATATTTGGTGGCTACTTTCTTTACACTTCACAATAGCTTTGTATTTAAAACTAACCTTAGCGTTGCGTATAGTCAGAACACCAGAGTCACTGATTGTTATTCTGTTTGTGGGTTCCAGTGGGTTGATACCGTGTTGCCTATAAGGAGACAGGCTTAAAGAGACGGTTATTGAGGGTTATTATGAAATAACTTTTTTAAATATGGTTCTTCTTTGGATTGAATAGTTTTTATTTCAAGTAAAGACTCATCTGCTTGAATGTTAGTTTTACGGTTTTAAAGTTAGGAAATTGCACAACAAATCTAGATCACATAATCTGCAATGAACTTCTTACTGACCAGGATATACTGGGAGCGGGTATTCCAACAATCCTGAAGTCTATAACGAGAGTCTGGCCCGTGTAGGTGGTGATGTTAGCGAGAGGAGTGTGATCTGGGGGCCGGACACCGTCAGGGTAGAACTGGTCGTCTTTAGGTGGGTCCTCTGGTTCTGTGATGAAGGGAGTGAGTAATAATATCAAGAGTAAAGAACCTACCTGTTTTAAACTAATTACAACACTACAAATCTATTATATTTATTGAGTATTATATAATGGGATGGAAGTATTATACTTCCATCCTCTTATATAATACTCAATAAATATAACATAATACTTAATAAAGTATACTTTAACCAGATACATCCAGTCCACACACTGGCTCCATAATAATATGAAGGACCTGTTATAATTCTAAATGAAAAGCTCGAATACAGTAGATATAAGGATATACAACAAGATACAAGGCTATGTCACTCCCGGTGTTGGAAGGTGCTTATCAGGATATAAACTCACGGGCGACACTGATAAAGGTGTAAGCTACATCGGAACCGTGTCTGTTCCACGCTACACACTGGTACCAGGCACTTCTGAACACCTGTAAACAGTTATTATTACACGCGAGAACACGTGTATTACACGTGATATTTAGTTTTATTACACTTCCGAGATGGGTCCTGGTGAATTCAGGTCAGCGAATAAAATCTTTTAATAGTATTCTTAAACCATTGTAACTCTTCAAGTAGGGGAAGTTGGCACGTCCTAATAAAATATGAGGTATCATGATATAGGTACAAAAATAGAAACATTTCGCGGTCTATAATTTAGTTTCCAAACATGATATCTGAAGTACTGTACGTACGTGTTTCCGTACGTGTTTCCGTACGTGTTTCCGTACGTGTTTCCGTACGTGTTTCCGTACGTGTTTCCGTACGTGTTTCCGCTCACCTGAATAACAGTGCTAGTCCTCACGGAACAAAGGTTCCTGTTCCTGCCAGCCCCTCTGATGACCAAGTCTGTTCTGTTGATGTTCATCCCAGATACCATCACATCCGGCTGAGGACGTCCTGAAGGGGAGTTTTTAGAAAGGGGGCCAGGGGGGGGGGGGAGTTTGTGAGACTAATTGGGTCGGAGCTGATTGAGCAGGAAATGACGTGATGACATCATACTGATGACGTAGTACGCTGTAAAGCTAGTGCTGTGTGATTATGACGCGGTTACGTATTTTGGGACATTCATCTCAACAGTGATCGAATTGAATTGACTTCCTAGAGGACAGAAAATCAGATTTGAATAGAGCGGCATACCTTAGTGCAAGAAATATAGGCGGCAAGAATATAAGGCGCTAGAAATTAAGGCGGCAAGAAATTAAGGCGATATTTTTTTCGGAAAAAATACGATTTTTGATCGCAAATTTGGTTATAGTTTTGGTCGAAATAGTGTCAATTTTATTCTTTTATCAGTCTATAAAGCATAGAAATCTGTTTAAAAATACGATATACTGGACATTGGTCACATAAAAACTAAATGGTGCATGCACATTATATTTATAGTGATTGCTGTTCTGTCGTCTAAGTTTATAATTTTAAATTAGGTAGACATCCACTACATCAGCAAACTGCAAGTCAATTGGTATATTAATTGCATTTGACAAAATGATAGTGCACATTCTGTACGCAGCAAGGAATTTTTATGTATGTATACTACATATCATCATTAAAATTAAAAATTATTTCTTTTTAAAATTCATGGACCAATGAGAAGGGAATAACGCTCCTCAAGAAGTTAGTCGACGAAAAGTACAGCTTCGACAAACGTTTGGAGGATGAATCAGCTGATATTATCAAGAAGCTATTTCCAGACACGATGGAGCAAGATGACGACGACTATCTTGGTTATGGATTGCAGCTGCTGGAGATATATGACTCTGATGAAGAAGGAGAAGACGAGAATATTAATTGATATATTAATGTATTTAGACTCAAGTTAATTTATTTTAAATATGTATTTCATTGAATTCTAGCAAATAACGAAATCGACATGTAAATTTAAAATAATAAAATCACACGAAAATTTCTTATGAAAAAATCGCAAGAAAAAAAATTAAGGCGGTTAGAAATTACGGTGGTCAGATATTAAGGCGGCAAGAAATTAAGGCGATTTTGTCAGAATCGCCTTAATTTCTTGCCGCCTATATTTCTTGCACTAAGGTAGGCAAAAGTGTAAGTATAGTGTATAATGATAATTTATAGATTGAATATAAGCAAATCGGTAGATTGGTGTTAAAATACTCAGTAACCACTGACCCTCAGCATTACAAGTCAGAGAGACATAATCTCCCTTTTTAGCGTCTATCAGCAGGGCTGGTTTCTCTGTTATAACCGGGTGTCCTGAGATGGTAACTGGTCAGAGCTGATATAATAATAATCAGGGCTGATATAATAATAATCAGAGCTGATATAATCACATATCATAAAGCTTTTTGATGTAACGCAGGTATAAGAGACTTCTTACGATGTCACATAGTTTATATCTATACTATAATTTAAACTTGACGAAATTTCCCCGGCAACGGGGACATAGAAGAAAAAACACCGAAAATCGACCTCAAAATGACCCTCTGGTGAAATCAAACCCAGCTCGCAAATGGAGTTGAAACCTCGCCATTTTTAGCAGGGTTGTAGAAAAAGGATAGGAATAGGCTATAGCATTCTTAGAATTTTGATTTAGGCTTTAGATTTTTTATAATTAGCGTCGGAAGTGAGGTAAAATAACCGTTAGAATAATATCGTTATTTTAGCAAAGGTTTACTGCGCTGTTACGTAGCAACGTTAAAATGCACGTGCGCGAGCAAGAACATCTTAACTACGCGCGTTGTTATGCTGTATGCTACGTCATAATTTCAAAACTAGCTCACATTTACGCTCACGCTATGACTTATATTCATAACTTTGGTTGTGATTGGTATTTTTGATGCGGTAAAAAGTATCGTTTTGGGAATCCGAATACTAACAACGCTGTCGCCATTGTTAGATAAATTCCATTATGTCTACTGTATAACAGAGCTGTATGATGAAGAGAAATTAAAACATAACTGATTTTTAAAATTTCCTCGAACAAAGCTTTCGACTAGCGGGTTTCTAGTTTTCTATAAATCAGTCATTCGCCAACAGTCTGAACTGTTACGTTACAGGCCCGGACACCAACCGTTACAAATTTGTTCTCAATAAGAGTATTATGTTAACATTTCATACATTGGTCTGTATTAGTTCATATAAGTTTTCTGACTTACGTATATTCAGGTCTCATGATGTAGTTTTTCTACGAAGATTTCAACCGGAACCTTGTGTGTTTACTTACTGTGTGTCCAACCAAATGAATATCAACATTTCAGCACAGTCTCGCCACTATAAGAATAAATTGTACGCATGTGGATTAGTTTGAATTCTACACTCTGTAGTCTTTAGTAAGTTCTTGTCAAATTTATTTCTATTATTTGTTCATTTAGCGATGTGGATAACGTAGAATCTATTCGACCGAGACTCGTTTGATCTTCCAGCAAAGATCAAAGGAATATTACCATCATATTCTCAAATTAACACCAAATCTTAAATTGACAACGTGGTCTGAACCAAAATTACGCGCGCACGTATCTTGTCACTGTGACCAGGGTCAACAACATTGTTTTCAAACAAAATACTAATTCGGCGTTTGCGCGTTACGTTTCAATCAGACAAATCTTCATTATTTTATTAATCGCTACCCTGTGCCTTACAGTCTGTTTGGTAACCTTATAAGGGGCCATCCAAATCATGATATTACACACATCATTATTCTTACATCATTCTCACAATATTGGCGGATATTCACCAAGAAAGGGGTGCTCTATCAAACACATCCAGCTTACAGAGTTAAACCAGTAGATCACAATACATACGCTGACAGGTTTTACTCCACGCGAAGGAGAGTTATACTAGTTTAACTAACCATATCTGTCGGTAGCTGGTACTAATCTAGCATTCCCCACATAGCTAGATACTCTAGAGTGTTCCTTAACTTACCTTTCTGGTTTTCTTCAGAATCTTCGCAGATGCACGGTTTGTTCTCACTTGAGTCTCCACTGAAACATTTAGATGTTTTAACTTAAAGCTGTCATAGTGTCATTCTACTTTGACATAAAGCCTTAACTCATGACTTAGTGGAGTGACATTAAAAAATTCAAATCACATTAAATTAGTTAAAATACAAACAATTTAGGCTCCAAATGCTAATGATTTTTAGAGAAGGATTCCTATTGAGTTAAGTTAATGATGGTATGTATTGAGATTAGTTAGTGATGGTATGTATTGAGATACACTATGATCTAAGTCTGGGCTAATGGCTGGACTAATGGCCGGAAATAGGATCCTGATTTCCACGATCTGAGGACAATATCGACACAGTCTCGAAATATATACAGGAAGTAAATCTATCGGACCGTGTAGGGTAAATGTTATCGGCATAGCTCGATAAAAATTGAGTTGTTGAAAAGAAGTAAAAGGGTAATGCAATCTTTTGTTAAATAGTAAAATATGCTTCTTTTAAAAAAAGCGCAATCTTGTGTTAAATACAGTTAAATATGCACTTTTCGTTTCCCCTGAGAGGCCCGGTATTTAGAGTTTTCACTGTATATGGAATGATATTCAATAAATTAGTCTATCCCCAAAATCCTGGTATCCTAGGGGCGTGCCTCTGAATCTTATAATCACCATGTATTCGTTATTCGGTAGTATTCGGTTAGGTATTCAGTGATCGAATGCAGAATGCTGAATACCGAACTTCGAATCCAAACATCTTCCAAACTATTCAGTAACTATATCGTTGCTAAATAATGTAAACACATACGGGCTCTCAACCCCCGACATTAGAGTCAGAGTATAGTTATGAAGGACCTGTTCTTTCTGACTCCTAATATGTAGACGGGATGATAAATAGTTGTAATACCCCCCCCCCCCCCCCCCCAACAAATAGTTGTAATACCGTACATACCTGCAGGATCTGCCCCCGAACTTAGGAGTAGGGGTTAGTACAGGACCTGTAACGATAAGACACTGCACTGTCACAGTGACACGGTCCCCAATCTGACCAGGCTGTAAATCCTCCGTGCTGCGGCTCTGAAAGGAGGGTTTAAAAGTTAAGACAGTAAAACTCCACTTAGAGAGAGGTTTAAAGGTTAATATTCGAGATCTGACAAAATGGGGGAGACACATCGACATGAAGTTAAGACAGAAGCTTGAAAAGTGTGATTGACAATGCCAATACAATATTGAATGACAATAATGACATCTGTAAGTCTCTTTCCTCAGTTTATCTATGTAGAAAGTAAAAGTTTATTTTCTATAATATGTATTTGTTAGAATATTGGCGGGACTAACTCGTAAGCCGACTGTTGAACTTTTAAAACGTTTATTTATACCAGAGGAGTTTTATAGTTATCTGGCTTCTGTTCCACGTGTGTTCATTGACAGAGAGGTATTCATATATCACTATTCACTTTGACAAGCTTCTTTCAACTTTCAAGTCACATACAGTCACATTTGTACAGATTCATATTGCAAGGAGTATCAACTGTTACCATGTTGGAAGGGATCATTACCCTCTAGTAACCCTTAGTAACCCTTAGTAACCTTAGTAACCCTTAGTAACCTTAGTAACCCTTAGTAACCTTAGTAACCCTTAGTAACCCTTAGTAACCATTAGTAACCCTTAGTAACCTTTAGTAACCTTTAGTAACCCTTAGTAACCCTTAGTCACCCTTAGTAACCCTTAGTAACCCTTAGTAACCCTTAGTAACCGAGGTAGTAACCAAATATCAGATATTGTAATTTTGTTGACAGAGATAGTAACCTTGATAACAGAGATAGTAACCATGATAACATAGATAGTAACCATGGTAACCATGGTAACACTGAAAGTATCCATAGGAACAGAAATAGTAACCATGGTAACACAGAATAAAATAACCATGGTAATAACCAAAGGGGCAGAAGAAGATGTAAACCTCTAGTGGGGCCACCACAACTTTTAATTATGTTAAACAACATATTGTTTTCTGGTAGCAGAGATACTGTGGTGACCTAGGAATGTTACAGTGTTGCAGAGTACCCTATCCGTGTTGCAGAACTCACCACACTCTATGTAAAAGTATCCTAGTACAACCACAGGAAATAGAAACTCGTTACATGTCATACTGGTCACGTGTTCTACTGGTCACGTGTCATACTGATCACGTGTTCTACTGGTCACGTGTCATATCTGTTAAAGTTGTTCAAACCAGTACCAACTGGTTAGTTAATCAAGTTTAATAAGTTGTTACTCGTTAGTTACTAGCTATTATGTCTTACGTAGATTAATTAAGTAAACATGAGATCACTTTAAGGGAACATATCAGCGGCACCAAACTTTTAATGTACAACCAGGTACATTGAGAGCCGCAACTTTAATAATTTCAAAATAATATTTCCAATTCTACTTTAGAAACTAAGAGCTGATAGCTAACCAAACTATTATTTCAATATAAAATCACTAAACCAACTCAACAAATAGGTATTACTATTAAGAGACACACAGTGAAGATCTGTACCAAACCACTGAGTAGAGAGTATAGCCACATGTTTGGCTGGTTACGGTAATCCTAGTAATGAAGTTAAAGTTGTCAGTCCCGACAACTGCTGTAAAACATTTCACCTTCACTTCAGTACACACTTGGGAAAACAGTCACAGGAATCATCTTACTTTCATCCCTCTTAGGTCCTTCGTTACTACAGTAGCATATTAATTATTAATCATAAAGTTCAAGATGTATAATATTTTATTTTTGGAGGTCAATACATGTTATAGATTGAAGGGAGCTAAATTCCCATCCTTTCAGCCGGGTCACCATTCACCCATCACCAACTGTCACAGCATATAATACATATAAATATTAAATAGACAACAGTTTGCAGGCTGCAACAGCTGTTGATTTACCATCCTTCTGTAAATCTTTACACGGATGATTTCTACTGACAGTGCTGATCATTCAACAGGAATAGGACTAGTCAATGTCTCGGTACCCCTCTCCAAGGGGAAGATCCGCGACATAAATCACGTATTTTTGCAGCTTCCCATACATCTAAAATCATTAACGGACAGCTCACTTCAACACAAAGCCCCGTCTAAATGCAGGCCGCCTGGGACGCTGCCGGGGCGGTGTATCTGTATTCGGTTACTGCTATCATCAGTCTTCTCTTTACCTGAAGTTCTAATTTTTTGAAATTTAATAAGTTAACGGGTAGAAGTTGGGTAAAATATGTTTTTTGGGCGATCCCGACCGAAAGTTTGTGATTTAGCAAATAAGTTGAGGTATTTCATTCTAATTTGCATCTCAATAAACATCTCGCTGCCTCCGTTAATAAAATACAACTATTGAAGTTCTGTGTTCATCGTGTATTACCTCAACCCCGTACGGAGTATATTATACGGTATCCCACCATGAACATGAGCCGGGTCTCTAAGCTTGACAATAATTTTCTTTCAAATGATCTACTGTATCGACATCGTATTCAAATTAAACTCCCATCCGTCTTATTTCAAATCTGTACCCCGTAGGAACTGGGACGTTCCAATGCGAATAAAGTTTCTAGAATCTTCTTCCAACCCTTTGATAACGTCATCCTTACGTCAGTTATACAGTAAAACAGATGACACCCCACTGTACTATTCTCCGCCAAATGTCTCGGCAATGCGATCAACACATTCTCGACATACTTCTCTCTGAAAACCAAATTCCAGACATCTCCGGACGTCATTACTCAGTATACAAAACCGCCTTTAGACCCCGTGTTTTGGAGGTATGAACGTCTTAATTTTTATAGAAACATTTTTCAATTAATAATTTCCACCCCACCCCACCCTAATTCCGTCTTCCTCGGCCAAGTTGACTGGTAGGTCTACAAACCCATGCTTCATTCCACATAATTAAAATATTGCATATTCCTGCACATATTCTTGCAGAGCACACGCAAAGATGTGATTAATGTGGCGCTCTAAGGGGGACTAATGTAGCCCTGTTAAAGGTAACTAAAACACACATTGACACATTCCCCGCTGTGTATGTTCACTGCAGTAGGGGGGCAGGTGAATTTAATAAACTGTGTGGGATATTATTGTTACTGAAATAACGAACATTAGGTGTGGAATGAAGCTATCCACGAATATATCCATTAAGTTATCCAATATAGCGTAAGAGATATGAACTTTGGCACGCGCTCAAATTTGGAGGGTTTGTTAGGGCTTCTCAGAAACATTTCTTATGTGTTCATTACATTCCAGATACCTTGAATATAAGCAACATTATGTGGACTCCCCACTAAATTCATCAAATTAGGACTTCCTTTCTCTTTCTTTGTATTCAACAATAAATTTTTCATGGTAATGGGATATCATTTTGGTTGCTACTTGCTTTCTGGCATATTGATATAACCTCATTTGTCAACAATCATTACATCAGTTAAAAAACTTAATCGAAATAAAGGTAAGATATTTCAGTATTTTGATCTGAAAACTTGCCACCAACCTGTACTATCCACTATCTAGTGTAGTTCACAGAGTCATATATCATATCCAGCAAGGCTAGAAGATGAAAGATTCGATTTACTGCAGATCTAATGTGATTTTAGTGATATGATTGTGTAATGATACTGTATGTTGTTTTAGACACTACAGCATGACTTTTACAGTTTTACATGAAAAAACTCTGAAAGGAACAGCAAACCCTCATACAGGATAACGTTATAATGATAGGGTTATAAGGTTATAAGGTTATAAGGTTATAAGGTTATAAGGTTATAAGGTTATAAGGTTACAAGGTTATAAGGTTAGGTTATAAGGCGATCAGATTAAGTTCCGTAAAGTAGTAGTAGTACTTTACATGGGAGTTACTGTAGTGGTCTGGCATACTCTGTGCATGTTGAAATTTTAAATTTGATTGATACTTGAAGAAGAAAATATGTGGATACAAGGACACAATGTGTGAAAGAATAAAATATAATAAAATTAAGGATACTTCTCACTTATTTCGAGTCAAAACTGAAACAATGGTTCTACTTCGCTTTTTTGACAAGCAGCTTCTTCATAAAGATACTAACATATTGTAGGTGAGTATAGTGAGTATTGTAAAGAATGTAATCACACTGTAACCTGTGAACTGCAGCTATAACATGTACCTGCGACCTGCAGGTGAGACAATGTTTCTACTTGCAGGTCACAGTTCACTGTATCACTGGAAGGGAGTTGGGAAACATATAAGTGATAGGTTGTAAACCTTGTAAGGGTTGTAAAATGCAAATACTGACCTTCTATACATTTTTAAAAATCACCCAAGAGGGCTGTCTGGATGAGATGCTAATTTTGATACTTGGTTAGTGTGTTGGCTGGAATTCGTGAAAGTTCACATGCACTAGCGTTCACCAGAATACATCGGAATACACTCAAATACACACAACATTGAATTCCCTCAATTCCCTATGTGACCCTGACATCGTATCCGTTCTAAGGTGGCACCCTCAGACTGTCATGAATCAATAAAGCTCACAATGTTTGCAGACGTTTCTCTATCAGCCGGAGTTGCAAGAAGGGTAATCGTCTGTAACATGTCAGTAACATGTGAAGAGTGGTGGAAGAGGGGGGCACATGTGTGGAAGAGGAGACTTGTACCAATTACATTGCAGACACATTAGAGATGTGTTTGAGGAATTAGAATGGTGTTTTGAAGGAGGGGAAATGTAACTGAGAGTGGTGACCGATTACTACCCCACCTACCAGCCTCTTTGATACTGGCTATCAAAATATATCAAATCCTTTAACATGAATTATTGGCATAATTCCAATTTGAAATGCCACTGATTTTATCCAGGCATTTGCTACATTCACACACAATTTTAAAGTTTTTAAATTCACAAGTTCTACTTCAGTACATTTGAAATTCCTAATTGAATGTTAAGTTTTCTGTACTCGGATTCTTAGCTAATTTAGTTTAAATTGAGCCGAAAATTGGATTTTATTTTCAAGAAAAGTATATATATCAAATTATCAAAAGAACGTCATTTGTCAGGTTATTGGTAGCACAGCGTATCTTCTACGTAATGATTTGATACCATACACGGCAGCGTTTCAATAAAACAATTTAATGCCCAAGAGATTTCACACATTTTAATGGATATTGGATTGCGGAGTGGTTTCATAATAAAGTGTGTGCTGGTAAAATTGTAAGATTTGGTTGAGAGCATTGTGCATTTCAACAAGTCTAAATGGTAGGCAGAATGAAACAGAAAATAACTGTTATAAAGAAATTAATAATTTGTTTCTTACTCATTTATTTCACCCACTCATTTTGCCCATTTGTCGAGATTTGTGGATGATTAATTACATATTTACATTGCGGTCACACACACACACAGTTCATCTAACACAGTAAATGTATATCACACACCTGCGCTCCAATGTAAACACCATGTACGTGTATAATTCTAGCGTTACCATGACAACCAGGCGCTCTCCTATCACAGACAATCCTAATCTTAGTTAACAATGATTGTTGACATACACCCAAACCAACCAATCACAACGAACCATCCTCCTGACCAACCAATCAGAATCCTACCTGGTAGACGTAGCACAGAGCTGTGTCTAGAAGTGCAGGTTTTGACAGGAGTGTGTCAACAAACACACGTTAAAGCGTGCGGCGCCTAGCAACCCTTAGCAACCACATTATACCTACACTGTACTGTACAAGGCGGGCTTCTGTTTGTGGAAATTGTTTTTACAAGGCGGGAAATTTCTTTTTTTACGATGTAAAGTATAAAATTACATCAACAAAACTTAATTGATAATTATATTAACAGGACAGTGTAAGTAGATAGGAAATGACCGGGCTTTTTGCCTGTAAATGTAGCGAAGACAATGAAGTTTGTTTATATAGAGGAGAGTCCACTGACCACTATAACCGGCAATAAGCAGACAACACACTCCGCAACACACGCCGCAGGCTCCAGTTTACATCAGCGTACGTGAATCTTTTAAAATCTGATACTTTGAAACAATTCTGTTACAGTGAGGCAATCACAACCCATTATATTATGCTAATAAACATAATTACAGCTCATCAAATTGGCAATGATGAAGGAAAGACCCGGAAGAATCCGAAGTAGGAAGTGGGCAGATTCAGTCATGAATCATGATTTGATTAGAGGAAACCGAAGAAAAATAAAAAATATTTAGTACTTATAGGGCTGAGTTTATGAAATCAGGTAAATCTGATAATACGGTTAGGTAATGAGCACCTGTTATATTATGATAATCACGGTAATTTTTGCAAAGAAATCACGCCTCATGAAGCTAGTGACACAGAGGGATGCTTTTTACCCTCAGGTATCGTTCTAAGATTGAATATTCAGTGTGGAAGTTAAAGGTCGGTACTGGGACTAAAATACGGTAAGAGTCGGAGTGGGACAAACAGGGAGGTTAACTTTTAGATTCAGTGTCCAGAGAAAGAGAAAGAGAAGAGAAAGAGAAAGAGAAGAGAAAGAGAAAGAGAAAGAGAAAGAGAAAGAGTTAAAGCTTAAAGGTGGTGAGAAGTTGAGCAGCTCCGCAGTAAGAAGAATCAACATGGGTCACTGTAGAATCAGCAGAATAAAGACTATGACAGAGAGACATGTTAAGTTTACTAATAAGGTTCACTGCCCCATGATGTACCGTAATAACTGTGATAATCGACCTATTTGTATATTGCACAGATCTCCCGCCATTTCAATGCAGCAAGACATTCGTATCAATGGCAGTTTTAGACAAAGTGACTTAGATCTAATAAAATATTAATGTTATCAATACCACAATCCTTAACAGTCTTTAGTAAGTAGACATTTGTAAATATATAAAAATTGTGATCTTCTCATCATATTTCCATACTGTTTGTGCACGTTCTTATATCATGTCAGCTTATACTCAAATAATTGAAATCAGGTTATAATTTGGTGCATATTTTTAGAGTTGTAGTCATTTGGTCGAAAAGGATGAGGATCAAATGCCGACTAAGCTGCGTCATGGTCCAGTATAGAACCTGTGGATCACGTATTTAGAGTATTCCCTAGACGATAGAAGGTACATGTAATTGGAGTGTGACGTAATGCATTGTTCAGAGACTTAATCTAAGAATATATTCAACCTTATCAAGTGCTTTACACGATGATCTTTGTCTTTGTGGTTAACAATGAATGATTTACTGATATTGTAGGTAGTTAATATAATAATGCTCTTGACAATGAACAAAATTTGAAAAAATATAGATGAAAAACATACACAGTCACGAAGTCACATAGAACCACAAACGAACCGACAAACAGACAGACCCACATACCAGCAAACAGATATAATGTTACTGAATGTAATATGTAACATAATGTAACTTACGGCATTCGTCAGTGATTGGTATTTCTATGCCAGTATCTCTGCAAGCTAATATCATAGCGTGGTAGGCTGGACAATGACACGCCACCTGCACAATTAATTAATTAATTATCTTGTTAATTGATAATTAGCTAAAAATCCAATTCATTGATCATTTAACTGTAAAGATTAGGTAAAATCAGTCCAACATGCGATTTAAGAACTATGCGTTTTTCATATCATTCTGATCAGTTTATTTATAACCACATAGTTCAAGTTGACAATGTTATCTAGTTGGGACTTGGGTTATGTAGGAAACATAACAACTGAAAATCCTGTATCATGTAAAAAGAAGGAGCAGATTTAAGCTAAAATGTTGCTTTTCGTGCCCTTATTAAACCAAATATCCTCAGTTTCCAAGGTGTGATAGCAGTACGATTACCATATCAACAAGTCTTCCACAAATCAAGTTATATATTTCATCATCAAGTTTTCCATTTCTATCATGCTTTCGGGTATGGTTTCAAGAGTTTTAGTCAATAGCTGTAGATATAGTTAAGAGTCATGCATCAAGACATTGTATGAGGTTGAAGATTGAAGAGTTATTACTATTGAATGATGCAACATCTCATGAAATCGGAAGTCATATTTTCGATATCTAATCCCTCTAATGCACTGATAAGAATATTGATAGAAATTAGAGGTTCATTAGTGGTAAACGTCAGATAAATAGAAGATATCATAATCAGATCATAAAAATATCAGAAATAGATTAGAAATAGATCAGAAATAGATCAGAAATAGATCAAAATTAGATCAGGCAAATAGTTCAAAATTCGATCAGGCAAATAGTTGAGACAGACAGATTGATTTCAGAACATTCCACTTACCGAGTGAAGATGTTTATATGAGGCTCTCTCAGGCAACGTGAAACCGTTTGCCTGGACAATTTTAACTTGAGCTTAATTGTTTCTCACCTTTTTATTTGAGAATATTTTGTGTTGTGTAGGTACTTCAAATTGTTAATTTGTAATCTTATTATCTGAATTGATGCGACACAGAGACATTTTATTTTTTGAATTAGTTAAAATATTCAATAATATTGTGTCTCTTTTTTGAGTAGTGTATTCTCAAAAACTTAAATAATAATATATCGAACCGGGCACTCCCTACTCAAAACGCTTGGAATTCCGATTTTTTCGCACCTTTTATCAAAGCATTAAGGAAGCATTCTTTCTTAAATTACTGTCCTACAACTATCATACAATATACTCAGCTGCTAAACATAAATATTGCTCATTAGTGACTTCTAAATATGTGCATATTGTTATATATTATAGAAGGAGGCACTTAAACAATAAACATGTGACAGAACAACACTGGTATATGACTGGTTGCAGCTGTATCCACTAAAACATTATTAGTCTGGGACATGTGTCTCTATATCATGTGAGAATAGAGATATACATCAGCTGTAGTTAAGATAAGATTAGTGAGATATCTATAGGGCCGTATACTGGTGGAACAGGCGCACGACAGCGGTTGACCAATAAAACCCCAGAATCACTGTCACGTGTCAAAACAAATTAGTAGGATAGACTCATAGACTGTGAGGTACTTACATCCTGGCACTGGCACACTGATTTGATACAAGCATCGTGTAGGGCTTGTCCGTCAAAGTAGGCCAGACACCGTCCGAACTTTCCGTCGATGTTAGTTAGTGTCTCACACATCTCGTGTGCTTGCTGGTGTCTCTGAGGAGATAGAGGGTTGAGCTGTTGGGAGGTAGAGACTCACATATGAAATAAATAGGGTGTCTTAAAATACAGGAAATCAGTTTAACTTCTGTATATTTTTAATGCGTTTATTTAAAGCTGATGGAGTGTTGAATAACGAATAACGTGTTGAAATAAATAAATAAATGATAAAATATCTCAATAATTCTAGAGGATATCTGAGGTAAGCACCCTGGCACAGACATATCTTACCATACTTTCGTCTAACTTATATTAAATCACCCTCAAAATATCAAATATTTTAAATATTTGTTACACAATAAATTTGGAGAATAGAAGGACGAAAATAGAAGGACGAAGTAAGAAAACAGTCACAACATTGTTTTAGTAACACAATTTTTGTGCGGTATTTTTTAGTGAACTTTCTAAATCTTAGTCACCTAGTGCGAAAAACGGTGGAAGAGTCGAAATAATTAATAATAATAAAATTACATGTGTGAATAAACTGATTATAGTGCTACCTTATTTTCAATTAATTGAGCGATAAAAACATTGTTATGTTTTATAACTTACCTCATCAGTGCATTGGTATGTCTCTTCGTGTTCGTAGATATCACATGATAGATCTGTTGAGGCCAGCAGGTTTTCTGTCGAGATCTTTGGTCTGAAACATACAATGTTATTACTTTTAGGAGGTGTTGCTGTGGAGGTATGTATAAATATTCAACTTAATGTTCTGAGGAAAAATGGAAAAATGGAATTAGATTTCAATAAAAAGAACTTTCTGTAACCAGGTTACTCGTAGAAAGATTAGATAAGGGGACTAGTCAAAACCAAAATTTTTTAATTTTTTTGAATTGCGTCATTTTTAATTATAACCGCTTTTCCCCCAAAAGGCTTGAAGTGTTATTTATTTACAAATATATCACCTATTATTACATGACCCAGTATTTACGTCGTTTCATTGCGAGTACACATTAATAACCATGGGATTACAATACACAACAGTAAGGTTATTAGTCTGAAGTATATACTTGACTCTAAACAGTTATTAGCCAGGGTAATCCTGGCTACAAAGGGAGATTCTAGAGACGAAACCCTTCCTAAACTCTACCCTGCTCCAGTGTTTTTACCGACCATTAACCATTAAATGTAAGATGCAGCTGACAGATATGTAGTAAAGATCTGACATACAACATCTGCTTAGTCGTGTCTCCCGTTATCAGAATCTACCTGCACACTAATCATACCATATAAGGGTATAATGACCTTCACTCTGATGCTAGACTCATTACATTGCATGTTATACCAGTCTTTGTATTTCCGTATTATAGGTCGGATCACCACAATATTGCCTTCAGAGTCCAGTTACTCAGTCAGTTTCAGTTCAGCCTGTCTTTATAACTTTATTTATAAGGCCACAATTCGATCAAGATTTCACAGATATAAGGGCATCACAACAAATCACCAAATATAATTTTAATTGAGTAGTAGACTAATTATTACATCATGTAACCATGGTTACTAGCTCATGGTTTGTAAACGAAGTGAGGTTAGTCCGGACTGGAATCTTATTTCAAATTATTGACGAGATCTTTCTGCTCTACCAGCCGATTGATTCGCTGTTACTATTAATGAAATATGTGATGCTCCTCATTGTTTCTTAAGATATGACGATTGCTTATTTGCCCGGTCATTTCCCTTACTAAACAGAATTAGCCTCCACTAAGTCAGCGTCGCGTTTCTGCTTTTCTAGTAATCGTTATCATGAATATCTCGTGTAGTTTAAAAACAATCAGCTTGACATGGTTCATAGTCAGCCGTCACACTTATTTTTTCGCATAATTACCTTTTCACAATCACAATGCATCTGTGTCCCCCCTATAGTTGGACCGTCACACGATTCAGGAATAATTGTGACACAATAAGTCCAATGTCCTATCCAATTATGTCAGATTCCCTAGAATGCATATAAAGCGATCCCACGTGTTTTCTCGTGAGTAATAATACTGTTTGGTGTGATTGTCCGTCCGTATGATAAGTTGCATACCAACATCGTCTCTTCAACTCTTCTAGTTTAACTATTGAGTCATTATTTTGACACAAAGTCGCTGCAACCCATTTACTGTTGATCAATTTCAGTCGACCAATTTTCGGATTTGATAACTGAAATTGACCAATAGCCAATTGTTTCGTCTGATTGTTTCGAGAATCTTTATTCTTCGAATTTTATGACTTGTCTGGTTCGCTTTGGTCAGTTGCCAGAGAAAGTTTGTGCTACATTCATATTGTACAAGCTTTGATCCATCACTTCTCAAACTTCCCCATTATTATGTTGATTATGATAATCAGATTATGTTGATTATGTTGATTATGTTGATTATGTTGATTATGTTGATTATGTTGATTATGTTGATTATGTTCCCAGGTTTCTGAAGCTATATATAAAACAGTGTGATGTCCATCTCTCTGAACCACAATCAGACCACAGTAAACATAGAAACATCAGTAGTCAGTAGTCAGTAGTCAGTAGTCAGTAGTCAGTAGTCACTAGTCACAATGTACTGGATATTCGAGATATGTGGGGAGATAAAGCGGGCCCAGTCCTGCAGGAAGTTTGCAATAGACGGTCCGTTTGACTGGCTAAACAGGATCCTCATGCCTACCCTCATGGTTATCTGTTGCTTCCTACAAACATTCACCTTCATATTCGGCACCAATATCAGCTGTGTGGGATTCGACAGGGACGATAAGAGCTTCGCTGAAGAGTACTGTTGGACCCAGGGTATTTACACGAACAAGGCAGCGTACAACATGCCCCAACATGCCCCATACCCTGGTATATCCCCCTGTGTTCCCGCTATAATCCCTAAAACTGGGAAGATCTGGCTGCCCTGCAGTGACGAGGAGACAGATAAAGCCTACCATCTGTGGTATCAATGGGTACCGTTCTATTTTCTAGCAGTGGCTCTGGGGTACTACATTCCATTTCTTATCTTAAAGGGATCTAAGCTGCATCAGGTTAAGCCGCTCATTACTTATCTGTTGGATCATGATAATTTGGAGGGGGATCCAAAAGATTTGGTGGGTAAACTCTCTCACTGGGTATTCAAGCAGCTGGTGTACCCTAGGTATGCGTTAATATTGTGAATTTGTATCTTATATCTCCGATCACTTTACTGACATTAAACTGTGTATCTTTCCAGTACATTATCCAATACTAGCAGGAACCCGTATAATATAACCCTAAACGGTGTCAAGACTCAAGATACTAAAATGATTATTACCTATTTAATTTGACACCACTTGAGGTCCAAATTTTATCTAAAATCATTATTCCTTGGCCAATTTTTATTTTTTCATGCTGATTTGGAGGCCATTAAAGCATTTTACCCAGCCAAAAAAGTTTCAGTTGTATATCTTTTACGGTTTTTGCGGAAAGTCGCGTTAAAGTCTCGCTTTATATATAGTAAGATTACTGCATATCAACCAATTATATAGTCGGGATTTTTAGTCCGGTTGAACAGGATTATAGCCCATTGTTACCCCATATAACACCCCTATTTCCTGCAGGTTTGCGTCCACGTCCTCCTTGTCCATGTTCTGGCACGAGTGGGGCCTAGTTCTACTAGTCTGCTCAGTTAAAGTCCTGTACCTCACCACCTCCCTTCTCCACATGGTCCTCACAGCTAGGATGTTCAAGATCGGCAACTGGTTCACTTACGGGATACAGTTCGCTCGGAGAGCCACCAAGAACACCACCCATGTTAAGGATATTGTCTTCCCGAAGATGGTGGCGTGTAGGATCGTCCAGTGGGGTGCTACTGGCAAGGTGCCAACTACTGGGATGTGCGTGTTAGCGCTGAACGTCATGAATCAGTATCTGTTCCTCATAGTCTGGTACATGAACGTTCTCCTGATATTCCTTAACTTCTTCAGCTGTGCCTATACTATTCTCAAGTTTTGTAGTCCTAATATAGTTCACCACCGTATAGTAAACTCCTCCTCCCTGCTTGATGATCATGACTTTACCAGAATGTTCGGTTATGTGGGCCCCTCAGGTCGGATTATCCTTGCTAAAATGTCAGAACACATGCCCGGTTACTTGCTCACTCTCATCGCAAGGAAAGTAACCAAGAAAATAGACAAAGAGAACATCAAGAACAAGGGACAAGCCCCAAAGATAAAGTTCACTAAGGTGAACGGGCAGCCGTCAGAGATAGCCAGGGGCCCCCTGATGGAGCTGAATACCATGATGTTTAGCATGGTTCCTCAGAACATTCCAGAGTCTGGGAGGCGTACCGGGCGTACGTCAGAATGGGAGTCAGAACCGAGCTACTTGTCGTAGATAACAAAACATCATGTCTTTCT